TTGTATGCTGCTCTGTGTCTGCGTGTGCTGCCCTCGAATCTGCTGCTGCTGCTGCGGCAGAAGAACCGTCAGCAGCAGCAGATCCCGACCCAGCAGCACGCGGAGCTGTCAAGAAGCAACGCGGCCGCCGTCAGTACAACGACGACAACGGCCGCCACAGCAACTAGCCAGCGTCGAAACCAAACCGCCACCAGCGGTGGCTTCAGGGTGGATTCGCTGAGTCAGTCAGCCAGCCAGCAATCGCTAGAAGCTGCTGCTCCAGCGGCTTTCGACCGTGAAACGACGCTGGAACGCTGACGTTGTAACGGCCGCATTGAATGAAACAGGCTTTGAGTTGAATTATGAATTTCAGTTTAGCGGCACTGTAAAGAGAAGATTTAGAGAGAACACGCGAAGTATAGAAAAACGGGCTCTTTCTCATATACGAATAAGGAAACAACTTTGTAGTTCAACACAAAGAAGACCTTCGTCAATGTACGCGAGACTAAGGGGGCGATGGCATTTGGTCAGGTTATTGAAAAATAACAGGCTCAAGATCTGTGACACACTAAATAATCCAGAATAGATTCGACAGTCAATCCACGACACTCAAGTCGAATTAAATTATGCTTAATGGTTACGAGACTAGTGTCCGCTTAAATCACATTAGTACAGATCTTTATAGTGAAGGAGAACGTGTCAGGTATTTTTGCGATTTGCCCACTTACACCTCTTACGGGCACAAACAATCGACTACACACAGCATCTTCCAAATTCAAAGATATACCTATAGATTTAAGGTTTTACCCCTTATTCCCGTTGTTTATAGGCGCGTTCCACATTCCACCGTACAGGAGTGACACCAGATAGAAGAACCCCTCATTCCACATCGAAAAATTTTGATTTCCAGTCACAAATCCACTCAGCAAAGCAAATCCTATACATATACAGAGTTGTAGTTTTTGAAAAAACTAATAACAATAGTATTAATATGCACGGAAATGTAATTGCAGCACATTTCGCTTACGACGGCAGCGTTCGTCAGCCTGCCCACAGGCGGCTCAAACCATATTGCGCTTTGCAGGTAAATGCGGCACACTACAGACAGGTCAATACGCAGACAGACAAACACTAAAGGAGATATGGGGTAGATTAGAGGAAGAGCTGTTGTTCGTTCACTTACCGGTCATTCTTATTGGCGACAAGGTACTTAAAGACGGGAGAATTGAGATTCACCCGAGAATCCGACATCGTTGCGGTGTACTTTTTGTCTGGTTCGTTGTTCCTGTCCGTCACGGATCTGTCCTGTGCTGTTTTTATTATGTAGCAGGTCCCGTAACAGCAAGCAGCCGCAGGCCTTCCTAAAAATGGGCCTGTCAACTACCCACAATAGGGACGCTCCGGACAGTGGACGAACGTGTTTTTCGTCTTCACTATGACGACACCTATTGCTTTCACGTCACTTTAAACCTCGCTCACTCTTGAAGGCAATTCCGGTGACAGTAAGCGACTGCGTAATAATCCAATCAGGCAGTCAACCTCGCAGAGTGACCGGCACGATGATGGTGGTCGTAACGACGTACCTCCTTGTAACAAACAAACCGATACACACACACACACACACACACACACACACACGCACCCCCGCAGACTCACTTGTGCGTTTTCACTTGTCACACTGGCCAACTACTCGTATCGATACTAGTGGAACTAGTATTCTGTCGAATTTTCCACGGCTTTAGAACCACATGGACACTGCAACAACAACAACAGCGACAGTGATACCACCGCTCCGTAGTTCATTTCACGCACACAGACACGCTTTGCTAACGCAGCTGCTATTACTTTTGTCTAAGGTAGCTTTTTCTATTCCTTATCGGTCGTCCACAGCAACCTGCCGCTTACAACCTTTTTGTTTTCTACGGATCTGAACGTCCACCGGCACTTCCTCTACTGCAGGAACAACCACTAGGACTGCACCACAGCTGCCGCCTGCGACTATGTCCTGAATCCACGTCCTGCTGCTGCTGCTGCAGCAGCTGCGTTGGGACGACGGGAAAGCATGCAGCACAGCACGCTTGTAGAACACTGCTGCTGCTGCTGTGCTTGAATCACCACCACGACTATGAACACCAATAGGAATTACTTCTTCCACTAACATGCAACTGCTGCTAGCGGCAGGAGCGGTCTCCAGCTGCTTGCTTGGATAGTTGGATCGCTGGCTGACTGACTGACTGACTGACTGACTGGCGGCCGGTTCGCCTTCTGCCTGCCTGCCCGTCGCTCGCTCACTCAGTCACTCACTCACTCATTCATTCGCTCGCCGCTTGGAATCGTTGGTGGCGTAGCCACTTAGACCGTCGCAGCCGCCGGCGGTGGCTGGATAACCAGGGGAGCCGCCGTATCTATGGCTGGCACAAACAACCACAGAGAGCAGACAGCAAACGCACATGCACACACAACACATGCGCACGAGACAACGGGTACAGTAAGGTTGCCACGACAGTCTACCTCTTTCCAGCACGCAGACGGATAGAACGGTTACCGACTCTCTCACCAACACAACAGCGACGATGACGACGACGGACAACGCAGTAAGCAAAAGAGCGATCGGCAGCGACCGAATCGCCAGCCCAGTCAATAGCAACGTTTAACCGAGATGGCGATAAAAGCGCTGGCAGTAGCTGGAACAGTATAACTACTGTTCATCGACAAATCAGATGTTATTCGTCTTGTCTAAGTGTCTGTCTTCCTCACTCATTTGTTTTCCTTGTTTCTGAAAGATAACCACTGCGGGCGGGTACTGTACATAGAAACAGAAGACAGCTAAATTCTGCTTGTGTTTTCAGTCCTCCTTTTAATTTTCTGGATACCGCCAGCTCCGAGCGGCTGCGCCTCGTATTCGTCGAAAATAGCAGAAGAACACTAACGGCTAGAGAGCTGAGCTGAGCCGAGTCTGCCACTATGGCTGCTTTCCGTTGACCCTCTTCGAAATCAGCCACGAGCCGATCGACAGCTACGTTGCGTGGCGCTACTTGTTACCCACACGACTTAGCGCTTGCCGCCACCACTTCACCCTCTCACAACAAGCGCACACACACACAACCCCAGTAACAGGCCATTGTAGAACGAGGCGGTTCCTGTTAAGATGTTTGTGTTTGTTTTTCTGGTGTCAGTGAGCTGCGTCACGTTCGTTTGGCTTTTTCGGGGATTCCGTCGGTCGCAACGGCACCCGATTGATCCGTCAGCAGAACGATGCCGCTGTTATAGTTTTAGTCCCAGTTGTTGTTGTCGTTGTCGGCTCCTCAAAACTTCTGACTACCGCAACCGCTTCCTCTCTCCTTCTACATAGACAGAAATAAATAAAACGAAACAGATGAACGCATTTAGACATAAGCTGCCACTGAGGAGCGGGCGACTTGTTGACGCATACGACGAAAGGAAAGTTTAGCGGCACTTATGGTGAGAAGAAAGAGAAGAAAAACAATTTAAAGTTGGAACCAGTTGATTCGTCGAACTACATATCGAGGTTCCGTGGATACGAGCGTTTTGTGTAAGCACATAGAAACATTGATATAATATTATGGGAAATTATAAGTGAGAAGTCATGAATTGTTTCAGGCCTGTTGTCAGACCCCAGGGGCATCGGCGAATACGGGTGTCAGAAGGTAATGCTCACTTAGGTAGGCAAAAGAAAGACGATGTGAAAGATACACAAGGTTTGCTCAGAAAAGGAACCGTGATTGATTTCCATTCGGTTTTCGAAAGAACTCGCTACAACGAGCACCGTCATTACTTCACACTGTGTATAAAGCAACTAAAATAGGACAAAGATGAATATGGAAAAGAAACAATAGATACCTTAATTTATAAAATAGGGAACTGTTTTTCACTAAAGGGAACTAAGGTGGAATCCAAAACACGCAGAAGGTACGGTCTACGTACTGATTTTGCAGAAGGTTGCGGAAACTACGGCACGCACAACTGTCAGTATCATCCAGCTAAATCGTATAGGGAAATCTCTTCGCCTGTGGCCTATATCTCACCGGCATAACCATCTTTGACAAAGACAGGCCAACAAACTAGAGACTCTGTGTATATGCACCCAATCCAACTTGTTCCAAACGAAAAAAAGCAATAAACAGCTAAAAAACCTATTGAGAGTACGGACGACTGAATTCCTGATTGATAGAATCAGGAGTATGCTTATTTAACTCTCACCATTAACATCTACAACAGAACATGTGTGATTAAATAAAAAGTTAATAATCAGTGTTCTTATTATGGTCCATTCATTTTCTACAAAAAACATTCTAGAATGCCTCTAGTACACGACGACTGAGATTTCTCATACAAAACCACACTTTTCTTTAATTAGTTTTTCTAGCTTATTTCTCACCTATTAGATGCCTTGTACTTCAGGCACGCAATACATCCGTGAGCACTGAACGCTTCTTTGTAAGACGGTCGCTAGGTGTACAGTCGATTGGAAGATCAAGCTAACGTAGAGCTAACGGCTTACATAACTATCGCCGATCGAATTGATGATGAAGCAATCGCCATTTACGATCATTTAAATATAGTCTATGCGATCATCGGAATATATTCGAAACCGATACAGCAGATGCCGTATTTGGAGTCACTAAATATTTATGTCTATTACGTCAACTTCCCTCGCTCATTTTCCATAGTGGACAACCACATATATCTAACGTCAGCCGCGGTTAACCGTAACATTGTCATCTCCAGTTTATAAAATATCCTTTACGTACACTACAAAAATATGTATGATTTATTTACGCCATAACCATTATGCTAAGCTGCGAATCTCGAAAATGCATCCTCTTTTAGACACCACTTTTAAAGCCAGCCTGTATTCTTGTCACGGTTTGTCAATACCCCCTTTTTACACGTTTTCGTTGCCGGCAACCTTGTTGTTTGCATAGAGACCAGACCCATTCTATAGGCTGACGTTAACATCTCTTTTATTCAACTGCCCGCGTATCGTCAGCTACAATCGAACAGCAGACGACAACAGCAGGACGGCACAAAATCATCATGACCAACACGAAACACAAGATGGCTTCCGGCTGTTATTGCTGTTAGCAACGCTGAACGACCGAGGAAGAAAGGAACAAACAGTGGCTGCTGAGTGGGAAAGAAGCAGGAGGGAACCGAATACAACGGAACTCACAACAACGAAACGCTACACAGACAGATACACAGAATTCGATGCATACATAAACATCATAATAAGTAGTATAAACATATTAGAGACGTAAAAAAGTAGTTGCTACTATGTGTGAAAAGCAACGTTAGATCTGTGAAGAAGACAAGCAAAGATTGAAGTTATCGGGTTGTTGATGTTGCACTTTCTGATTTACTCCAGTCGTTTATTTAGTTATTAATGTGTCGGTAAAACCGAGTGTGAGTAGAACTTATGCATCGATATTGTGTACGAGTATGCTATGTAATATAGCGCGCTCAGGATCGTGGAACAATGGGATTCTCTGATGTTGCTGGAACACCCAGTTTTACGTGGAGTTCTTTGCAAAGTTAGTTGTCGTTGTCGTCGTCGTCGATAGAAGTCGACACTGCCAATCGCGAATTTGTGTTCTGAAACCACCTCCGTCTCGTCCTGCGCTAGGACAGTTCGAAGACTTCTCATACCACTTTGAAACGTGAGGTAACTAGTAGCAATGGACATACTTCGTTGTAACCATGTAAAATCTAGCGGTGAGGCACCAAAGTCGATTTGCGACGTAAGCGACGATGAACAAGACAGTTAGCTGAATCTGCTTACTTGCAGACTTATCATCTACAACAACTGGATGATAATGTGTAATAATACATCACTGATAATCGCTGCGTTTCGAATTGTTTGCTCCAGTACAGAATTTTGGCAATGTTCTGGAGAATATTACTCCATGTAGTCGAGATTATTAAACCACCACTGGTCTTTCACATTCATTTCTTTCTCTTCCTTCCTGTTGCAGTTAACTTGTCTCTATTTATTGGATTTATTTGTTGGATCCCCACCCGTGCTAATTTCGCGCGTCGATTTATTGACGCCAACGCTACTATTGCCGATAGTGGTCGCAACAAACATATGATACCCGCACACTTTGTCGTATTATATCGTATGTGATATCGTATTATGCGAACAATGGTGATTTATTCCTTTATCGGTGTCATGAACGTACAGGCGATAATTCCGGAAGCCGTCCGCTTCCTGCTCGAATGCGAGCAAGCGAACCAGCTTTCGATTTAGCGGCCGTGCCGCCTACAAACCAAAGAAAAGCGTGTTAGATATATCGATGTATGTAATGCTAAGCCAAAGCTTCAAAGCCAAAATTTGTATAGTCTGTCAGATAGACGCCGAGGTTCGAACGGTTGTATATTATAAGATTACAGATAACATTATTGCTGCTGTTGCTGGTAACGACTTCGACAAAAAACGCACAGAGGTACAGCTACCCACGTACTGTTTATTTGTTGTTCTTGAAGTCGACTGTTGTTGATCTTCTTGCTGGCGTGTTATCATTGTTGTTGTTGACAGCGGCGGTATTTTTGTCAGTTGTAACGTTTCATCTTCGCAACATCGGAAACTGCTAACATGAACCAACTGCAGTAGCTGCCAGCAGAAGCTTAACTTGCCGATGCAGATGTTGGTGACGTTGTTAGCTTCTTTGCTGCGGCGGTAAAGGCTGCTGCTAATATTTTTAACCGTCTTCACCCCCCTCAAACGTCGACACCGACGCCACCGCCGCCTTCCAGCGGCAGCTCCAAATGGAAAGCGCGCAGTGAATGCACCCGACAAACGATAAATGCAAAGGCGCAACAACTACTACAGCTGCGGAGCTGAAAAAGGAAAAGGTGTTCGGGTGACGTATTTACAAGTCATTATTGTGTTTCCACTACAACCAACAGGCGCTAGCCAGTCATACAATATATATATATATATATATATATATATACAGGGTGACTCAAAAAATGTATGCACTGGCACCAATTATGCGTTTTTACTGCAAGAATCTGTCTTACAACGAATTCGGGAGGATTGTAGTGAATATTATGGGAGCCTCCCAAAGGAAGAGTTTAGACAAAAAAGCCTCATCGAACAACCTGTCTGTTTCCCACACGCCAGGTCGAAAGACTTGTCCTTGCGAGGTTGCCTTGAAGAGAATCGATAATGCTGGAAGCTTTCAGTGGTCGTAGCTGACCAAGAATGCGCTTCAACACCAAATAAAATGTTTGTTGATAATTTTGAATCAATAGCCCACCGTTATGATGATCGGAACGGCAGTAATTTGCGAAAAATTTGTGGCACGAGATAAAGTTACAGATTTCATAGAGATTCCTTTGAAATTTTCAATACGAATCATGTGCTATAAAAAGTGAACTATGTATCGATTTTTGAAACACGCCGAATATATACACGTATATATTTGAGCTACATGTATTGTTATTACGATGATCTCTGTCTTATGGCTGCGCATAACAGTGAGTAACAAGCGTTGCCGCTGGTGCTGGTTTGAAAGCGATGAGTTGTGGCGGTTGCAGCCGCGTCAACAGCCGCACGATGGCAGCTGCATCTGCGAAGGCGAAAAAGAAATGTTGCTGCTGCTGCTGCTACTATTGCCGTCGTTGTTTTTGTTGTTACTGGGACGGTGGTGTAACACGCTAAGGGCTCCCACTCGGCCCCAACGAATGGGCGAAATAACCGTCACCGAGGCTGTGAGCGCATTCACGTCAGTCTTCGTTGTCTCATGATGTGAAGTCGGGATTTGTTGGTTAAAACGTCACCGCCGCCGCCGCCGCCGCTGCAGTGGCGATCATCTTTGCTGCTGTTGCTGTCGCCGCCGCTCTGGACGAAATGTGTGGATGCCTCGTTCTGTAACCTTTCAGCACGGGCAGGGGCAATGGCAAACCATCCTTTTTGTATAATATCTAGCTTACATGACAGCAGCGGCGATGTCAACAGCGGGTGACTTGACACTTTGATCGTAACAGCTGACTCTTCTCGCCAGCTGCAGAAGCTAACGGTAGTCGTACCACAATCGGGCTTTTGCTGATGAACGGTCTTACCAACTGCAGCGAGTTGATTGGGTGAATGGAAAGTGCACTCTGTTATAGTTTTGCTAATGTCTGCATTATAGTGGGTATGTTATGGCAAGGATAGTTTTATATAGTATGATTTTGTTATACAATGTTATTTGTACTGTCAGCGTTATAATCGTACTAGTGTTTGTGCGTTATTTAAATTAATTTGTTTTCCGGCTGGCGCTGTGTTTGCAGGTTAGCAAGCAAGCTAGCTGGTTATTGGCTGTCATTCTTTTAGGAAAAAAGCGATTTCAAGCCCTCTGTGACTGAGTAAGTAGGTGTACCTGTGTGCTTTCACCTTTTTGTTCACGGCTGCTGGATGATATGTAACACGCCGCAGCTCATAATGTCACAGCAATTGGCCTAGTCAGCACTAACAGCATAGTAGCTCTCAGTCCTTTAAATCAAACCGATTTTATTGATTAGGATAATTGCGCGCTATCTACCAGAAGTGACGCGAGTTGCGCGCTAGCGACGCGGCTGAATTTTTAATGTCGATGTATGAACAACAGTCCTACTGTTGGTGTTGATAGAAATAGCAGTGGTAGCTCGTAAAGATGCAAAAGATGCGTCTCGTTTAACCGATGCCCATGTTACCATCAGCGCTAAACAAATGCTAGAAAAAACCACAAGCAGAATATAATGCTTTCCAGTGTGAACGTATTATCTTCGCTGTAAATAAGGGGCTGCTTTTAGATTTAAACATACCTAATTGGAAAATCATAGTTATGTTTAGCTGCCCACTTGTGTGACAGTTGCTCACACGAGGCTGAATTATGTCCTCTTTTTTCTAAGTGGTAATGGTAATAATGTTGATGTGCACGTTCATCTCGACTAGGAGCAACTCTTTTTTGATGCAACGGTTTATCTCTATATATGCGCAAGCCGAACACCGACCTGTTACTTAGAATACGTACGTACGTTGTTAATACGTCCTGAACACGTCTGTCATGTAAATGTACGGTGTGGTTTTTTGCCTGATGAACGTTGGCTAGGTTAGTTATTGGTTTCGGTGAGTTTAAGTTTGTTTTACTGTCCTTTTCGAATAACAGCTTTGTTTCTTCTTATCTGTACGCGGGTCAACTACAGATGTATTGCAACAAATGAAATATGGAACCGGATGGTAGTTTGCTCGGCGAGATAACCCGAAGAGATGAAAAAAGTGATCATGAAATTCTCTTGCCAACAACAGCGTCGACAACAACAAAGCCTGAACAGGGACAGCATTATTGCTGTCACACCTCGCAGGTTCGTAGCGAAGACCATGGGTCTGATGAGGAACTTGATCAAGAAATACCAGGACCTTCTTCATCGAGGGCTCTTCAACCGCAACAGCAGGTTAGCACCAAAACAAATTAATAGCCTTAAATATTCAATTGAATATTTAGCTTTAGGATAAACAGTGACAGATGGAAGAAAATGTGCCAATAAATTGTTCGGCCGTTTCTTCTTGCTCTTACCATAATTTGTTTTCTAAACTGACCGCTATTTGTTCTATCTAACAATTTATAAATTCATTAAATTCTAATAATTGCCGAAAATACAATCTAGACATAGTAACTAGGCCCATCTACCTAGTTAAGCCTGCGCATTCAACTGCGCGCTTTCTACAGACGCTTTCCATAAATCAACTGCACAGAGAAGCAGTTGGGAGAGCAGTCAGGGAGTTGTTCGTCCTTACACAAGAATACGAGCCATAATATTGCCCTATTTTGGCATAGAAACGGGTAACTTACAATACTCGAATCAGTTATTTATGATCGATTAGCACCGTTATGCTAATTGTGTGAGACGCTCGCAAACAGCCTCATCACCGGTGACACAAGGTGACACACCGGGCACAAAGAACTATTCGTTCAATTAAAAGTGTATTTTGATCCTAAAATGAGAAAGAAATTTGATTTTAAAGCGTTTATATATAAAATTGAATTTTGCTAGATGAAGCTCCCCGATACAGGCCATTTCGATGATTATTATTGAATTCTCTCATATTCCTATGACATCTACTCGTTGCCATAGATCATGTAGTCATTTCAATGAATTTCTTCAGAGTTTGTGTTCTGTGCAATCCTCGAAAGGAAAAGAGAATAAATTCAAAAGTAGCCTTACTCACACAGAAAAACCTTTTTTAAATGGTTTATGACATTAAAGTATAATTGGCAATGTATGGATACCTTATAAGCAGTTCAGAGGAAAACCATGTTAGTGGATATCTATATGCTTATGAGCCGTACAAATGTTGTTGCTCGCAGCCTATAGTAAAGTAACCATAATTTTCTATGGCTTTTATCAAATGTCGGCATCTACAATAATTCCGCGCTTTAATTCATTTTTAATAAATTTTAATTAACTTAATTAACAGAAACTGCGTTAAAGTGGGTGGCGGTTGCTCGATTATCTGCTTGACCGCAGTGCTTATAAGTTCTGTAAGGCAAGCTTGTGTTTATAAAAATGTAGAATGTCTTTTAAGATGAAAAGTAAATTTATGTATGAAAATATTATAGGCCTTACATGAATAAATTATTGCTCTACTCTTTAAAGTTATAGCTGGCGTTCGGTCAATCCAGAACGGAGCGTCGATATTTGCTATGCAATTGGTTTTCTGAAACTCCATTTGCATGCATCTCTAATCATGCAGTTGATTGTAAACTTTTAATCTCCTGACGTGATCCCTTACCGTAAGTAACCATAATGAAACTGCCAAATCACGGTGAGCTCCATGATATTGCAGTGATGCAGTGGACTTTGTAACTTTTCTGATAGTGATTGCTCGTGCTCTGGATTGCAGCCTAGCAATTTCGTATGCTGCTAAAAACAATTTTCAGCGCATAAGTTCCTGCAAAATGAATACCCGACCAGCAATGTATTTGTGAGGTACTTTCTATAAACAGGTTTTAATTTGCAATCAATACTACTAGTTGCAGCTATTACAATGCAACTGTTTTGCCAAAACTAAAATGTGGCTACAATAATTGCTTGTGAAGACAAAATATTTCTCTAGGAATTATGGAAAAGTCTAAGCCTAAAAAATTATATATATATAAGTGTTCTAATTTGCTACAACCACGCAACAGTTCCGAACACCCATTATGTTTCCCAGATACCACGTAAAGACGGGGCCCGCGCTTTTTATTAACCGGGCTATAACCCAGTGTTAAGCAGTTCGCTTACTGCAGACAAACATGATAGATCTAAAGGTTATTAATTCCCGTCAACATAGAATTCTCTTTCTTGGTAATTGCTAGTAGAAACATGGTAATTGTAAAATTGATAATTTGCCGAACTTATTTATTCTTTATTGTCACGTTTTGTCCCAATTTATCGTTTTGAATGACGGTATTTTTTTGTTTTCATTGCGCCGGATATTAACGCGGCGCTTCCACCAGCAATCGTCGCTGTTCTCCGCAAAGAGCTTCCAGGAGGCGCATCGTCAGTTAGGTCTAATGACGCCCTCTCCGCCAGGAACGCCTCCAACACCAGGCAGCGTTAGCGGGGGTCTTCTACGTTCCTCTTCGGAAGACGCTCTCAGCTCATCTTCATTGTCATCGCAGGAAAATTTTCTCGATTCGACTGGTAACCCCGGATCAGCCCCTGGAGGAGCGCATTGGAGTAACAATAACGGAACCGGCCGCCAAGGCGATTGTGGGTCACCGTTTTATTATCATGCATTGAGGTTTCTGCTGGTCGGCGACTCGGACGTAGGGAAAAATGAGATCCTGGAAAAATTTGAAGCTCACCGGCTGCCTCTTGTAAATCAAAAGGAAGTTGAATTCAAGACCACCATGATCCTGCTTGATGGAAAAAGGATCAAATTGCAGCTTTGGTAAGTCGACGAAATGGGCAAATTGGGATTTTTTTTAAAGAAGACCGATTATGCATGCTATGTCCAGTGATTAAATCCTCCAGTTTTTCTTAGTTAGGTTGAAATCCTTCAATAGCGACACCTCCATTAGACAAATGCATACGATAAAAAATCTGTATAAAAATAGCGCAATACGATTTTCATAATAATTTCGACTAAATATTAACAAAAAAAAAAAAACTTTTTTTGTTAATATTTAGTCCATCGAAACTATTATTTTATTTTTTAAAAGAACGCTTTTACAAATGAAAATGCTCACGGCTTTGTATAATATGTATGTAGACCCATGGACGCAATATAAAAGCTGCCGTGGTTTATTTTTTGCAATATTATATACTAGCATTCATTTTTAGCCAATTCGGTTCATTATTTTAAGCCAAATAAAATGCCAACGTGCAAAGCATAGTTGACTTACTTATTTTGGGCTTTTTCAATGCTTCACTTCATTCTTGATTTGCAGGGATACATCTGGCCAGGGCCGTTTCTCCACCATTATTCAGAGTTATTCACGAGGAGCCGACGGCATTATTCTTGTGTTTGACATTACGAACCGTTGGTCATTTGAATCGCTCGATAAGTGGCTGAAAGAGGTTGACGAGTATGCCTCGGGTGTTCCCAGGGTCCTCGTCGGAAACAGATTACACTTCGAGTTTCGTCGAGAGGTAAGCAGATAGCAATTCACGCACACTCAGTGTAACGTATTCACATATCCTCATAACCAGATATGTCAAAGGAGTGTATTATTTTATATGCAGCTTATTCTATGCCTGAAGCTAGTTTTTCATGTTTGTCGTCACTCGCTGCAACGTGTAACAAAGGAAAAGGTATTATTAAAAAACAGGCGCACTCAAGGAGGAAATTTCTTACTATCAATTTCTCATCATTTGCGTAACGTTATCAGTAGACAACAGAACGCCATCTGATAAACGAATACGAATCAATGAATCTGATTACGCTCACTTCCATAAGTGCAAACTTTGAAAGCTTTTAAACTTGAATTTTATATGGACATATTACATTGTATGTGCTACAGCCTTTTATTATTGATTATAAACAATAAGAACTGATAACGGATTTTCATCCACGTGCTTCGATATTACAATGGTCGTTTCAGTTGGTGGGTGCTACCCACCTAACGACGACAACGTTAAACGGCCGTGCATAACGCCATAAAAGCTCTACTGATGATTACTCAAAGGTTCGTTTCGAGGGGAATCTATCTGGAACCAGTCTGTGGTTGTCAAGCAACAGAATTTTATAAGTCAAAATATACTTGTTTTATATATTGCAAGTTAAATTCTAAGTTAAAGAGTCCTTATGAACAAAAAATATTATCTTTATTAACGCAGAGGTGCTCAGTATAAACAGTAGCTTTTATAAGACATATGAAAGTAGTCGATGCGGCTTAGAATTGTCGACACATGAGTTTCTCTCATTGATTTTCGTTATCCTTCATTCGCGCACAATAAATTCGACTAAGTGGTTAATCAATATAACTTCTACATAAATACACGCATTCTATATTTTGTAGCCATTGTCCACTTTCACTTTTTCGGTTTATTCCGTGTCACATAATTACTACGACTATTAAGTCAAAAATATATTATGTTTATTACAGCCTACCGAGGTGCAGCAATCACTATGACAATTAATTAGTCGACCACATTACTATCATCTCTATTCTATAAGAATTAAGTTAATAGTCATTACATCCCTTGCATCAGTTGTAGTCACGCCAGGCATGCTTATAATAATCATTATTTTACCCGGCTACTGAACCACGAGTCGCGTGACTACATATGCCTGCCTAACCCTATTCATACATGAGATGGTTACCCAGCATATGGCATCATATGTCTATGCTCGCCAAATCGCCGCCGAATACGTCGGTCCGCTGCCTATCTGTATTCGTCTTCATAGTGACGACGACAGCCTTGCCTGTGTTCATATACTAACCAACGGTCGTGTCGCGCTGGTGGCATCGAGGACCGATCAGCTGTTGTAGTTGATTTGGCCATGATTAGTTTGCGGTAATTCCAATCGGCTATCGCTTACCCAAAGCAAACTAACATGTGCATTCGCCCCGTTATGGTTGCGGTTGCGGGCAGACATGTTGTAAAGTGAGCTAAAGGGGTGGTACGCGCAACATGTACACATTCACTACCAACATAATGATGCGTCGGTACTCTCAACTGCCGAACAAAGCTGAACGTTAATAGCTGGTTCAAGCTAGCGTAAGTTCGTGGTCTCGGCATGCTTAAAAGCAGTAGAGTGTTCTGTCGTATCATCATATTGTAATCGTTAGCGTCAGACAGAAAGAATGTTTGGGCGTAGAGGCTCGAATTAAATGACAAACGAATTTCCTAACGTTCTTTGCTTAGCTTGATCGAGCTATCTTAAGGGTATACGAATAGATCAGCGCGCTTTTCGTCGTTTTGCTGTAGTAACAAATCGAGGAAATATTCACTGTAGGTGAGTCATAAGTCACATAATCTGACATCTGTCTTGTTTCAAATATTTATTATTATTAGCGGAACGGTGACGTCGAATCGTAAACCGAATTACCGTTATAACTCGTTAACTATGTTGTTTAGCTCGCGCCAATTCATAGTGGCGATTATGAATATGGATAACGGGTTATATCTTTTCGTCCGCAATTGGCTGGGGACTCATCTGGATAATGATGACATAACACAATGACTCCTGTGGTATGTTAAGGTTGTCTGTTGTATCCTTGCCTGCATTAGAAAAACCTTCAAGTATTCTGCTTACCATTTTGGTGTCCTAGAACTTCTTTCGCATTTGATCAATCTATGACCATTAATGGATGAAAGTTTTCATATAAGTTAGGACCGTGTGATGCCTTTGAAAACTACGAGATCGGTAAGGTTATCTGATGAGGCAATGAGATTTAAAAATATGTTCGAATAGCATATATATATGAAAAGGCGTTTTTCGAAACAGTTTTCTCAAAAAAAGCGGCTAAAGATTGGTTAAACTTCTCTAAGTTTTCACAATCGATTCGAAATTGATTACTCAAAAAAATTTTACAAATAAATTTACTATTATTTTCTACATGTAAGTTATGAAAATACTAATATATTTATGTAACTTATTAGCTTTGTTTCTGGAGGATTCTAATATAAGGAATTGTGACACTAAAGTCCGTATGACTTTTACAAAAACGTGACGGGTTAAACCATAGGACATCAATACCTTAATTGCAGTAGAATCACAGCATAATTAACACCGCGCGGTAGGAAGAGTAGACTCAAAAAGTATTAGAAGGAATGATGCTGGGCAATGTCTCATGTGTGCATATAGTACTAGAAATGTGCGAAAAACGGTTGTTAAAATGAATGAATTTAGATGGTCATAGGTAAACGCGGGCGGATGCTGTACATGTAGAATGCTGGTCGAGTGACTAGACCCATATCATACCGATAATAATAATGGTTGGAGAAACAGAGTGTTAGCTTTTCGAAAGGATTGAAAAGTAAAATCTCGATGATGACTTAGTTACTAACACGATACAACAAATACCGTACTGGCCTAGTTGGGGTAGTCAGAAAATCATTACTAAGACGTATCCATTGAGGTCAAAATATTATAAATGCAGTTTCTGCGATGATTGCTTTACATCTGTGCATGGAATGACTTATATTGCTAAGAGAAAAATGACATATCATGCACATATATGAAAACATTTTTGAGGCTTCTCATGTCATATGCTTGGCGTACTTCTTAGTATTAGAAATAAGCCCCGTTATTATATGGCGGGCCTGTTCTGACATACTTAGCCATTTAAAAATTTCTAAACCGACAGTTGGACACGCCAACTTGAACCAGCGTGATTCAGTCGAATGCCTATTCTATAAGTAATCTCCAAACTTTTCATTATAGTCGTTTTAGCCCTGTGACACAGAGCAGCCATACATACACAATATGTTGTTTAGCCAGTGTACAATTTAAATCAGCAAAAACACATAGAAAACGAAAGACCCCTTAAACCTGACTTGACTAGTTAAAACTTTCGTTAGTGATTGAAATTGGTACACGACAAATGTAGCTTGGCTTAAATTGTATTTCTATAAATAAATATATATAAATAAATAAAAAAAATAAACATTTTCATGTTTTATTCAGATGTTTATAAAACGTAAATTCAGATACTTATTTCAGATTTCCTAGTCTACTCAAAGTACTTTCCTAGTATACAACATTTCTAGATTTGAATCGTGTTTCCTAGACAGGTTTGTTTATATCCATATTCCAAACCGCACGAAATAAAACAACAGACCACGCGAAAATTGGTAACCCTACATATAAAAATAGTACTGTTAAATGTATTTTTTTTTACCTATACGAGTGGTATGAATTTTTGCCCGCTTTATGTACCCCAGGTAAATTCGAGAACGGCTTTGCAGTACGCAGCAAAACACGGCATGTCATATTTGGAAGTGAGCCCCCTTGCTGACTACAACATCACAGAAACATTCGTCGATCTCAGCCGGCAGGTTCTCAATCGAATCCGACTTCATTCGTGGCATGAAAATCGAGGTAAGTATTTGATTTTTTGTTAAAATCGAAACATTTGATCACGTAGCCAAATATTAGAAATTAAAGTCGTAGAAATCACAATATAGTGATATCGTGTGTTTATAAAATCATTCTAACAGGTTCTCTGTTCCATTAGCTGTTTTATTTTAGAGGTAAATAAAATACTGTCGCTTTTATTTTTTCACTACCGGAAAATCAACTAATGTAGTAGGTAGCCGCGTTTTAGATTCTACTTCCTCATTGGCATTGAAGCGCTATAAATTCCCCTAATGAAGAATGTTCATGATTTGTGTTTTCATCTGTCTCAGTATTAAGTCTACAGGAGTTATGTTGTCGGACGATAGTTCAACGTACAACGTCATATTCGATCGAACGATTGCCGCTGCCAGCAAGCGTAAAGTCCAACCTCAAATCATACTCGCTAAATCCCTACTCGGCAGCCTCGCTTGTCGCGTGCTGTGCCCACAAACAACACAATGCTAAAGGTGGCTGTCTCAATCACCATGGGCACCAACGCAAAAGTCGCCACCACGCGAGCACCAATGGCAGGAGTCGAACGGGTCGACGATCTAGTAGATCCAGTAGATCAAGCAGTCCCCATAATCTGCTTGAAGGTATACCTATATCTGATATTCGGCATCATCACAACCTTCACGAGAGCAATAAGAAGTGCACGATCAGTTAGTTGCATATACTAGGCTGCTATTACGGACTACGAGAAGAACGGCCTTAGTCACTTTTTCAAGTATACATCACCGCAACAAACTTGCCACCGGCCTTTCTCAGAAGGTATCTTTTGCCCCTGAGCGTGAGAAAAATGCCACCTACCTGTCCATTGGTATCCGATAATACAACGAAACGGGAGGGGTGCCTTATTGATAGAATGGTAGATACAACCTGATGGCGATGGCTTACTCTAATAATTATACATAGTGCTTTAGGTAGATACTGTTGCTGTGATATCTGGGGTACACTTGGTGACCCTAATTCTCTTTATATCTAGCTGCACATACTATATACCCTGAGCGTACGAACGCCGAATGGCTGTGGGGCAATGCCCTGTACATGGACAGGCCTATCTTATAGTGTCCGAGGGAACAAGGATGTATCTCAGCTGATGCGAGGATGCCTAGAACGATGAAGTAACGTGAAAGCGGTGAGGGAAGACAAGTAGTGGTGTGTCCATGAAGATGTATGAGTAGACGAACGTCCACCAGAAATACGGACATCGAGTGACATTGCCAGCACTTCAACTGAAATTCGTAGATTGAAATGGGGTACTGGCCCTGAAGAAGGCCAGCGAGAAAGCTATATGCCAATTGAACAGATTGAATGCAAAGTAGCTTGATGGCAAGTTCATCTTTATAGATAGACTGGCCGTATGGAGGCTGGACAGGATGGCTAAAAGTGGTTCTTTATAGGACGAGCCGGGATCGGCTTTTGACGGTTAGTATTCACAAAAGCTCTTTTCTAATTTACTTCAGTAATGTTAACAACTATTGAGTGTGAGTTAGAGTATATATTGAAAGTAGAGTATATTGTTGGATAATTTAAAATTGGTAAAATCAGGTGGGACCAATCTACGTTTATTTCTACTTTTCCTTAAAATATATATATATCAGAAGAATTAATCTCTGTGTTATTAATTTTTTTAAATCGATTTTAAGTTATTAAGGAACCTTTACAATTTGATTGCAGGAGTTGGTGTCGATGTTTGGCTTCCTAAACATGCGTGCGTACGTGTCTATGCGGAAAATAAAAATATGTAGAGTTATTAACAGCTACTACCAAATCAGTGGGATCGAGAAGTTTTGGACGAGCTTCTGAAGTCAGATAGCGCACGGGTAAAGAAAAAGAATCAAACTCTGAATTCAAGCTTACATACGATACGGGTTATTGAAAGGTTTGCCGCCATGTTTGTATTAAGCTTTTGATATGTGCTTAGTTTGCATGAGCCGATTTTGTTGCTACTTATTTTGAATACTAGAATTATTATTAGCAGTCTTTATTTTTTGTTTATCCCTCAAGTGCGAAAGTACCTTTGGTGTGCTCAACAACATATGCTGCCATTGAATTTTTTTTCGGAAATCTGTTTTCAAAAAATCGAATGACAATATGAAGCTATCCAGATTTACCAAAATTTGCACGGACTTACCTACAAAGAGTTGGAGATTGTTTAGCTCAAGTAAGCACGAGTTTGGCCTCGAGACAGATATCCTTCATTTAACTACTATCATTCATGTCTACTCATGTACTCTATGCCCTCAAAGCATGATCCCCTTTAAAGGTGAATTTTAGCGTCTCTATACACCATTTGTGCTATTTTTGTGTATTTATTTTACTGCATATTATGTTTAACTATAAGTCTTAGACTACTCACACTTGAATATCCGGCCACGAATATTGGTTGTAGTTTTAGAAAGTAACTTTGTTTGTGTACCTATGTTTGAGTAGTCAGCGGACAAATAGATCTGTTCTCTTATAAGAGAAGTTCGTCTGTTAGATAACGTAAATCTGAAAGTAGCCTTACTATATATATATATGAGTGATTAAAAAAAACTAGTTAGAACAAAATTGTTGACTAATCATCGTTTACACGTCAAACACAGTAGATTGCAAGCACAGTCACCGCAAGAACGATGCTGCCTCGCACTATTTTGGCGACCAGCTGTGTGAGAACTATGAAAATATGGTAGTAAGTGATAGGCGCGTGTACCCTCTTCTACATGAACGCTAATAGATATGTAATCAAAATTACAGAGAAAATTAGCATGCCACGAGAGGGTTGTCGTTTGAGAAATTGCAACGATTGTGAATTTCCGCCTACTTGTTCTCTACAAGGTATTGCCCATTATGGAGATAGTATATACACTTAGATGTATATATAATGTGTAATTATCACTAGAAGGAGATCGGAGAGACAGATGAGAAAAATGGGTGACTATACTTTCACAGAATTCAGATAGCGGAGTCTAAGTATTAGCACCATGATCATTTAGCACCATATCTAGTTTTATAGCTACAAGAATGGACGGTATAATACCTCGCAGTCAGATGTGGACTGTTAAATGAAGAGAGAGAAAAGGTAATCTATAACGAGCAGTTTTTATCACCCATATATTGCGGACGAAATTACGGTTGCAAATGCTGTACACTTGTGTATATACATGAACTGTACAATGATTTTCATGTTTGCAATAAAAATGAAATTTGAAAGACGCAAGGAAATCAACAATATGCCTTTTGTGTTGCTTTGCTAATTTATAATAGCAATCAAATTTTGTTTCGAAAAAAACAGTCAGTTAGAAAGTTTAGTTTGCTATTAAAATTATGCTCATAGTGTTGCCATAAGAGTGTTTCGATTTGAAGTGACCCACACAATGTATGGCCATATGTAAATACATGTCAAAATCAAACGAAATGGCACCAATAGATAATAGCCAAACTGGTGCAGTGAACAGACAATTAAATGTTGTTACATTTAGATGTCGCTTTCCTATACATTAGTATAGATACTCCTCCTAGCGTAGTAGTAAAACAAACAAAAAAATTCTCTCTCTAAATTCTTAATAAATCAGATTTCAGAAAACATTTCAGGGATAACTTGTAACCACAACGATTAAGTCCAGTATAATTAATTAATTGTATTAATATTAGTATTAGCCATTAAAATCAATAATATGCACCCTCGGACACATCTTCGACCCATTATGCAAGCACGTTTTCTATAGTTAGCTTACCGATAAAAGTCTCTAATTACGCATAACTAGTATATCAACAGATGCCAGATTATCACAACAATTCACGTGAATACTTTGTGAAATTAAATATTTCATTTGTAATCGACCTTGTTGTTGACCATATCATTTCAACTTTGTAGTCAATGTGAGTGTTCACAATTGAGTTCGAGTCCCGCAACTCGTTAACAGTGATAACGCGTTGTCCTACCCTTGTCCGACATTTTTTCCGAATTTTAATGTCTTATATAACTTCAGTTTCGGGTACCTAGTGGAGTCCAACACAGCCCCGTGTCGGCGAAGTACTACGATGACTCTTTTTAATAGCCAAACCATCAATGCGTTCATCTGTGATGTGTGATTATGTTCTATAGAAAATTCGAAATACCGTTGAGTGCATGCTATGCTACATACATGGTCATTGGTACCCCCTTTCCCCCAGGTAAGTTTATTTTCGAATTGTAACTTTTCAGCTCCTATTCCTTTAACCATTACGGGGTCAGTGTAGAAAATAAATAGGGTTCCTTCAATCCTCAATTTGTTTCGATTATAGCATTGTAGATGCTCGCAGTTGCAATATCTTCCAGCCTGAATATTTTCCTATCGACAATCTCCGCCATATCGCTCGCCGAGGTATTGAGTATCCGATTTGATGTGATTCCTAGTTCGTGCACTGTACCACGTACTTCATGAGATGAGTTATCGACAGTTCGATATATGTGATCTTCAAAATCTCAGCGATTTTTTCTATCCCTTTGGCTTTCCACTTTTTCGTTTATAAGCTGCTTCCCTGTAAAAGATGCCGTCTAGTTTCTTGACTATTTTCTGGAGCCTAGGACATATCTCATAAACCGAATTGCTAAAAGTTCCATTTAAGTGTTTTTTAAGTTAGGTATTTCCTTATCTACAAGCCCTGCCGCATCATTGAGTGATTTTCCCACAACTCCTTGATTGTTCCATAAAGCTTATCACAAAGCTTACGGAGTGCATCATTAAGGACACGATTCAAGTGGCCTTCCGGGTTGGAGGTCTTATGAGCATTATTAATTAAGCTGTTATCAAAGGTCGCCTTCAGCTGCATTACAGTTTCGCGGCAACTATTGATCAAAATATTACGAAACTACTCCTTAATAACTTCATTTACGTGATCTAGACTTTCTTTGGTCGTTTCGTTAACAATCGGTTTGACTGTTTTGATTCGGTAATACGTCTTGCTCAGTCTCATGTCTTTGTTCAGTTGGCTCAAGCCGACTTCTTTGATTCAATGTTTAATAACGTCGCTAACAATAACGTTGTTTTGGCGTATTGTCTTGTTGACGTTACGGTGCACATTGCCAATGAGTTCCTTATTTGACTCGATAAAGTCACGAACACTTTGGCTCTTATTCTGCAGGGAATTGATTTTCTGAGCTGTAGCCGGCCGTAAACGGATTACACCACAGCACATCTAAATGCATGTTAAGTGTATTAATTGTTGTTTTTGTGAATTTTACAAATTTCTGTGTTATACTTATTAGTCAAGCGTTAACTACTAGATCGGTTTTCTACCGAATTCAGGGACGGTCAGATATACGCATAGACCAATACTTGTAGCCACACTATAGCAAAAAGACCCTGAGGGTTATCCGCGCGGAAAATTTGGGAAAATTGTCCATTTTTCCCATGAAAAAGTACACTTTCAACACTCTAAAACCACCTTGTCCAAATGAGTTCACTAAACCGAGTATAAGGTTTTGTGTTATTTTCACTAGCTCGAAACAGTACCGCTAAGATTGGTATCCTTTCCTGTTTGGTAATGAATTACCTACTGGTTTACGTAATTAAGGCCTATCGCTATATCTATTATGTATTTTGATTGACATTGATTGTACTGATATCAAGCAATTTGTATAAATTGTAAGTTCTATTTGACGAGGCAGAGAACAATAAGAAAAAAACAACTTAAGAGATGTCTTCTAGTTTCTTTATTGAATTTTTTTCATCATTTTTTTTTGGAAATGGACTAGCAAAATTTAAGCAGTAGAATTGACAAAACAATTTAAAGCGTCGTCAGATTCATTTTTGTGGGAAATTTGACAATCTACCTTGGTAAGCATGAAATAAGGTAGTATTATGAGTAACACGAATCACAAACCAATTAATCATTTTAATTTGCTTTAATTTCGAGGGTCAACTTTTGCAGTTAAAGTAGGTGAATAACAAACTTAAAAAAATAACTCTAATTTTTCCTTTTACTATAACAATCTGATGTTTTGTAAGCGTGCAAATATATAGGTGGGTTCTTTAAGTCTACCGTAAAGGTAGTTTAGTTGAATCCACCATTTTTGTTATGAACGAAACCAGAAGATAAAGGTACTGATTGTATCAGAAGGTGTATAGCCCAAACAAGATCCAATTGTGTATAAAATACATTAGACAAAATTGTATCTCTATTACGGCAGTCGAATAATATTAATTCTTTGTGAGAAGGCTATGAGAAGTATAAACTTGGAGGCAGACGAAGAAGTAACAAATGAGTTCGCTTTACTCCATAAGTTTTTCTATAGAAGTATCAATACCGTATTGACACTAAATATTTAGCTAACCGATGCAGCAATTGAATCTAAGGCCTAAATAATATTATAATATTGACGATGGGGAAACGTAAACAGCATCATTTGCGATAAAAGCAAACGATATCCAGGCTGGGATCTCTCCAGCCATAATTGACGAGATGCCAGTTGTGTGTCCATGCAAACTGATATTAACTGGTTAAAACAGTAAAGCTACATTTACATGCAATCTACCTATCGACAAGCTTGGTTTAGTCAGCTGACTTCACATGCAAAATCTAGAACATGGGCTGAAACAAATGCTTAGAGGTATTAGCCAGAGGTTCTCCACGCTGTATCAGATTCCTTCCTGGGATGTTCCGCTGGCATACGCGGAAAGACTATTTCATATGGATTCCGCTTTTAACCGACAACTATAAAACTTAATTATATAGGGTGAATTAAAAAATGAGAAAAGTGATTTTCGAGCCTACGAGGTTTAGCTCAGCGAATAAAAAAGGCTAGAGTCCAATTCTGAAGAACTGGTGTGCTTTCTGATCAAAATGGGTCTTCAAATGCAGGTTAATAATCAAATGCCCAAAATGGTGGCGAAGATTGTGAGTGTTATGTTTACTCAGCAGGTGGCGGTGGAATCGTCGATGTGATTGCGTAAACCTGTAAATAGCAAGATAATAGGAGTAACTTCGCAAAGGTACGTTTAAGTTTTGAAGAGCGAAAGCATGTTATTAAGCGGCACTGGATGTTTGAGTCGCTGCGGTTCAGAGACAGTGAACATGTGGATTTTCTACGTGCCTTCTAGATTTTACGTCGCTCAATTTTCACTATAGGGCAGAAAAAAAAAGAGGTACAATCGTAAATTAGAAAATAATAGTAAATTAGGACTGAGATTTAAGCGGTGTCCGCAGAAATTTTATTAGGCACATTCTTCCGAAGTATAAAAGCAGTCGTGGCTTCTCAGAACTTTATCAAATCTGAAGGTCACCACTGTGAAAACTAAACTCAAAGTGTATTTGGAGCACTGAGTTTCGCCAGAAAGTATCCTTATTTTTCAATTTGAACTCTAGCATTCCGTGTCACAAAGGTTTGACCTTGTAAGTTGGAAAATTAATCTTTATAACTGTTTGAAATGTGTACGAATTTTCTTAATGCGCCCTATATAGCCTAACGCATGTAAGCGCAATAAACGTTTAACTTATTAAATAGCATTAACAGATCATTTTTAAAATTTGAAATAACTCAAGGAAAATGACTGATAAACATACGAAGATGTAGCAGAAGTTTACAGCTTTCAATTCAATGAAGGTTGTTCTTACTTTTCAACGAATCTCAACTACCCGTACAATATCTACGCTAATTTACGATGACAGATTGACTTAGATGAATTTTGTTCATGGGTTAAGAATTTAGGTAAAACGAGCGCTATTCAAATTTGTAAAAGCCTTTAAACACGGTAAAATTTTTAACTAGATGGCCTGACTTGACGCCTGCATCATTCGGGAATAAATCCTGTTTAGTAGTATTGTTGAAACGTGAGTCAATATACTTTGGGTAAATGACAATGCTGCAAAGCAGGAAGATGCCCTTTCAAAATGCTACAGGCAAAACACGCATTTAGTAGGGCTATATTAAACTTCGCATTTGAATAAAAATGTCTTAAATCTATCAGTATAAATACAAATATAGGTTTTTTTTTAAATAAAGCAATGAAAATGTTAGCTTTTTCCATCCATGTCATAATATGTTTTATTAAAACTACATGTAGATCTTAGACTTTATTTCAACTAGTCATATTCTAGTAAACGAGTTTGTCCTTACAGCTGCGTTATTTTAATTCAGATGACATGTGTTTACTGGCAATCTACCTACACACTCAACAAAACAACTCGATTACCGATTCTGTCGGTCCCTCTGAACTGCGCCATTCTGCACCTGCCGCGGTCAACCCATGGACAGACGCTCAAATGGCATCAGATTAGTAGTACATAAAAATGCAACTACATCCTAATCTTTGCGCAAGCGGGCTGATAGTCACTACCGATTTGAGTCTCTTACCAATAGGTGGGTCCGAGCTTCTCAATGACAACAGCATAGTTGGGTGGCCAACCCAAAAATCTGAAAGGAGCTTTCGTTAAGCGGTCGGAGAAAACACTCTCGGTTTAGGGAGTCCGGAGAGATGCCCTGGTTGTTTTTTCTTTGATGAGAGCAGGATGGGGTGAACGACTTGCACAAACAGTACGGTTCGCTGTCCTCTGCCGCACGAAACTAAACGGCGAGCGGCTTCGTCGCAATTCTACGACTAGTCGATTATATCCCCCTTCCCCGGGTCTCAGATCTGGGCCATAGGTAGATGCTTCGTTTACGATGAACATTTGATAGGGAAGATGAGCTTTCTACTCTGACCGCTACTGTCTAATAGAAATACTAAAATATAAGCAATGAGAAACTGTTGTCGCGGCAGCAATTGTGATCGGTGCTGAGTGATAGGCCACTAGGTTTGTCTAGACCCAGTCATTGTCAGTACGAAAGGTCAGGTGTCAGGCTGCGTATTAGAGGTTTGAAATTCCGGACGGCGAATGGGAATGAAGTTGCTGAAATGGCGGAGTGGGAAAAGGGGTTTTAAGGGGTGTTGTTAAACAGGATCTTCCTATAATCAGCAGCGGATTGGTGGTTTTACCAGCTGACCTCTGAGAAATCCCGTGACATTTATTGCAACGGCTTCATTGTCGGCTCAGTCACCTGGCTTTACTTGCAGTCAGAACAGAATTGGCACAAAGATATTCTATTTCTTTCTCTATATATTCGAAAAATTTGCGTTTCGAAATAATTTTAGGTTCCATTTGAAAGATTTCAATATTTATTTTGCGTTACGCTTCCATACAATTTTGTAGCTTCATAAGGCGGCAAACTGAATACAAAATTTTTTAGTGCAAACTCTCGCGAGCATAAAATTCGAACGGTTTGAGCTAGTCGTAAATAAAATTTAATAATTATTGAATGCTTTACGAAATTCACTGGATGAGCGAAGATATCTTTTATTGGACTTCACCATCATATAAGCTTAGTGTATCTGTACTTAACGTACAGACGATAACAATGTGCTGTGATATCACCTATCTTTTTCGAACTTATCAACTATTTGCTTGTATGTCTTCACTGGTCATCTAACTGGAGCCAGTGGATTTGCGTTTTTCAAGCAACATTTACAACATGTGAAAATTATTTTTACGTCTCTTTAACGTGGCTATTTTTTAGTAGTTTGTCCTTATGGTGCTGTCCTCGACATGTGCTTCGAACGTTTTTGTTTAAATTATTACATGGCTACATCGTCATCACAGATCTTTCCAGCGTCACATTCGTCTATATCTGCCGGGCTATCTAAGTTCCCACTGTTTTATTAATTAATTCACTCATTACGTTACGGTTGAGCTCCGGTGCTTTGCCTCTTCTCTGTAGGAACACATATCAACGAATTCTTTTTTCCGTATAGCTACGTAACTTAGCTAGTCCTGGCCGGTGCGCGGCGGACGCTGACCGTTTAGTGCTAGCCGTCATTGTCCACCAGCTGATGCGGAAGAGGATAAGCCAAACAGCTGATAGTTCGATGCAGTGAGATCGATTTTGTTATAGATTGTGGGTATTGAGCATTTTCAGCATACGATAGTATGTTGTAAAAAAGTCATGTGTGTTTTTCGGCGATAAATTTTCAAGGAAAGTACGTAGATAAACTATGGTTGCGTCTTCCAATAGTAAGCACGTCATAGATAACCATCATAGCAAAAAATGCTTAGCTAATATATCATCTGAAAATTATTCCAAAATTGAATAGCTACGAATATTAACATGGCATTTCTCTCTTAAAGCTTAAATTAAATTTAGAAAAAAAAAAAAGTTTTTATTGCCTGACGAGAGTTACTCTTCTCGCGGTTGAAATCTCTTCTAGCCGTTAGAAATAAACTACTATATGCATATAACATGCAAGCACCTTCCTAAATATCGAAATTTGTTTTTTTTATCTATTAAATGTTATTGAGAAACATGGCTATAGGTTAAATATAATTAGGTTAAGTGATTAAAATACTTACATTCTTCTTCGTGTGTTTATTCTCTTCGTTGTCTGATTAAACGCCACATGAAATCAGCTTTACGAAGGCTTGCCTAGCTACCGTCTCCGACTGACCTAAAACCGAAACATCCACATTACCTACTCTTATGAAAGGACCCCTAACTGATCTGTGGGTGGCTGTCAAGGAGCACGTTAGGGATGTCCAGACCTTTCATCGACTTAGCACTACTCACTCTTGTAAGAGAGTTCGTTATATTCGTCACTAATCTATATGCAAACGCCTGAGCTAATGCAGGTTATTGTTAATGTTAACTGTCATCGTTATTGTTCCTTTACACCAGGTGTAGGACAAACCGCTTCCAAGAGTTATGAGAGGCCTTTGGCCTAGCAGGCATAAAGGAAACATATGGAGGACCACGAAACTGTCCTCTCGGAGGTTCATGTCGGGATTCCAGGCGTCAGCTCAACAGCGACAAATATCATTTCTCGTTTTGAGTTCGCTGTGCCCCGCGTAGCAACATCGCCACTGGTGCGGCCTCAATTGACACGATCTTTTAGTAAGGACAGCAACGAGATGGACACTGAAATGTCAGCTCAAACAATTTCTATCGGTTATGCTGTCGGTACCACGGAGTCAGAAAGCACAACGATGAAGCTCTTAAAGCTAGAGAATCCTTCCGGGGACATGAACGAGATAGATAAATATTCAAAGGCCGACGAGACAACTGCTGCAGATCAATCTCCACCTCGTAAAACTCGGGCTAATGAAGTGATTCTCATTGAACACCACATGGCAACCCATCTAGTCAAAGTCGGCCTTCAGGTATTTCGATGTTATAACATACAAGAAGAGCCACAACGTTACAATAACAGGTGTACTATCGCCGATCGAACTGGATATTTTTATTATCTGCGTTGAAACCTTACATCCAATAAATATAGCAGCTTTAGGTCACGTAGAATTAAGCATTTTGTAAATATATTCAGATTAAAATGCAGAATACCTAACTATCTATTTCCTCCTTTTAATTTGCTTCTGAAAATAGTTTGCTCAAAGTGTTTCTTCTTTTCAAAATTATAACAGACTATCTTTCCGCGGATTTGTTGCTTGAGGAAAAGCTTGTCTCTACACGTGGTTACAAAGTGCTTACTAATCCGTGCTTGCAGGTATGGCCAGCAGCGCTCCTCATGGCTGATTTTCTAATTCATCACGGCAGCAGGTGGAAAAATTGCATTATGCTCGAGCTTGGTGGGGGAGTTGGACTATGTGGTATTGTGTCGGCCATGTTCGCTCAACGAACGATTTGCAGTGACTACCTAGCAGAAATTGTTGAGTTAATGAAACGAAATTTCCAAAGAAACTCAACCTTGCTCAAAGGCGAGTACGAGTGCCGTCTAATCGACGTGAGGTTTCCCTTATTAACTAGCTTGAAGTCATCGTATTCTTCGTCTTCAACGTTAGCTGGTGTCACCGACAACGAAATGCCAGTCTGTGATGTGATCTTCGCGTCGGACATCATCTACAGCGATGAGATTACCGAAGCATTGATGACCTATGTTAAGAGTCTTCTCCGGCAACGGCCTCGGCGTGAATTCTATTTGTCGTTAGAGCGCAGACTGAATTTCACGACGAAGACGCTCACCACTTCCTGTCCAGCTTATGATTATTTTGTAGAGCTATGTCATCAGTTATGTCTCGCAAGAGAGAGCGTTGATATTAGTCAAATGCCAAGCTATTTTCAGTATGAGCGTTCTGCGTACTTGGAAATGTATCGCATCACGTTAATGCCCAACAATAAATAGCTTTTTTTGTTAGCTGAAGGCAGTAAAATGGGAGACGATAATAAATTTGAATGATTTATCGATTTAAATACATAGCGTACAGCTTGTAAGATTATATGCGTGGCTTCGTGCGTATGCGAAGGCTGGGCTTCAAGCAAAGGTGAGGTGGTGGACGAAGCGAGTTGAGCGAATCTAATATTTCGTTGTCCGTAACAGAATTAGACTGAGTGGTAAGTTTACAAGTAAATATATTATTGTGTAAGCTTCATAATGTTGAAGTCATTGAAGTAAGTTTTGGGTGACCATAATTGTATGGTAAAAAAAAACTAACGATTTAATATCAACACGTTGTCTGAATCTTCTGTTGGTTGCATTGTGTGAGACTCTACATGATTTGAACTCGCATAGAACTTCAATGACCGAATAAATACCCGTTGATATGTGTTATCGCTTCCATTGTTTTTATCACTATAAATATCTAGCAAAAATATGTCCTGTTATCAACGAAATTTCCGTAGACAACTGATAGGGCACAATTGGGTGTTTTCATCTGATTGTTTCCCAAATGAAAGCGATCGTATCCAAAGGTGTCAAGAAAAAATACCGACTTTTAAACACCGCTTTAGTCTTCTGATTTAAAAATACGTTCTTCGTTCATAAACGTCGGTATACATTTGGCCAAGAGACATTTGGGTCATTTGGAATCACTTCCACAGTAGAGGACGCAGTGAAGACGATTCATATAGCGACGCTGTAGAATCGCGCAGTGGAGAAACTAGCTCTAGGCCCAGTGGGCCTGTACAGATTCGTCCTTTGACCTATGCAGTGTTTAATCCTGGTGCTATCTATAGTCAGGCTGTAGACAGGGTTGCTTAACCTTGTAGCAGAGGACAAGCCACCTTTGTGTGATGCGCATATGAGTGGAGAACTGGGATAATTTGAATTACGCTGGTGCGTTCGGTGACAGGTGAGTGGATAGAAGAGCAGAGGTTAGAAAAATTAATTCTGGTCTTAAAAGATATTTATGCCCACGTGACACAGGTCTTTATAGAGTATATGCGCTCCGAACTGCAAACTATCGGTATTCTGTTTTAGATTGTTACTACCTAACAAATACTAGCCACTAATATCAGATTGCTGTCAAATAATCGAGCCGAAAATAGATGAAATAAAGCCCCTATAAACTAGAGTATTTCATTATCTATCACGGAATCATATAATATCACATATTATAGTTTAAGCTACTTAATTTAAAGTAACAGAACTTGCCAGTCAAACTGTATCTATGTAGAAGCGCTAGTAGTTTTATTTACTCATGATATTCATTCTAGAAAATGTTCAGCTGCTGGTTTCAAAACGTTCCGGACGTTAGAACTTGATATACTTACTGAGCAGACCAAGTTAGTTGCGTATTGCTTGGATCGATAATGCGTTACTAGTTCAAGAAGTAGGATATTTGGATAAAATAGTATTCAAATTAGTGAAACCAAATGCGCAAGATATAAAATACCGAAGCAAAGGTTTGCCTATAAGTAAACTCTAAATATTTTAGATACTTTGTTTTGCTGTTGTACTATTGTTCATCATTGTGCCAGTACTATTTCTGCTTGCGGGATATCATGCACTAGACATTCGTATCGTACCCTTTATTTATTTGGTTCTTAAAGTGACGACCCGAACGCTTATCGTGTTTCTGACAATTTATTTTTTAGTTAAAAATACTATTCTCAATCAATTAGGTATTTCTAAGTAGACAATGTCAAGCACACAATTTCGAATGGCTCTTGCAGGTCAGTCCTCTTTCTTATACTATGATTTAAGCTCTTTCGGTGCTCTGTATGCGACTCGAGTTTTCGAAGCTCTTCATGCAAACCAACTATATGCCAGTTCAGGGATGATCATGGTCTTGTATAATTTACATTTAACTATTTTGCTTTACAGTAAGCTACAGAGCGATTATTTATCTACTTACATGAGTTGTCCACTGTCATGGAAAACTGTGGATGATGCGCTTACGAAAAAGAATGCACAAAAGTAAAGTACAGCATAGTTGAGAGAACCAGTTTCATCTACCAAAGGTTCTTTACAATGGTGACGTTGGACCTTTTATACGTTCATTTACTGCCAGCAGGTTTACTAAACCCGTTATTTGCTCGTCTAGATTTGGTGCAGTTAATTTTGAATGGCTAAGGCAGATTCGTCTTTTCTAGCACAAAAGGTTTATTGCAGCGAATTGTCCTGTTTCTGCTGCTGTGTTGGGTATCTTTTATAGTCCTTTGATTTGATTCAATCCAGTGATCCTGTGAATGAGTCTGAGTATTTAGTGGATCGCTCATAATGAGCTCCGCCCTCCGAGACTCCCGTCAGGCCAAAACAGGCCAATACAGTAGTTCAACATGGGGTCGTAGAGGCGGGCGCGACCTCACCCACTATGATGACAGCTCATGTTGCTAACCGGTCGGCCAACGAACGCCCTTCACTGTTCCGCTGCATGGTAGGAAGTGGTTGCTTCGCGTCTCGGGAAGCCATAACTGCGTCTGCCCAGTGCCCTATGGGCGCTTGTCCGGATTCCCCATAGCCCACCATAGTTCGCCGTGGTCGCAATAGTCTCCGGCCTAGGCCATGAATACCCAGCAGGCGTCTAGTGCAGCCACGTCGCAAGCGTCCGTAGGAGAGCAGCTTGCAGGCGTATTGCCTATCGGTGTGCCACTAACACAAGCAACGGCAAGTTACCCTCCAGCCAGTGCACATACCGACGAGATCCCTAAATGCGAGTGAGTGTCATCGTATCGTTATGTGGTGTGCAGGAATCGGACCGAAGCGTACGGCTTCGGAAACCCCAACATGCCGATTCAAACCTCTTGAAACCTTCGCTCTTCGGTTTTCTCTAGTATGAGCCGCATGCGCGGTTGTTCACAACGATTTGTTGATGCGGTAGCCAGAAAAAAAAGTGTCGGAAATGGTCGTACGTGCGTTTCTCGAAACTTAGTTGGTCAAGGAACGATTGAGCCCTTATGCTATAGTATATGCTGATGATTTCGATTGAGTGCTTACTGTTTCCCTTGTTCATCTATCTAATGTAGCTGTGATTAATTTGGTCGTAGCCGATCCAAGGTTTTTTTACCGAAGAAACTGATCATCTTTTTTTCGATCTTAAAAAGAGAGGGCGAGAGTAGAGTGAGTGAGAGTGACGTGTGTTATCCGTAAATGAGGTGACCAAAATTCACTTGCGCTTCGCTCGCGTGTTCAATGTCCTCATGATCAGTGGGAGTCTATCGTTGGTCCTGATGTTGTTGTTGTTGTTGTTGTTCTTCCAGAAGTTCGTGTGCCGACCTCCAGCTACTAGGTGATTGCAGTAGTGCCGAAAGCGGTGTATACTATGCGCCGTCGGCTCCTGTGCAACAGCAACAGACGGCCTGTTACCAGGAAAGCTATCATCAGCAGGACTATGTGTTTAATTACTACGAGCAGGAATCATCTCGAGGATACACCCCATCGTCAGATTATGCATTTAACACAAATGGCGGAACAGCAAGTACGAATAACGATGGAGGAGGCATGGCCATGCACCGATTGCCATTTGTTGCCACTGACGAGTTTCGGTTTGTGGCCGGTGACACCGAGTACTTTGACGTCCACCTCGACAATCATCCAGCCGCAACGACCGCTGATGAACTGCCGCTCATCCACCAGCAAAGCGATTTGCCACCCTCATACGATAATACGTCTCTATACGTCGACCCGTTACCGACCTTCGCCGAGCGTTCAACGGCTGCATCCGTCATTTGCGAGTCAACTACCTCCTTTGACAACCAAATTACCCCGATCACCAGTGAGTCCAGCTACCACCCCGAGCCGATGGTTCCCACCTGTTTGGGAGCCAGTGGAGGCGTATGCAGTAACAGCTGCACAGTCTGCGGTCGTTTCTGCGCACGTTCATCGACGCTCAAAACGCACCTGCGGGTGCATTCTGGCGAAAGGCCTTATGCATGTAGGCAGTGCCTTAAACGCTTCTCGCAAGCTGCCAATTTAACGGCGCACATGCGTATTCACTCGGGTGAAAAGCCTTTCTTATGCCCGGTATGCCACCGGAAGTTTTCGCAAAGCTCATCGGTGACCACGCACATGCGAACCCATTCCGGTGAGCGACCATACGCCTGCTCACTGTGTAAGAAAAGCTTCTCAGATAGCTCGACGCTGACGAAACATTTTCGAACGCATAGCGGAGAGCGGCCGTACCAGTGCAGGGTGTGCTTTATGCGCTTCTCGCAGTCGGGCAACCTCAATCGGCACATGAAGATTCACGGTCAAAAAAGTAGCACCTGAAAACCCAGTATTTTACGGTTGGGTCAATACATGTATCTAATTACAGAGTGCGAGCGAATCTAAAGAACAAAAAATAGACATCTGGAGCTTGACGGGATGTCACCACGTCCACGTAACCTGTGTCACAGTGGAACTGCTCTCTCGGATGAGCATGGGGAAATTACTGAAGTGATCCTATTATCATATTTCGTCGTTCATTTTGTCACGAATCAAATGCGTGTACATCCGTAGGGATAGATGTTGTATGTTGAGCTTTGGTTAAGCCGGACGGCAGCTGCGCTCAGTCTCTTTCTCAACTTCGAAAAGCGACTCGTATCGGATCGTCTATTCTCACGGATATGCCCGAGTCTAGAATGAAATGTTAGCTAAAAATTATTGTGTATAAAAAAAACATTAGGAGCATTAATTATTAATCATTGACGATTTCGTGCAGGCAGCAACTACCAAGTAAGCTTTCCGCTATTACACTTACTGATACGGTGAGCCGCCTTCGTAGGGCAAATAATATTATTGTCAGCGTTGATCACCGTGGCGATTTCGTTGCATCTAGTTCGGTCACCGCCGAGTGAATTAATGGATTGCAAAATAAAAAAAAAAACTTCCTAAGTCTTGCGCTATTAACCTCTGAGCTGATTCGGTAGCAAAATTTGCTTCGATACTCCTGCCGATTTGAGAACACCAACGATACACAGGTATACCTCATCTGTTAGCTATTCCCTTCATAAATCGGCCTTTGGTTCGTTGTGGAAGCGCAATGTCTTTTGATATCAAGTAGACATGACAACTTTGATATCACCTATGACACATTCTACTACCCTGAAATATAAAAGCTGGGATAATTAGATAACTAGAACGTAATGCAACTTCGGTTGGTCATTGAGTACATTAAATTCTCCATGCTTCTTGCTGTACCTTATTAATTAAACTGGCCGTTCAGTAAATGAACTGTATCATCAGAGTATGTTTTAAGGACAGCATAGTTCAGGACAAATGTAACCATTCTGTTTGTTGTACAGGAACGCTAAATGATAACCAGATTGCGCTACCACTTTTTGTAGCGCAACCTAGTTATCAGGGGCGCAAATCGGGGTTTTAGACGGCTTTATCTTAAAATCGTCTGCACGGGTTTTGTGAGAAACGTTGTGATCATATAAGCAACTTTCGAGATCCTCACCATAGACCAGTTATATAGCAGGGCCCAGAAAAGACCTCTGAGGGACATCGGAACTACACAACTTGTGCTCTGAGAGATAGTCTTTAACCACAAATGACTGATCAGATAGGTAAACCCGGTACCAAACCAGTATGTGGGAGCTGATCCCAAAGGCTGGAATTTCAACAAATAATAATTTGTAATCTATTCAGTCGAAGACGAGACAACGGAATTCAAAATGAACAACTTACTGAATAATCTCGACTGCAATCTATCATCAACCCTGTCATGCGGTAGAAACGCATGGAACGCATGGGTTTTGGAACGTCATGTGCCGGCTCAGAGTCTCAAGATGAATCCGTCCAAAGGCAGATTAAAGGATCCACTGGTAGGTAGAAACTTGTATATCTCGTCGCGAAATGAAATAGGGGGTAGCGTCAGTAACTTGAAATCAAAATGTCTTCGGTTATATTCTGGTTGACCACTTGCAAGTTGATGCGGTCCTAACTTACAGATACGGGAATCAAATTATTTGTCGTACAATATTATATTGCATAACAAACGGCTAGAAGTAGTACCTTAAGCTAGAAGTCTATAGTTTTCAGGTTCGCTACGCAATCCCTTTTCATAAACAGGAGGGACAATTGACCTTCAAAGGACCTGTAGTGTAGAGTATCCTTTAAGATCTCGAGTAAAGGCTAACGATAAAGACTTGGACAGAGCGTCAGTCAGTTTTAAGCAAGTAATCGGTAGATCCGTGCTGCAAATCAGCTTACATTTTTTACTTAATGCAATTCGTGATAAAAAAATATCCGGCAAGAAACCGACATTTTAAATTTACGCTATTTTGCCGCTCGAATTATTAATGAGAACTACCTGAGTGAATATAGATATGCCTCAAATGCGACGTAACATGCCCCCTTACCTGTATGATCAGTACAAACGGTGTAACCTTGGTTCAAAACCTAATATACTTCTTTGCATATTTAAGGCAGCCATTACAAAAGTCTAAATTCAGACTGGACGTCGCGAATTCCCGTCAATGCTCGGGCCAGATCTCAAGTAAGACTACAGGCCATCTTGGCTATGTTGAAACAAATGATATGCTTTCTTTTCCCCATTGTATTTGCCCATAGGGCTTAGGATTAGATTTGGGGTTACAAAGGATGCACTTGGCTTGACGTACTTTTCGTTTATACTAAACTGAATACAACAAAAGTGCGAATACATTATACTGTATATCTATGGCAACGACGTACAAATTCCGTGAATTTCGATACCACACAGCCATCGACGGCTTTCCACTCGAATTCCTATTGCAATGTTTTGCAGCATTTGTAATGTTAAGCGAGAAACAGATGTGATATTAGACCCAATCACATTTAAAAAAAAAACAACTATACTGAATAACAATAAATAACTCTAATATATCTCTTGTATTATGCAGGTCTCTTTCTCAGTGTATCACAAAAAACAGGTTAATCAAACTGTGTTTATCTGGTGAAGGAAAGATAAGTTCGGCTGTCGCGTTCAAATTCTAAATACCCAGTGAGCTATGTAATAAACACATACAGCTTCGCTTTCTCACGGCTTCACACATTAATCTATTATTTATTTGGTTTCAGCAGGTGTTACTATAAACACGTTCTTGAGATTATCTCGCGATCAGACTTTCGGACAGATTTAAACATACGCATATAATCTGCGTCGTCTAGGAGCGAGAGGACCATGGCCGTCTCAAGCTTTTCCTATTCTCCATTTGGGCGTGTCGAGTGCGTTTAGATTGTGCACTCTTATGAGTCCTGACGCGGCAGTTTCAGCTAGACGACGCTAGATGTCAGTGCATTGCGTACCTTTTAGTAAAACTCGAGTTGAAGGGAATAGATGTAAAGTTAAGGGCTTTTTTCTGAAGTCAAGCAACGGAAAATTGCCCTGTGTACGAACCCGTCTAGTAAACCGAGTCATTTGCCTACGTAGATATTGAAATCCAAGCTTGGCTCTAAAATAACATCAAGATCTCTCATATTAGATTCACCGTGGGAATAATATGTCCATACATTGATGTCCAACTTTTTGGCAGTGTACAGCATATTTGGGTTGAGCAGGATTGATTATATTATTTTGTCTATTATTTGAGTAAGGATTTGAGTATTAGAAAGGCCATTAACATATTGTATGCATTTTACAGTAAGGGGAATCGCGGCACGTTAAATAGAGAAGTTCCACTTCTATCAAGACAAGTTTGATACTGAAACGTCTGTTTTCGAGTTTGTCGTATATTCAGAAAATTGGACGCCTAGTAATGTTAACAATAACAACAATATGTAAAAATAATATTTAGAATCAATCTTCCGTGGTAAGCAGCTTTTTATGTGATCAGGGTAAGTGAAAATACTTAGCGTCCTTGGTAGATTGCTCGATAGGTAGATAAAACGAAGACTTCAATGGTCTTATTGTTGTTTTAGGTGCCGGTGAGTTGGTTAGAATGGTCAGTCTCTATTGTCCTGCTGCCATCCAAAACCGGATTAACCGAAAGGCAGATAGATACTTCACGTACGATAACATTGTTTGATTTTTTTTTATAGCTCCCGTATTACATGAGATACAAACTAGGTTGTCAAATGTACTTGTCGTTGTCACATTTGGCTTACTATTATGTATTTAAGTCAAAATAGCTGCAAAGAATAATAAAAAAAAAAAAAGGAAAAATAAATGAAGAGAAAACATGATCTACCTAAAAAAACAGGTTTACTCCAAACGTGACTTGAAGCTAACGAATACAGTCTGTTCCTTTCATTTTCATATGAAATTTATAATCTTCTAATGTGCGATTTTCGATTTCTTACCGCAAAAAATTACTAGCGTATTCTGTTATACATATATTTCTGTGGTTGCCGAAAAAGCATTGCTCGTTTTGAAGCAAAAATTGAAGTGAATATTTTTTATATTGTAAAATAAAGAAAAAAAATACCATCTGTCTAATAATAGCAAAGATTTTTAGGTAAAGATTGTCGTAACAAGTGATTTTTACATCTCTTCATCTAAACCAACTTAACACCATTAAGAGAGTTCTGCAGATAACGAAATAGAAGGTCGTCCGATGGTGCAAGGTCCGGGCAAAATGGCGGACGCATCAAAATTTCCTATCCAAGTTCGCTTAATTTTTGCCGGCAAGCCAAAGATGTATGTGGTTTAGCAACGTGATGATGGAAGACGACGTTTTTTCTGTACACTAGTTCCGGTCGATTTTTTTCAATGGTTAGCTGTAATCTTGTTAATTGTTGGCAGTAGAGGTCCGAGTCAATTATTTGGCAACAACTCATAATGTACGATTCGTTTTTAATTCCACTGAACATATAGCGTCAGAGAGCTGACGTGCTCGAAATTGGCAATAATGAAGCATTTTTTTTTGCTTGTACATTGTTTTATGAAATCTATTTTTCGTCATGTGTGATCAACCGCCTTAAAAATAGATCGATCCCACTACGTTCTCATGAAGTTTTACAGAAGACAATACGATCAAGTAAATCTTTTTGCGCCATGTCGTGCTACGGCGAGCTTTTCGCTGAAGTCAGCTTTTTTTTTAATAGTTTAACGAATGTTTAGTTTTACGGCGATATCATGGTTACTTCAATGTCGATGTTGCTCAACCTTGTCAATAATTTTAGCATTTTTTTTTTCTGTAATTGGTCGGCCATTACGAAGGGCGCCTTTCACATCGGAATTTCCAGAACAAAAGTCACGGAACTTTTTCTTTAAGCTGATAACGTATAAACACGGCACATTTTTTCCATAATTTCTGCCAACATCCGTGTGTTTATCGTAATGAAATTATAAAATATAGCAAATTTTTACAGAAATGTTATTCTTGAATAAAAAATTCGAACCTGTCTACTACTGTCAAATCTCAACTTTGACATGATATAACCCGACATGACTACAATTACCCGAGATATATGATCCTTAGCTAGAACGACGGTTAATACCTTTCTCGGTATATATATATACATATATATATATGTAAATATATATACCGAGAAAGGTATATATATATATATATATATACATATATATAATTGTAATCAAAGATGCAATGCACTTCTTATGGCCATCTATAATATTTTCTTACTACAAACAGAGGGTTCTAAATCTTGATACAGAAACAAAGTAATGCCCAGTCGAAAGAAAAGTCTATTTGTTGTGTGAGTTTTTTTTGACTATTTTTATTAAGTGCCATATAGATGACGTAAACGTACTCTTTTTAGCACCACCTCCTCTGTAACTGTGTGTTTGTGTGTGTGTGTGTATGTTTGCATCTATAACGATGAATAAAGACATTACCGTCATTTATCAGGCTTCTGTATTGCATTGTATATTTGATAGTTACCTCTAGATGAGTCATTCCTCATTCACTACATAGCTACAGATCGTTCAAAGGCGTGCTAGACGAAGCTCGAATGAAATACCGGCAAGAGGGAATCCATTTTAATCCGCTTACCGAAACGGACAAGTAGGTAAGATCTGAATGCAAAAAAAAACACTTGACCATATAAGGCTTCCGTTTCAACATAATCTAACATAATTTTAGGCGCGGTTGGCGCCACCGTACTCAATCGTACGACCGAGTTGTTCTGCAGTAATTAAGTGACGTTGTATCTAATAGAACATCAATATCCGCGAACAACAATCAATTTCTCGCCTTTGAACGGAAAAGTCATTTATCATATCATATGTAAGCTTTCGCAACGTATCATAGATTATTACCTATGATTACTCAGGACGAGGAATAACTCCAAATATTTCTATGTGACTATGTCAACATCTACTATTTAGCTTTCAAATGAAACTTTTGCTATATTTATTATAGCTGTCTTTTAAGCTGTAGCTCGTTACTCCACTGGATCGACTAACTCACTCATGTTTCCTTTCCGTACAAAACTGAGCAGGTGTGAACGGGACTGATTCACCGGTTTACAATACCTCTTGTTTATGGCAGCAGGGTCCAACTGTTACAAGCGGTGGCCCTTAGACGCTGAATAAACGGAACGCCTATCCGTCGCAGGCCGTAAGCGAAGCAGGGCTCAGCTTTCAGTATCCATATTGCCGTGATCGTGATCATCGTCCTTATAATCGGCATCCTGACGGCTAGAAGAGGCTAGACGTGGCAATTCTTTCCTTTATAAGTAAGCATTGTGCGGTTGATACCAACCATGTCGGCTAAACGCAGGTTACTCTTGTACGGAAGGACACTGCAAGGAGAGAGCGCGCACGAGGCGAGAGTAAAAGAAGGAAAAGGAAAGGTCAGACGAAAAAAGGAAAATGGAAGGGAAAACGTTAAAAAAGGCAAAGCGCTAATAGGCGATGTATTCTGTTAGGCCCCGCCACGCAGGCGGAGTGGTCAGTGGGTGGGGCTAGAGTTAAACAGCAGCGGGCAGAATCATGTATCACTCTTGGCACAGATCAACGTGCACATAGCTACACAGGCAGGTGCTCCATAGATGGAAGCAAGCAATCAAACAGATATAGTATTGAGTCACTCATTGCTTTACGTACGTACATTTAGTGCTTGAAAGATATAGGCGGGACATCTAGCCATCGTATCCCACTGCCACGGGCGGAGCACTTGGCACGAAAAATCTAGACGTAAACAATGCTAATGAAGGCCTGTATGTCGTTTTCCATAACAAATTATGTAGAGTCGACTGAACAAGTACTATAACGTGGTGCTACGTACAAATAGACGCAAATGAAAATGGGGTGTAAAAGAATAGAAAAAGCCAGGCAATTTAGTCATTAGTTAGCTTTAAAGTGTTTGAAGCGGATATGCCACTCAAATACGTGTGTCTACACAATAACATAAGTAATACAATTGACTGAGTTCGCTTTATTAGGTGTTTGCTTCTCGAATGCTTTGAGTATCGTTATGCATCTATGGACAACTTCTCTGTTCATATAGCGAAATCCAGCATATATACATACATATATTTAATTGATCAACAATATGTGCATTGTTATGAAAGCGGTCAAACGATTATATATTCATCGTTGGGCGATAGCTCGACAATTTTTGCGGACAATGGCCAACACAACGAATGTTACAAAACCTTATTACTATACGCTAGCATAGCTGCCTTAACATTCCACATCAATCAATGACTAACAATTGATTGACTACAAAAAAAACAGGGCGAAGTCGTCTCAGCCTGACCAACAGGTCAGACACTGTTAACCCTATGTAAGTTACGACACAATAAACATCTTTCCTTTTTTATTATTCTCTTTTTTCTACTATCGTATTTTAGTCTAAAAATAACGTCGATAGTGTAGACACTGAGTACCAAACATCGCTTGTTCTCAAAGGATAATTTGCCTACGACTTTCAGGCGGGAAATATTAGGACTTGCCCGCATATGGTACCGAAAAAAAGCAAAAAAAAACTGTTCATAAAGCCGAAGGGAAAATCCTAGAGGCTACATGAACAACATAAATAATGACAGATTGGCCTCTGATGGGTTAAGTCAATCGTTGGTTATACAATAGAATTTCTATGATGCATTTTATGTCGATCAGAAAAAATTGGAGCAACAATTTCAGTGAATTTTCTTGAAGCGTGACGCAGGATCGAAAGTGAACATCGCCTCAGTTAAGCCCAGTTCCTTGCACAGATACCTTAGTAGACGGACCGGGATCCAGCTGTAATAGTTTGCACATAAAAATGCAATTCCATTACAGAAATGTTAATTAATTAAATTAACGCCAAATAAGACAAGGACACACAACGCATATAGTAAGTTGGATGAACAACTATTTATAAGTTATTAAGGCAACACCCACACTTGACACAGTTCTGTTTATTTTACATCATATTATTCTGCAAAGGTCATAAAAACAAGTGACTTAAAGAAACCTATGGCGGACAATTAAAGGGAAAGAGTACATTAGTGGGTTAGTTTGTGTCACTGTGCAGTATCAGACGCTATATAGATCAATGAAGTTAGCTCATAATGACGCTATGATATAGCGTCTCTTGAGTTGCGGAAAATGCAAAACGCTTTTAAACCATATTCTGGGTCATAGAGATGGAGTCCGGGTATGGACAGACTTCGCTTCATGCTGGAAGCCAGCCATCGTCGAATATCTAATGGCGGACGTAAAATTCTTGTCTTTTGAGGTTTCCTCTTGGATCACCCAGTGGATCCTTGCCACAGTGCACAGAAATATATATATACAACTGTGTATAATTATGATATGTATTGAGTGTTATTAGAACGGATGTGACATACAGTAAGAGAAAGTAAATTCGTCCCATCACCATGCAACGACGAAAACGGGCTCCAACTACTCCAATGTTTCACGAGCAAGATTGATTTGTACTTTATATTTACCTTATTTGATTCCTGCCAATCGCTGCGTCCTTTTTTTGAGTTTACCAAACTTGAAATAACGGCAGTAAAGTGGAAAAGAAAGATGCCAGTTAAAGTTTGGATTTCCGAGTTTATAAGGCGCATGCAGCGGTCTGCAGGTTAGGCAGGCCTTTTTACTGAATAGAAAATCATTATCTAAAGGGTTAGCTTTAGCAAACACACACAGTAGTTAACTAGGGATCATCAGGTTATTGCTCAAGCTATCAAGGGACAGTCACGAACTAGCATCGTACCCCGTTCTGAGTGCGCCGTAAAAATTATAGAGAAAGCTAATATGGATCACAATTACATCCGTATGTCCGCTTTGAGAATATTTAATGTGGTGTATGAAAAATCCTCAGCAGGCCTTCAACTGGGATGTTGCCGGAAACAGTATAGAGCTGTGACGTCAGTCGACAAAACCTGAAACTTTTCTTAGCTTCGTCGCTTCGTTAATAATAAGTTATTCGGAAGTAGTACGAAATCAGCGAGCAAAACTACGTACTGCCTAAGTGCGATAAGAGGCGCCACATGTCCTGGTATAATAACGATGTCCTTGTTGAGGAGAACCCCTTTGACAACCGAAGACGCAACATAATCGGGGTCGAGAAACGAAAAGGCCCCACCAGTGGCTCCGTGAAACATTCCAGTATTGATGAAGTAGGGGCAGACAATCGTCGTTTTAATGCCAGTATAGCCTAGTAAAAAACATCGCCAATACAAGCGTTATAACGAGATTGACGGGGTACCGAAACAACGAGCAACAGAAATTTCAGATGATTCGATGTACATTTTCCATTTCTCTTTGAAAAATACACCTTACTATCGTTACACTAAGAGTATATACAGGTGCATTTAATGACTTTGCCCCTCGAAATCGCTTAACAGGTGGGTAATGTACACGGATATAATTGACATATACTTATTTGAACGTGGGTGGCGCACCTTCCTGATAGAGTTCAAGAGCGAGAGCCTCGGCAAATCCAACAGCTCCGTACTTCGAGCCGCAGTAGTCAGTGAGCCGATTCACACCGACTTGACCGGCAAGTGACGCAATCGAAACGATATGTCCATGGTTAGAAGATTGCATGTCGGGTAAGAATGCCTTGACAACCTGGTAAAAATGTTCATTTTTACCAAAAGCAATGATATTCAATAAGTTACCAAACCATCTATTTTCTTACGTACAGAGTTAGAAATGAACGATCAAATCAAGTAATCAGCACTTATTATCAACATAACTTTTACAAAGAAACTTTTTGCAGTTGAACCTGAAAATCTCACGTGTATGCCTTCTCAACGAAAACTTATTATAGCAGTTTATTCTAAACTTGTGCGAATTGCATTAATTTTAATATTTAAATTTGAAAATGTTGCCTGCAATAACATAGTGCCTCGTTATATTTGCGGCTTCGGATCCTCTATCATTGCTGCCTTAGTCTAGTGTTCTCGTTAATTTTGTTTATTCGTCTGTTGCAAATACAAAAATAGCATTGCCTTCCATGCTTGACCAGAACACGCACATAATAGAAGAGGTGTCTCAGTAATACAACCAGCCTAGGGTATAATACAACGATCCGCAAATCAGTACGCCAGAAATTCGTGTCATTTTAAGAGCTGATAACGACGTACTATCAGTTCGGTGGCCTCGTCGTTGATGCAGCTTACTGTGTTCGTTTTTAGCATATGTGCTTTCATCTGTACTGAAGGGTAGGCTCAAATGTCGAAATCAGCTATAGTAAATGGCTAGGACGTGGAAAGCGCTCCAGACGCCCTCCATGATGGTGTAATGATAACGTGTTTGCCGGTCAAACTTGTTTACGTTACACGCCCATTGCTTAAAGCACTAATCATTACGATACGAAGTGTCCCTACACCAGGGTCAAAACCTCAATCACTGCAAGTATTTGGATTTGGCAGATTAATACGTTACCCATTGCACAATGATATGTGTTAAGCTTAGAGCCATGCGAGGTAGTTTAAGTTCGAAATCGGACGAAGGCGAAAGTTTGTTTAATGCAGGGAGAGCCAGCTGTCTGAAGCGATGCTTAAAGGCAGTACTGGACGTGAAATTCTTCACCATGGTTTTACTAGGTGTGCGCTAGATACAATGGCCCCCTCAGAAAATCACGCTCCCGATTAAGGTAACAGCCTGTTTTGAATGTACTTTTCGGCGACCAGATTTACCAGCGTTGTGCACGATTCGGAGCTTTAGCTTGCTTCGCTTATCAGCTCGCAAGGAATAGTCAAAACAACTACAAAGCATCGGAAGACACGATTCACAGAAGAGGACAGGAGGACCTGTCTTCCTCTGAATTTTTGCCGGAGGCTCTCGCCACCGATATTTGTGTTGTGGAAATTCGAGGCAAAGAAAGTTGCAGTTGAATTTCCAATACCCCAAACACGGCAGCGGCGGCAGTATCAACAACGTTGCATAGTAGACCGTTGAGTGATGCCCAACGTTCGAATATTTCCATCGTATCTGCGATACATTAACCTAATTAATTGAAAGAGATTGAAGGAGTATGCGGAGCTGTAGTCGTCAACGGTGAACCGTTTCTAGAATAAACAGCACACTGCCACCTATTGTAGGCCGCTACGACCTACTTGTCGGTGAAAGCCATAAGGCCTCATAGAAAACGGGGACTGAGAAAATCCAAAAATACAAAGTTTTAAACACAGATTATTATTATTCATGTTTACACGCCTGCAGTATAAAACGTAAACACTGAGCAATCCAACAATCGGACTGTCAGTTTGTACGTCATATGCTGGCAAGCAGGCACTTGTATGCAATGAAGATTTCCTTTGACAAAATAGTTTGCGGAAGCCATGTCAACCACGATATTTTTCCAATAAATTTAATATTAAATTCACGACGTTGTGGGTGCAGATATCAGTGACCTATTTTCTGACTTCGCCCTTCTCCAAGCTGGAGAGACTATCTCGACCGGTCCCGAATCTGTAAAACGATTATCTCCGTCGGAAGTTTCTATATGCGTTCTCTACAGTTTTTTTAACATTTTAACGATTGTAGTATCATGTCAGCAGCTGTTTACGGTTGAAATATATTCGTCGAAAATGAAATGATGATAAATGGCGTGTATCCGACTGTCGTCTGGCTGATCCGTTTAGCTGCGGAGAAGTGAACAAGTTTGTGTGTCACAGCACCGTTGACATGGCCAATGCGGACGTTTGCTTTCAATGGCTTACACAATGGCCGATTAAGACAATTCCGCGGATCCGATGCCTAAACGCAAGCAGTTCCTGCATGGTGTACGTACATAGAAAATATTCTGATTGCAAGCGGGTAAGGAGCCTATTGAGTTGTCTGATGCAGATGCGGGTTGCGTCCGGTAGATGCTTCTACTATAAAATCAGCTCGCATTGATTGCGAGTCACTCAGACACACTCCTGCTACGCTCTTCGGTCATTCTATCGGATACAGACGTTGTTATCAAGGCTGTAAAGTGTACAACGGGTGTTACACTTGTGCGCTGATTGAAGTATCACAATTTGATGATCTCGCTATAACACGCTCCTCTGTCCTCGCCAACCACCTCCACCTTCTCTAAGTTAGTTATTCCTCTACCTGCTGCGCTAATCCCTCGACTTGGCCGCTTGGCCGGTATCGTCATTGTCTTCCTTCAAGTCATATCTCCACGACGATCAGTTTTGTATCAATGACCCGCAACGCGCTGGATGCTCCCATATCTGATAGTAAGTATTACAGAGAGTTTGAGCAAGCCTGATCTACTACTTGCTATTCGTAGTATCATGTGTTGCTAGCGTTAAGTGAAGAACTCAATACAGGATAAGCAGGTTATTCAATGAAGCAAACGAATACTATCTATTTCCAAACTATTGTGCGATCGCGATTCGACGACGTCTCAACTTTCAGATTTCGGTGCTTAAAGATCGATCTTGGTATTACGATTCCAGCTTGGGCAACTGTCCTAAGTATCTGTGAAAGAAGGCGCTGCATTTTTCTTTGTTTTAGTATCTGTTGTCTAGTTGCATTGGTTGCGGCTGGTGTTTTGTTGACACACCCTTCTACGTCCATAAAACAAACGTATCGTCGCACTCATTCCAAGATAATATTTGAGTCATTTGCTCTGACCTCTATTTCACAGAATTTTCCATTAATAAGAAGCTTTTTAACCCTTTTTTTTTTTACTTATATTTTTTCTACTGTACTCGCAGTGTTTTTTTCGTGACTTTGCCACTTAACTAGTAGCACTCTGAGGGAGGCATATCTGCATAGCATGTGTCCCGATTTTACAAGATATATCCAAGAGTTCTGAGGAGTCATCGAATGGTGAAGCATGACATTTTCAAATTTGTTTCCAGGCGATCTTTTTTGTAAGTATGAAGAAGCGGTATTCATTCTTGACAGAACAAAATAATGCTTGCGATCAAACAAAGAGTATAGATATTTAGTAACTCCTGTTTGGTCAGAACAAGCGATCACGCATAAACATCTAAGCATAAATCAATCTAATGAATATAAGTCAAATGGTAATGGATTAGGCAAAACCGATCACTGGCAGAGATACGAAGTGAAACGAAATCGAAGGCAGACTGACGATGTGTCATTTATCATTTCCGGAACCTAAACCCAATGAAAATGTCAAATTTTACATAATATTTGGTATTATGGAGCCACAAAGCTTAGATCTAATTTCGTTCACATAAATACACGAAGAAAACCGTACAACCAGCGGCGGCGAAAGATTTCATTCTTCTATTACATATTGTGTTATGCGAATATCTTCACGAGTACAGTAGAATTATCATTCTGTATATGTTTCCCGTTCTTTCTTTGTTGATATAATTTGACATTAACTAATGTATTTTAATGCACAATTATTTAACAGATGTGCATAAAAATAGTCCGGGCAAGAAGATCTTAGGCTTATTTTAGTCATTAGTGTGTCATGTGCTGAGTGTCTGGCAAGTCGACGGCAGAGAGGCCCTATTTTATATAACCATTAGACGAAACTGGTCATTAAACTAGAAGAGATCCTTCGTGTCCTTCAAGGGCAGAGAAATTCTGAGGGGGCTAATCGATGATGACAGCATGAACTGCACAGAAGACGGTAAAACGTACAACGCAGTCAAATGGGTCGCAGATCACTGAATAAATCACCATTGACGAAGGGAGAGCTTCATCGAGCTCGCTAAGCCTGCGCAACACCGGCAACAAATTAATTGAATTAGTCTTGTCGAATTGGGTCAATAGACAGCTGGCACAATCAACAACGTTTTTGGAGACAACAAACTGAGAAGCAGGTTTTCTCGGTTATTTGAACTGTTATTAGTAGCGCCCTGGAATCTTTTAGTGGACATATGCGTTATCAAAAAAAGAATTTTATGAAAATGGACAGCGTTCAGGGGTTGCCCGTGTACCGGGTGGAAGTTCATTAATGTACAAAAAATACGTGCAAGAAAATGTCCGGCCAATCTTGACAACAAGCGTTTATTTTTACTATTACTCATTCAATCTCTACTTGACGTCTCGACAAGTCTGTCTGACGTTGTTTTCTCAAGCGCGTGATTGATCGATCAACCTGACGAAACCGTACAAATACGCTTGAGTTCGCCACCATCACTGCATTGACCGACTAGGATAGCGCCGGTAATCAGTCAACTGGTTATTATGTTCATCGTAGCGTGTTCTTTTTTATGTCTTCAGGAGCAAAGCAACCTTCTCAGTGTGCTCATATTTCGTCTCGTCTGAACTTATCAGTGTAGAGCCTCCGTTCTCCGCTTAGGACTTGGCCATTCCAAGCTTACTCGTAGAGGCTGGGGCCGTGTATTGACACTGCGTTGTACGGACGATAGGGCAATGACTTGTGGTCGCCATTACGCTTATAAGTGTGCGCACAGATGCCTTTAGTACGCGAAGTCGACAAAAACCGACCGCCGGCATCATCAAGTACTCGATTATCGAAAAATATATTTTCGGCTCGCAATAGGAGCGACGGCAAAACAGCCAGATAGGCGCAGCTCGATCATTTGATCCTTTCGAGCTGTTCAGAAGAAGACGACGACGAAAAAACGACTTGGCAATGTCTCGATTGTTGTGCCACTATGGCGGCGGTGGCGGTAAATTGTGACTGAGCCAGCGAAGTAAATTACCTCACAAAGAATGCCACAATAAAAAATTACTGTATTATATATACAAAAAAAGTAGTACCAGGGAGAATTTGCGTGCTGGAAGACTTCTTTATGCATAACGAAAAACGTAGACGCAAATTATATCGAATAGGAATACATCCTGCTTTTTTCGTGTATAAGAAGATGATATATTGAGTTGCTTTGCGTCTGCCACTTCGATAATACAAATGGGGGACCATCCAGCTGACCATCGAAGTGTCGGGCCAGAAGGAAACTGGCAGACGAAAGTATTAAAAAGACTTTGGAAATTGGGTCATTTTGGCTAAGTGGTAAAGGAAATCATTCTCTGTATCAATAGTGGTGCTCTTGATACGTATCAAACTCTAAAAAATGAAAAGTATTTACATCGTAGACCATTTAATGCCTACAGAATATTTCTATATGCTGATTTACTATATAGATAGTAACATGACAAAGTAGCGCTTCACAACATTCATACAGGTTTTGTGTCATATAGACAGATGTACGTATATGTAAATGGCCTTGACACATGAGATCAGCGAATTTGAGATAAAATACTTAGCTAGATACAAACGAGGCTTTGTTGGACGTTCTAGCAATGAAACTTCTGTATACTCTCGCTAAGATTTTGCACTCATCTTTTTTGAGCTGAATACGCAAAAACGTTACAGTACAATCGACTACACGTACAGACGGCAAAAGTACTAAACCAGAATCCAGCCAGCTCTATACCGCGGTGAGTGTCATCTCAAAAAAGTGTGGTACGCCATTAAAGTGGGGGTGCGATGTTCAATTGGCCTCATCGAAAGACCCTTTTGACATAGATATATTAATACTTGGAAACTTCTTGTATTTAGGCGCTCCTCATTTTAATGTACTGATGTATTTGTATGTTAAATATATCGGTGCTAGCTTTAATAACTAATAACGGAGCAACTAAGAGCATCAATATTAGCAGGCATACTTAAGTCAAAAATGTTTATACGTCTTTGCCTCCTAAGCCAACTGCGAAATTAATGGAACTGGCAGGCCATGCCTGAAACCAACAGAAAGGCAAAATGGACTACGTAATAGGCACATAGCGAATGGAGTTATACATATATTCGAATTTACTTCTGCAACAATGCTGGGGCCAACAATCCGTCATAGTGTTGATGGCGTCATAGCACCTCTTTATAAACGGTCAGAAAATACCGCCACACGGATCCGTTCGTTGAGTATTTCATGTATAGTTTATTATTTTAAATTTAAAAATTAAAAAAATCAAATAAGTATTGTAACACCTGTATATTTCGCAGTCGTATGTAGCCATGAATAATGGACGTTAATTATTCTATTAGTTTTGTTTAAAAGAGTGGGTTATGCGAATTCCGTACATGTCTTTCTTGAAATGATACCGATGGAGAACAAAAATTTCTGACCACAGTTGGTAAACTTTACAGGCTCAATCTCGCCTAAAATATTACACATTCATAAAAACTTTCAACTATGGACTTACTACAGCACTTGAGTGCTTCATTTTTGAAAAGATCCCATCAAATTTCTGTGCAGATTAGCAGTGATACGTTTGATTTTTTGGACAGTGATACATTGTTACGGGACGTTTAAGCTTTAGTGGTTTCTTCCTTACCCAAAAAAACCGCATGAGTAATAACAGTCGACTACGAGAAATAATACAGAGAGCATTCAATATGTATATATATCTATATAGTCGGTAACATTCTAATCAAACGAGTGACTAAAAAATCGCACATAATAATAACAAATAAATAACAAATTAGCTTTCCCTTTAACCAGCTTTTCGAGCTCGTACGGACCTCGATCAGTTGCTAGCTGAAAATTGCTAAGGCTAACGGTTAGCAGTCTCATGTTCTATTGTCTTCTCTATTCTACCTCTTTCGGCATGCACGTTTAATACTGCACGTAATAATTGCAATAAACTGAATATCAAGAAAGGATGAATAATTATAATTCTTCATTTAGTCTAAAGCACATTTAATTGGAAGATAGCACTTAAATTGCTTGTGTATCTATAGACAAGATGGTTGTAGCCATAGTGGACGCCAAAGTTGGGGATCTCTTGGCGAAACCTGTCTGTGTCAAATACACCATCTACCTAGGCAATAGCATGCCCAGTTTAAAAATCTCAAACCTATAAATTCTATTTGCGATAATATGAGTTACTCACGTGCTTTACACAGATTTCTAATTTGCGATAATATGAGTTACTCACGTGCTTTACACAGATTTCTAAAAAGCTAGACACTTTCGTAGTAAATACATAGCAGATGTACGAACCCAATAGTGAGCTAGGACATTAATATTAAAGGTTTTTTCGATGCTGTCATCAGGAATGTCCAATAGGCGTTTTCCGGTGACAATGCCTGCATTGTTAACAATAATAGACACTTTTCCAACTTCCTGGCGAACTTTGTCGGAAAGGGCGTAGACGACTTGACGATCGGCTACGTTGCACACGTAAGAGTATGCAATACCGCCTCGATCTGAAATATAACAAACATCAATCGCGTCCAGCACTAGACCTTCACCTTTAGACTAGCAGCCTCATCAAACGAGTGATCATACACTACATTTTGAATAAACAAGTAAATAGTAGCTGTTTGTGTTATGCTCTAAATCAGAAAAACGAAATACGCTACACTAGACAGATTTATTAAAACGAGCTGCTAAATCAGCGTACTCTATGTACTTACAGCGCCACGGATCACACGCATCGCCAAGAAAGCGTACCCAAAGGCACTATGGCAAACCATTTTAAAATTATTACACTATCTAATTAAGAGGAACAAGAAAGAAAAAAATGAGGAGACAAAAAGGAAAGTTTCAATTAGAAGAAATACGCCTCATAACTTTCTAATGCTCTCCTACCCCTTTATTATCTTTACTATTTTCCCTGTTGGTCTTCCTTTTTTCGTAATTCAACAAAATTCAACATCATTTACATTGAGCTTTTATTGATATCGAAATGGTGCTCCTACACACGGCTCGCGAGTTGTTGCAATGCGAAGCAATAGTGGTAAACTATGACTACCAAAAACTGCCATTAGAGAACGTTTTTGGGTCGCCACGGACGCACAGACATACGTATATCGTCACTTCGACTACAGGTTGTTTCCTCTTTGCCACGCAGCCTGCCATGTTTCTTCTTTAGGACCTGCTGGACAATCTACGAATCGTTCCTTCAGTACACACACACACATATATATCTTTCAGCAAATATCCAGCTGCAGTTATTACAATCAAAGTATGCGGCCAATCTTTGTACGGTCTTCTGAAAACCGTCAATTTTTTTCTGGATAAACCTTTGGCACAATGACAACAGTAATTGTGATAATCATTAACAGATATTGGTAATTATGTTGAGGGTTAAGATTAAACTTTTTGCTTATTTGTTGGTGGTCAGACTTTACAATGAGTTAATAAGTATATATTTTTCGATATAAGTAATGCAGCCAGACAGTAAGGTTTTTCTCTGATAAGATCTTTGATCCGAAAGTAGAACTAAACGTTTCAAGCCAAGTCCTATTGCGGCAAGAATCGCTTTCTTGACATGACTGTCTACGCCCACCGAATTGTGCCGTATGGATTATTCAAAGGTGTTACTATACAATTGTATCTGTGCTGGGTACACTGATTGATATTATTCTTCAGTTCCTTGATATAGATCTTAGTAGTATTTATTAAGACATGTTGCAAATTACTATAGTCATGCGCAGTTATTCAGTACCTTATGTAATTATTTAATTATGATTACTATTGATGCTCTAAGCATTTACTTAGGAAATACCCAACCATTGATGAATGTGTATGTAGATCTAACTGTAAAAATAAAGCACAATTTTTTCTATCTTCAATAATTTTGGAAACAGGTGCAACAATGTTAACTAGCTGTTAAGGACCTTGATATTTAGAGGGCGTCCGTTAGGTCGAAAAAATCGCCAACTGCACGGATTGCCAACTACTGGTTATCAAATCGTATTCAGTTTCCAACTAATCAGGGCAAATAGGAGCATGATTATGTTCTTCGAAGTACTTAACTGGAAGTATGATAGTACTAAGATCATCCATATATAGATGAAATCTATTACACGGGATAATAATACTTCACTTTAGCAGCTGACGTACTTAATTTAACCTCTAGATAATCTATTTGAAGCAATATTGGCCGCAGCTAAGCTTTGTTTTAACACAGTGGCTTTCAGTAAACGACGTTAGCTATACGGGTATTGTAATCAGTGTCCAAATAATTCCTTGAGCAGACTGATTGGAGCACGTACTCAGCTTTACAATGGTGAATAGAAGACCTTAATGTGACAACTAGAGGGAACAGTGGGATCTCTATCACTAAAAAAAGACGCCGATCTTTCCTTAAATTTTTTTTTGAAAAAAAAATTTCTTATCGAGACTTTGGTTGTCTTAGGAACAGTTGGGGTTCTCGAGAAAAGCGGTGCTATCGAACTGCCCACCGATCCTATTATAATGTACAAAGGACTTTTTACCCTTTAAAATTAGTATGAGCTCTTGCTGAACCAACAGTACATACTTCTGGATCTCTAGATAGACATTGTATATGTGTTAGTAAATGCATCGTTTCCTATAAAAAAACCAAATAATTGTCGAAGGTGCTAAGTTGCCATGGCGATACAAACGAACAACACTAGAAATAATAAAATGCTCTTACTTTTTATATCATTAGCAGTCTCTTCCATGGTGTCCTTGCTAATATCCCAACAAACCACCTTAGCCCCTAAGCCGGCGAATTTAATCGCCATCAGTCTTCCGATTCCCGAGCCAGCGCCCGTCACTAGAACCACTTCATCCTTGATACTCTTTATACGGAACTTCGAGGGCACAAACATTAGTACGCACGCCTCAAGAATATAATAGAAAATCATTGCTAGGTTGGTGAAAAAGCGTACAATCGACATCACGACGCTCTGATCTTCCGAGGGACCCCTTAGAGGCTGGGGAACAAACCCGCTAGCTGACATCGCTTACGAGACCAGTTGCTTTACTTCGCGTAAAATGCACCGAATACGTTGCGACTCTGAGAAACTCTAATCGCAAGAGCACCTTGAGCTCTTAAGAAGAGGTTCTATACTCGACTGTAGCTGGTCAAATGTCGTTGGAACCAGACAAAGTGGTCTTCATAAAAGTCCACCTTACTGCCACAGAGCGCTGTTAAGTGATCACTGACCGACCAATTACGTGAACAATCGAATGTCAACGTCGAGGCAGCAATAGTAATGATGCTGATAGCCCACGAAGTAAGCGGTATTCGATATCCCTTTGTCGACTCCGTGGTCGCTCGACGTCGTTACTCCGGAGTGGGTACTGCGTCGATAGAGTAGCGCTCCAGCCTACCCGACGACTGCGGGTGCCGTCGCCGCCGTCGTGGGAGAGAAGGGAATTGACGGTGGAAATGCTCAAACACGACTGGGGGAGAAAGCGGACCACAATACAGCAGCTGCTGCAGCAGTAGCAGCACGTAATAACAGTTGTATAGTGGATCAAGCACTGATAGTAGAGCACACACAAATCTTTGCCAGGAGATGATGTTCTTCCCTTGTATCATCGTCGTCATGGCTGGTTGCTTCCTAGCGCTGTTACGTCGCAGACGTCAGCTGCAGCAGGCAGTAACCTTTAAAACTTGAAGCTGACGGTAGCTACATGTCCATGGCTTGTCTGGTAATTGGCAGCTCGATAGCACTGCTAGTTATATCGGTCTAAAGGAGCTGGACGGCTGGCCAAACGCTCAGCGTTCATTGATAGCTTGCCTGATATTGGACTTCTCGCTAGAGAACGCAGCTGATCATACAACAATAGCTACAGGCTTGTCAGCAAGCAGGGAAAGCCAGCATCATTGTTCATTGCGAGAAGATCACGCTTTCCACTCAGCGATGGATGTTGTCGACTGTGATAGCGCGACCAGAAACAGCCGATTGCTGGTCATAGCCAGCTACTCTGCTGAGACCGTAGTGGGACCGCCATGCAATTGCTGAAATTTCCCTAAACAAGCAAAAGTACTTGCAAACGAACGATGCGTACAGTCACTACGCTCTTTCACTTTGTACACACACACACATCATATATATATACATGTATATAAAAATGGCGGTATGTGCGATAAAAGTTCTTGCTTTTGCCAATCGCTAGATGAGTGTGTCGGCTTATTAAAACATTAAACGACAGTTGTGCTTGATAGAACTACAGACCGTGTTGTAACGAATACAGTTCACTATATCTATAAATATGCCCGAGTTCTTTGTCAAATGTAATTTCCCATGCATAATTCGCTACTAGTTAAACACCAGAATATAATTGTTCTTGTGGTAAAAAGCCATTGTTCGGCTAGATGATACCACATTAAAAAAAATTATGATTTCAAATTATTAGTTTACTTTTCGTTATGTTACTATATAAAATAATAGCATTCATAATAACAATAGCATGAGTTACCTACGTTTGCCACCAACAAAATTGAATCTTTAGCCGCGAGTTCTATCGGCGTGTTTCTATAGACCTTTCAGTCAAAACTAAGCGATAAAAATTACATTTAAATTTAATCGTCTGCTCGTGGAACAGGCAACTTTCGACAATTGATCAATTTAGCTTACTCCTTCGCTTACATTTCGCTAGCCCTAACGCAAGTGAATACCACATATGGATCTACCTTAACTCACACAGTGGAAGAAATATATCTCAATGAAAGAACGTTTTTCTGGAGGCATTCTCAGGATAATTAACAACTTGCTCTTTGATATTATATATAATAGGTAAATTTGACACATGAAGGACACTTTAAAGAAACTGTGCGTATAACGGCTGTAAAATTGGTGCAGAAGGACTTTGTGTTAGTTATTGAAGGTCATGTTATTAAGATGCAGGCAGCCCTGTTCCTAAATCCTGTTAGATTTGTATTTGACTCCTATGAAATCCCATATGGGTTGAGCACTTTTATTATCCATAATAACGTAAAATATACGCGTGCCATCTACGTCTGGCTATGCTGGAAACACGCACCTCTGATGGTATCAGTCGATTCGTGTTTGAAATCCTTCATCGATAGCGCTATAGAAGCAGAAAACTCTGAAAAAGAAAGACTAAATAAGTTTAAACGCATCCAACTGTATGGTAATTTAGTTAGTTTACTACACAATGATTTAGCTGTGGTAATTTCCAGAAATTCCAAAGTAATTAACCAGAATCAGAATAACAAAAACATTTTCTATGTTAGCGTTAGCTGCGATTTTATCAGATAAAAGTGCTCTGTAGCACACAGTAATTACAATAGTTAAGTAAAATATGTGTATGTGTATAGTTGTTATGCCTACTTTGAACATCTTTCACGGATTTGTAGTACTAATGAAACATACATCGTGATTAGCAGTGATAATTAGAGAAACGTGAGCAGGTTGTTTGGACATCTTTCTTTAAGGAAATTATCAGAAAAGCGCTCTACGAAGGAATTTAGAAAAGAAACTTTTACCTCGTGTTAAAAATCAAGTACTGTTATCTCAGGTAAATCCTGTTGTCCTGTCTCCGTTTGATGAGCGTCTAACCAGTCGGCGCTGTATATATTGAAAGCCTATAGAATCTCGCGTTACATAACTAGCTACTAGTTATTTCGTACGCTGTTTACAGTTGTATCGTTTAGCTATACTGTGTTATAAATCAACGCGAACTCGGATAACCGCTTTTTGTCTAGTATATAAACATGGTCACAAACAGACGATAACGGAAGTTAACTGACGTGTTTCCTTGTTTGTAGTTTGCATTTCACACGTCACTATGCTTATTCATTTTCTTTAACTACTGTATATTTTGTCTTGCTTTGCGCATAAGTTGCTTATGACAAGACCTTTTTGTTTGATTCAAATCGGGGACACGTGTTCTTCTTTTGAAAAAGCTGGATCCTCAGCTGTCCATCGTGTGGCCACCGACGCGTACTGAGTTTCGAAATCAGCTCATAGATTGCCGTGACGCCGATAGAAGGGGTTTTGACGATGATGTATCACAAGGACATCTGCTTGATTACAGCAACAGAAAAATTATGAACCAAGGTTAGGGCACAACCCAGCCTGTGTTCCGATCGCTTTTTGTTTCTGCTCTATGGCATTAATTATTAGTTAAGATCGCATAAAAGGCAATGATGACGATTATAGCGTTATTAGCTACCAAGAGCTGTATGCAACAACGTAAGGACACGCTGTAGCGGAGACAATTTCTTAATAGAGAACAATAAAAGACATGCCTCCACTTTCCAGTTTCCTGTCAGAGTTCCGGCTATTGCCTTTGAACGTGGGAGCGCTTCTAGTCACTTGCTACTGTTGCCTCAAGGGGTGTATCGAAGCAAAAAAGGAAACTCATTGACGTCGTAAACACCAGACAAAACATGGTTCCGTGAGTTTTCAAAGTGGACGACGCAAGTTATCTGTAGTCTGTAGATGTCCAACAAATGCGTACTACAATTTCCATCCATCTCCATCGGAACTATTCAACATGTGACTGTTGGCTCACAGCAAGTAATGAAGTTGTGAATTACTGTTAAAAAATCACCATACCTAATACAGAGCACTGCATATAAGTGTATGTTTATATGTATATGAAATAAAAATGACCGTATGTGTGTGCGTCCACAAAGCTGTCCTTGCCTGACTAGCTAGAGGTTAGTGGCTTTTTAGAGGAAATTCGCGGTCGTATATCGATTCTATTAAAATCGATTTTATCATCCTTTTGACATCAATCTAGCCACGATATTTAAAAAAAAGTTGCCCCTGTCTATCTAATTTGTTACGGATTAGTGATCTTTCTTCAACTCGTTTGAGTTTGAACGGCGTCGAATCCGAGACAACTACAGAGTTATCAGGGTTTATAAATGCAGCGGCTAGATTCTAGCTATGAGTCTCTAAATTATTAGCCAAATCGTCATTATTATACCTATTATTACTGTTTCCTGCATTTAAAGTGATTTTGCTTTTCAGTTCAGTTTGTAACGGCGCATTCTGAAAGCTTATCTATAATCGTTATTCGTTAATCATCAGTCAACCACTCAAACTTGAACGTATACATAAGTGCCTCAGAGGCTTAGAGTATTCGAGCCTGCGGTCGACGCCGACCGCTAACAGCCAGAAGAGTTACGGTTTGAAAAAGGCAATAAATGAGCTCGACAAACCGCGATTCGCAAGTAGATATCCATCGGGTGCTATTGGGTAGGTGGCCATAGAAATGTATATATTATGTATTACCTTCACATGTGTATGCACCACACTGCATACATTCTAGAAGACAGCGTCGCGTATTTCAGGTCGTCAACACTCTATGGTACCACACAGCTGTGACTTTCCTAGCCGTGTAGCGGCTAGTCAATTGATCATTAAAGGTATCTCTCGAGAAGCGACATCGCGCGAAGCCCTTATTATTCTCTCGACGTCCGTCAATGGAATCGTCCATGTTTTAGCCTCGACTTCGTACTCTACGGACCCAACTCCTATATTACATTGATTTGTTGCTTACAGCGACGTCAGCGCTATGGTTACCCATATCATGGCTTGCCGAACGTTCGCTCTGGCGTATCCGACTTGTCCATCAGTTGTCCATAGATAAACCTCTGCAGTCACTATGTTATTGTTCCGGGCCGAACCACTAACTGCCGGCAAGAAGTGCCGTACGACGTTATAAATCAGTTTAAATGTCTCTTGAAGTAGGTGACCATACTCGAAAACAGGATGACAATTTCAATAAGATCAGGCATTGTACAAACCAGTAGCTACATCCGAATATTTCAATAGCAAAAAACCTAAAGGTCGCAGATAGTCGAGCCGGGCTGACATCTGCACACCTAAGTGTTTTGTAGCTAAGACGTTTATTTACATAGCACTGTTACTTAAATATTTTTATTCACAAAAATAAGGAATTAGTGGAACTAAGGTGGCTGGACGAGAGACATTATCAATTTTATAACTGTAGTTGAATGCACCGTTCTTCGAAACAGAAAATGTCTACCTTTATAAGAGCGTGTCACCTTCCTTATGTCACCGTGCAGCGTCTTCTACAGCAAAGTGATCTTTCATTCGAAAGGTTGTTTTGTAAAGGCGTAGCGTACATTAGCAAAGATGAGCAACCATTCTGAACGAGCCCCGACACGACAGAGAGGGGTGGATTAGTATCATCGTCAAAGTTGATTCAAAACGTCTGATTGTAAGAATAGAGTCCTTACAGAAACCTATTTTTTTTGTGTGTAATTCATTCTATTAAAAGCGCTTTCTTTACATATACATGCAACAGAAAGGTGCGTGAACGATATCCAGTCTTGACGTATTTTTAGAAACTGGAACGAGAAGAACCACATAGTTTCAGTTACCTCGAAAAATAAATATTTATAATTTTTTCTATTGTAATGGGGTATAGTGATATGAAACGACTATCCCGTCTCGGAGACCGATGCCAAAATACTTTGGCAGAACGAGGCAGATGTAATTCAGTGTTTATATGAACGTTCAAGTTTTACCTTAACAGGAACCGCGAAACAACAATTATTTTCTATAGGAACTAACAGAATTCTTCTAAGAAAAAAAAATAGTTTCGAGCTTGAAGCGTTACAAAATATTTTAGTATCAGAATGAATGAAAGAGGTTCCTTGATTGGAAATTCTTGTCTACAAAATTGCAACGAGACTGGTGTAGCATTACTTTTGGTGCAGTAAATAAAGGGTTATTTTTAGTAATGATAAAACCTTGATGCTCCAAACAACATCGAATGCACATATCAGCAGAAGACCCTAAAAACATTATTAACTATTGCTAGGTAGACACGCATAGATAGATTTTTACATCATTATTAGTACGCAACATTGGCAGAGCGAAGTCGTGGCATGGTAATTCAGACCTGTACGTTGTGATGTGTGCGAATCCCTTCGGCAAAAAGATGCATCCGGTATGACCGCAAATCCAATAGAACGCTATCAAACAAGAACAGCGAAAATCAATTGATGACTTAAAAGGATATCTGGCAAAATGTCATCATTATTTACGGATGTTAATGCTGAACATTTGCGCCTCTAAAGGTTGTAGAGGAGAGAAGCTTCTCAATCAATGCTTTTAGAACGTTAAAGTGTAAAGTCAGCTTCTTTTATCAGTTATCTACATTAAACAACATGTGCTCTTATATGAAAATAAAATTCTGAAAGGTATAATATGCGTGCCACAACATCTCTAGTGGACGTGGTCACGGAGTGTCGAATTCAGTCATTCGATTGATCCGTCACGTAGCATTTACGTTAGCGGGTTTGATAGCTAACAAATACGCTTTGGCGCTATGTCGTTTTAATTCAAATGCAATATTTACATACAACAACTACTGGTTTCAGGACTACAGGGACGAACCAATAGTGAAAATTTAAAAGGAGGCTTTAGTTACAGCTACAATAAAATTCTCTGCTGTTACTAAACAGAACTCAAAACGGAAGACCTTATAATCCTTTTCCTAAGCCTAAATTGATTATTTTTTACGTTTTCGCTTGTAAGAAACTACTGTAATTGTATGATTTTTAGCTTAGTCATATATGACACTTAGTCATATATCTTCGATAGAAGAATAAACATTAAAGCGAACAAACTTTTGTATGCAAAATAATATTGCGCAAATTATGCTCACACAAAGCTGAAGAGTTCTGCATATTCACATAGGAACCCACAACAAATAAGGGTATCATATGAATGGTTTACGTACAGAAGTAACAGGGACCTTATCGTCTGGAATCGAACATATCGAGCTCTTTTGTCTGTGAAATAAAGGAAAGCTAGCTAGTTTTCTTTGTACGATAACTACAGTGGATTTAGACTGTGTTTTTGTACTGAGTTTAGTTTTATTAGAGTTTGTAACGGAATGCGAGAACGTGTTGAAACGCATTACTGGGTAAGAAAGGATCGATAGAACACCTACATCCTTGAAAAGTTTGCGCAACTTCTCCAAATCATCCCATCCAAGCATTTGCATAAGTCAATTCACCATAAGTTTTAACAGACCTTTTATTTGAAAGCGAGAAGACTTAAAGCCAAGTTTGTATCGAAACAGCTAAATTTCGAGCAAATGCGAACCTGTGAACAACTAGCTCAGGATAACTTGAGCGTATTCGAAAATCGGATTTGCCGTAACGCGTTACAGATGACGAGGCGTAGCTATACATGTGCAAAAGGGGCAAAAGTACAATCGTCTGACTATTACTTTGATGACAAACCTTAACTGAATAACGTCAAAAGATCCAGCTTAAAAACAGAGTAACTTTTCATCGTCCTCTTCGACTATGGGAAATTTGTCTATCTTGATATCATATAACAGGTCATGAAATGTTCACGACGATACTGCACCGGCTCACACGGTAATACTCGTTTTTTGCAAAAAAATCCATCTTCTGTGGTCTCTACATCTCCACCCCCCATACTCACAGACTAGGCCTTGCTGCACTGAAAACCTTATTCTTGTTTAAGTTTATTTTATTTTTAACCAAGTTTTAGGGTAACTGCGGATTACTCGGAAATATTCTGATACATTGTCAAGTCTGTCCAAGGGGCACAGAAAATGTACATCTAATTTAAATCGCACGAAAGCCTCTCATATATAGCCATCATAAATACGACGTTCTTTTTACGGACATCGTATGCGCTTCTGTATATTTGAAATAAACACACGCCATATTTAGTTTGTCGTTTTATCTTAATTTAATTTCATTCAAATTAATTAATAGAAATTATATTATTAATAATATAATTACATGGTCATCTTAATGTTCTTTATCATCATCGTCGTCATTTCGTTTTCGTTATTATCGACAATACCCGCCCCCTTTTTATACTCATCTTGGCTTGTGCACCTGAGTACGGCAGAATGCCCCGATTTTTTGGGGGCAGTCCACGCGCCTGAACGGCACTAGAACAGCCCTAACTCCCTAGCTTCGTTGGTGAGCATTTGCTGCTGCTGCTGCTGCTGTTATTGTTGAAGTTGTGGAGGTTTGGGCGGAAGTGGTGGGGGCGGGGGTAGAACGGTGTTGAGAAATCGCGCCACTACTTCCGTATCCCTGCGCAAATTGGCCAACAGTGGTGTGAGCAATAACGCATCGTATTTTGGCCGGTGCTCGAAGTCTCGTATCAGACACTGATTAACAAAGTTCGTATAATGCGGGCTGAAGCCGTCACTGTCGCGCAGACGTGGCGGATCGCCCGATACCACGCAATTGAGCTGTTCAAAGACAGTCTTGAACTCCGGGTAGGGGAAACGGCCAAGCGAGACCTCGATCAACGTGATGCCCAAACTCCAAACGTCTGATCGCACGTCATACCTAGTAGAAAGAAAGGAGACATTTTTCATGAACAAGATAGCGGCCAACAGACAAGTTTTTTGTACCCTTCATATAAAAGATTTATAAACGCTTTAAAGAAACACTCGAAATTGAGAAGGCATTAAAACTGTAAAAACGTTAATTTTCAGAGGCCGTCCATTTTTATACAAATATCTGCCCACACAGTCATAATCGTCTTAAATTGCCTGAGCAGCTAGCGAATATCATTGACATGACAAGAAGATATAAATCGGGAAACAGTTTTATGATTTTCATTGAATTTGAGTTAAATTTCATTTGTTGTAAAATATTCGGCTGCTTAATCGTCATTTTCTTTCAACCAGAAGCTTGATCAAGTGCTCAAACTATCACGTTGTTGATGCAATTAAAATGGCATCTTTTTTTTTTATACAATTTCTGCCACTGTCTGCGTACTACTAGAAATTTTAATAGATATGATTTAAAAAAAAACAAGTTCCAACAATAGCTGTTTCTATGTATCACATAGTAGCACGCACAATACAAATAAGAGATATCTTGGAGTGAATATAAATAAGCAGAACTTACCCGTGGGCAGCTTTCGTGGGGTCTATTCGTTCTGGGGCCATGTAGGCCTGGCAGCCAGCGTCGCGCGTCTTCGCAATCGAGTCAATTAGACGGCCCGAAATACCAAAATCGCACATTTTAATTTCTCCCTATTCACAGCAGCGGGCAATTTTCGAGAAATCCGAGAAAGCGGTAGGGAAAAGTGGTACAGAAAAAAAATTTGGAAAACGTAAGCACGATAGAAAATATAACTTGCGGCATTTTTTTTATAAACAGAGATATTAATTACAACCCGTAATTATTAGGTAGCACTCTGTATACCGGAGTCAAACGTACAAATAGCATGGAATACTTCGCGTCAAACGTTGTATTTCACCAGTCAAGCTGATCTAGAAAAAATTAAACGTACGGTATCGCTTTCTTTGTTGATTTCTGCATTTAATATGTAAAGCACTACTAAGATTGACTTTAACTAGTGACTTTGAGCTGTATCAAATTAGGACCCGTAAAAATGGCGTACGACACTTAAAGAAAAAGACGTACTCAGTGTTCGTCAATTGTCTGTACCTTTCGATTGAGCAAAATATTGCTAGGCTTAATATCTCGGTGGATCATTTGAAGCGTGCCTTTAAGGTAAGCTAGGGCTTTGACTGTACTGTACGCTACTTGGGCAAGCACTTCCTCTGGCATACGCTGTCCCCGACTGAACACACGCCGGTAAAGCTCGTGCAATGAGGTATCCATCAACTCCATACAGATCCAGCAGTCGCCTTCTCGAAACAGCGTCCCATAAAACTGCACTATATAGGTAAAATCGTTATCATTTTTCATGACAATATCTAGCTCGGTGTTGAGCTTTTTTTGGCCCTGTTCATCTATCGTCATCCGGATTCGTTTAACAGCCATTTCAAGGCCGCTTTTGTGCTTCATTCGATTGACGCAACCGAAATTTCCGGCGCCAATCTCTCCGAGATCCTTCAGATCTTCTGCGGTAGCACCAAATTCAACGGCAGGTGAGAGACGAAGAGTGCCCGAACCCGCGGGCTGTGTAGGTAGCCATTGATGAGACATCGCATCCCTGCAGTAAACAAATTCCGTTAATCCAATCATAAGATGTAAATAAACTGATGAGTTGTTCAAACAGTGGCGCAAGTGTTATTGCTCAAGGGATTATAGAAAGCACTAAACTGCTTGAAATATGATTTTATACGGTTTTGAGTGCAACATTGGCATGGATCATATATAAATAAGTAGAGAATAATAAAGCTAAACGGAACAGGGGCTAATAGGCTATACCTACGTCTCATCTAATAAGAGAACGATGTTTTTCAGGAATAAGGCTCTCGAACGTTCTGAATTTTTGAAATGCACATGGGTCAAAAAATTTGGTACGATTCGCGTAGCTGGGGCACATCGTCCGATACACAGAAATCATGCAAGACTGTACCCTATTTAAGGTAAGGTAAGGTCAGTTATATACAAGTTTGCAAAGGCAATGAACATGAACGTATCGGACAGTTGGCAATGCGGTCGATGGCTTTTCTACCATTATCAATTTTACTTTAAGCAATCCCGTAAATCACCTGCTATTCTCACGAACAAAGACATTTGTAGCTCTGATTCCGCTGATACAGATCCCTTTTGCCGTCGATTAAAATCATGTCAGAACAACTGAACCGTCCAAATGCTATCAATATCAGTTGGCTATCAATATCTACTCCTTCTACAAATATAATTAGACTAAAGCAAATATTAAACTAATAGCTATAACAGCTATATCTGAGCGCTTAAATCGCTCTCTTTGACTATTCCGTATAGAATCAGCAGTGATCCATATAAGCCCACTTTTAGTAGCTATATTGGGCAATGACAGCGGTGCACTTACTGAATGTGTTCCCGAAAATGAACGTTATGCTAATGTAAGTTTTATTTGACCAAAAGACAAGGATTTTGTGGTGAACACGCTGATATATTTTTTTCTCTCATCACAACGATTTTTTTCAACGGTTGGGTCAAATAATCCCAACCCATGTGGCCCCAGTTTCCTCCCGTGCAAACAGTAGAAGAGTGGTAATGAAATACTCTTACTGTGTAACAATGGTTGTTGTCGCAGGAAACATTTCTGCCCGCGGCCTTTCCCGAGTGCGGCCGCTGCCGAACGAAAGTCGAAGTTGTTCTCGACGATTCACTGCATGAATGATAAGAATAATTAGTAGGACATAGGGTTAGTGCAAAGTATTATATTTTTTGTTAATTTTCTTTTAAGCAGTCTCACTCGCAGCATAGATAAAGAAATGTAAAATACTTAAATTACTGTTATTATAACAGCCATTCTACAAATGTTCTCCGTTCGAATAGTTACTTATAGACAATGGCGTTTTGGAATTTGGTCCTGAGCGCTTTAAGGAAAGATGTTGTACTGTTTCTCATAAAATGAAAGCCGATTTTACAATTGAGATTAAAAGTTCTGAAGAAAATACTGTTGATAATATTTTTATATAAGCGTAATTCTAAGCACTTGGCAAAATTTGACGAGATTTTGATACGGCATGAGGTGTACTGATATATCAATAGATCCAAAAACGACAAGATGCTAAAGAAAAACACCAGACCGCTGTGAAAAATCTTTCCATCGAATGGTAGCAGTATAATAATGTCCAACTTACGACGATAAAAACAGGTTCTAACTACAGCTAGCCCAGAAACAGTATAGTGAGGAAATGTCTGGTTTATAGGACCGGTAGTTCAAAAGCTTCTTGGATGATCTGTGACATAATGTTCGGCCTACAAAGCCCCTTTTGAGCTTTGAAGCTACTTTGAGGGCTTACATGTTTCTTTAGCTTTATATAATTTTAAATGGTGGTTGCTGTGCTACCGTTTTAGAAAAATGTTTATATGTTTCATAATGTTTATATACTCAAAACGGGGCTAAAATGTCTAAAACACGGGCTTCAATAAAACCAACGGCTAGATTCAAAGAACCGGTCATCACCAGACTGACCAGCGAGTACTACAAAATGGTACGATGGCGTGGTGCGGCGCTTAGCACCTATACAGACACACGCCTATGTACTCGGGATAGTCCAAAAGATTGTGTTACGTGATAATTTCGTTCTAGTTTCCTGCTTGTTCGTGCATACATATATTGCTAAAATTTCGAAAAATTAATCTGAGTTACCACTCTTCAGCGTCTCTTAAATAGCGCTAAAACTATTATCAGGTCTGTTACACAGTAGATGTAATATTTAACGGTTTTCTTATGTAAGATTGAACTGATCTATAGCCACCATCTACTATCAAAAAAAAAAAAATCAAAAATCAATTGCTATGTAAAACTTAGCTTTAAAAACGGCCGTAGAGCTCTTAGAATTTCCGAAGAGGATGAACTATATATATACTTATATATGATGTATATATATGAATTTATTTTATTAGTAAACTACAAACGTCTGCCCCATAACATATTCATCGTGCTGTTGAAACGAAAACATCTGAATAAAGCGGCCTGGAACGAAAAGTATTCCCAAACACATTTCTTTTAACAATCACAGAAAAGACTGTAGCAGGTGTCTCGTTAGACAAACAAGATAACGCATAAAGTCAACAAATAGCATTTAACAATACGTCGAAATTATATAAAGAACTATGAGACTGTACTTTGTTCTTCAGAACCGGAGTGCGCATCCTTGGTTAATTTGTCACCAATATCATCGTTGTCGTCATCATGAGCTGACAGTTACATAAATTTGCTAAGATATATTATTCTGTATTCAGTGCAGTGTATGGTCTGGGGGTTCTATCCCATGGATTGGTTGTTACTCCGTACCGCTGGACAAATTGGCATCGCTACTACCATAACTACCCCCAATAGAGCAGTACTAGTAATGCAAGTACGATGCAAGACATTCCGATTTATCTTTCAATGCATTTTCTCTTCGGTCGTCTCTACTTGAATCAACTGTGTGTTGATTGTCTGTTTTATGACAATGACAGTCAACATTTAAATGTGTCTCGAGATGCGACGGCAAGGGAGATTATGGGAACACCGAGCGCTCTTGCGAATGGCCAAGCGCCGGAATGAAGTGGGCGCGAGCTGCCACAAGGAAAACTTCTTTCTGGGCTTGTTTGTTGGCTGTAATCCCCGCGAACATATTGATCATCATCCTTGCAACGTACGAAAAGGCTTTTCTTTTTTTATTACACCAACAGCATAATGACGACATCTAGCTATTGCAACCCGAACCCTGTTCCCGCATCGCTACGCACAAGCACTAGAATATGGATTGACTAAATCTGTCAAAAGTTCTGATGGCAGCTTATTTTCTAGGTCGCTTTTCGCGCCTCTAAGCACCGAAGCAGCCGGGATCAAACGCTTCCTCTAGCCTCGATGCAGTCTTTGGCCTCGCACAACAGCGAATACAGGTCGCTTCGGCGACCCTGAACAGTCGACCAGTTTTGGAGAAAGTGAAAAAGACGAAACTCACTTTTCTGTCCATCGCTTTGTTGGCCGTCGAACGACATCTTTGTGTTTTGGTCATGGTCGACGAGGTCAATGCAGACGGTCGACGCGAGTATGAACCGATCCAGCGGGAATAACTGCCAGCGCACAACTAGACCCTTGTCATAGACCTGATTTCGCCTGTAAATGAAGGCTAGTTAAGTTTTTGATTAACGCCATTTACTAGAGTCCTTTTAGGAGATGACGCAAATTATACGGTGGCTCCTCTGGCAGGCCAACCAGTATTTAGTATACATTTGTGTTTGCCGATCAGTACTGAATCGGTGCGCCTGCCGTTAAGTCTCTTATTGTACATCTAGTTTTCAGTTTAACAGCATGTTCGGGTGTGTTATGGCTTTACGACTTTCAAGATTTGCGCTCCAAAATGGGCACAAATTTCGTGGTTACAGGTATGATCAATAAAACGTAAGTCCAAGCAGTACGTTGAAAGCAATTTGACGAAGACGGATTTAGTTTTACGAGAAAGAGTCCTGGCACATCTCCGCGCACTCCAACCAGCGATGCCGGCACTAAATTTTTTGACTGTACCGTTACAGGCTTAATTAAAATTTCGGCTGTAAGTTCGTTAGTTCAGAGATAGTTAATCTAATAAGGGTTGCAGGTAATCTATTAAAAGTAGTGAAAATAGCACCAATACTTAGAAAATTGGTGCTGAAGTTCACATCGCGCCTGCTGACCATTCCACCGGAATAAACAGGGTCACAGTAGGTTTGCTGTTGCAGCTGATCTAAATTTTCGATCTTAGATTCTTCAACAGTTTACACTGCCAGGAAGCGTGTTCGCTTGTTTCGAAAGCTGCGATCGACAAGGTTAAATGTGCCGCGTATTCCAAGACAAGCTTACTACGATGGGACGCAAGTTCTGTATTTCTGTCCCCAATTGCTAACATCCGTCGAAGTCAGAGATCCGATGCGAACATTGTGATGATGAAATGTTATTGTTAATTACTAAAGGGCCCCTAAATATAGGTTTGAAACTACTTTTCGCATTTTCACAAGAATCGCGAACCAAGCTGCGGCGTCGAACCTAAATAAAAGAAATTTTGCATCTCTACAAAAAGACTGCTTTAGGGGCCTATATTTTTGGAGCTAAAATGTCATAAACAGTAATTTTATTGAAAGTATTATATGATTATTATTGCATTCACAACCATCAAATTTTTGATTGGAATAATCAAACATTTTAGCATGATGTAATCTTTTTTCCGTATATTTGCGGCGTCCTAGCAAATAATTATATACATAAACCTGATTTCGACAGTACAAAGTATGGTTATCGCTATTAATTTGTAAATGGGCTAAAAGGTAACAATTAGCTTTTGTAAACCGTAGTATTGGATTCAGACAACTGAGAATCTTGCACCGGAAGATTGGTTACGGTCACAGGTTTCCACCTAGCTCCAGTGCTGAAGGAATTCTAAGCCAGCTAGACCTTTCTGTGGTTATGCAACGGGTTTGGTGAGGAAAGCTATTATATGTGGCTCTATATGCAGTATGACTTCGTAAAGTCCAGGGGATTTATGTTGCTATTGTGCGTTGTTCTGTATTTTTTTTCATAGCCGCTGTATGTCGGCCATCGCCCAGCCGCAGCCGGTTGAATCGAAGCAGTATCCCGAGAAGATAACAAACATTGTGACCGAGATCTCAAAGCTGACCTTAATCGAAGTAGCAGACTTAAATGAACTCCTTAAAAAGACGTTAAATATTCAGGTAAAAAAATCTAGTATTAGTATTCATGCAGTGGTAAGCTAATTGTTAGTTACTTTGCTGTTAGTTACATGAGCTATGCATAATAGAGTAACCTTTATATAATGTAAATAGTGTTGTTATCATATTTTCAAGGGTTTTAAATAAGTATTTTTAGCAAACATTTCTATATCTGATGACTTTTAGGAAACTCCTATGATGGCTGCCGTAGCAGCTGGTCCAGCAGTCCCTGCTGCGCCTGCAGAGGACGACGAGCCTCAGGTGAAGAAGATGCAGACATCGTTCAAACTTAAACTAGTCAAATTTGATGAGGCTAAAAAGATCGCCCTCATCAAGGAACTCAAGAATATTATGGAGGGTACTAATCTCGTGCAGGTATGCCTATGTTAAATCATAGTCTCCTTAATAATTATGTTATAAGTAGCACAATTTGTATGCAAAATGAACAGATAATTAATTATTGTGCATATGCACAGGCGTTAATCATAACGGTAATTTATACTTTTAACGTAAAATCGTATTTTTAAACGACTTTGGCATTTTCTGCTCGTTAAAGGCAAAAAAATTTGTTGAGAGTGTGCCTCAAGTTATAAAGGGCGACCTAACTAAAGAAGAGGCTGAAGGGTTGAAAAAAACAATAGAAGCTGTCGGAGGAGGCTGCGAAATCCTCTAGGCCTTAAACATACGGTACGAAGTGATCGTGTCACCTGCATCTCCAAGCGCCAACTGTAGATTCATATAATTAAGGCCTATAAAAACAACAGTATGTTTGATACGTACGCGTCCTTTATTTTAAGCGATGTGTTTGCAAAAATAATAGTAATAATAAAGAATAAATAAAGGTTAGAGTTTTACATTATTATGCGACCTTGTGTGTCATTATTCTGGTGCAGATTTACTGTTGTCGATTCTAGTTCTAAATAATGCTCAAATCGAAAAAATAAGAAGCGCATTGAAAGGTTTTCAAAATAATGGTTTAAAAAAAGGATTACCATTAGTATTGCTTCCAATGATTAAGTTTACAGTGTATAATTCATACCAGCTAGTAGCTGGATGCAATTATATTGGAAACTAGTGACAATCGTTTCACATCTATGTGTTAGCAATGTAACATCTAAGCTACTTAAACGTATTTTCAATCACATAAAGTATTCCTCCAGTGATATCTTGTCCTGGGAATTGCGAGTACTCCATCAGTTGAACGTCGTCCGGCACGGCGTCCGTGATCCCCTATAACATCCAAGTATTCAGGGCATCCGTAATGCATAGTAACGTCTCACACAGAATCTTACAAAATTAGATACGATGCAATATTCCGAAGTGTTAAATAGTACTATTCACATTTCCTGTTGTAGATGGCAAACGGGAATACAATGCAATTGGCCTTTACCATTACTTCATGGTCCTTTTCGTATGCCTCCGAACAATTTTAACTACAAATGGAAACTCAGGATCTATCTGAAACTACCAAGCTTAACGATGAATAGCTTTTGAGGAATACAATTGAAGTTCTCTAATCTTTCCTATCATATTGTCTGAATCAAAGATTCACAGTACAGCGAAGTCTGCATTACAACAGGTTGCACGACTCCTAATAACTTCCTAATAACACAAGCCGCAGAAATCGTAAAACGTGAAACATTATAATGCAAACCTCTATCTAAACCACTAGTACGAATGTCCCTATTTAGTTTCTTCAAGGGAAAATTACTAAGAGATTGCTAAGGTGAGAAAGCAATGCAATAAAAGCGGTTGATTCGGATCCTCGATGAATTATTGTGTTCCAAAAGAAAGCGGAAGTCACTTAATGCTTTTTTCGTAATCAAGAGGAAATGATTGATAACAATAGGTGCTGCTCTTAACCTCTCATTGCTAACGTAAGTTTTGCAAGCTAACCATTGCATGAAGTTCGCATACTATAGGAGTAATGTTTTGTAATCGTCGTAAACAGACATTCATGTATAAATGGATGACGTATACACAGAACAGCGACATTTAAATGAATGCCATAACGAGATTTTCAGGAATTTCAGTTCTGTGCTGACACAAAGCAAACGAAGTTCCCACTGGTTAACTAACCGCAATCACCCAAGCTACAGAGCCTGACTTGACAACTACTGAAAAGCTTCTTTTTAGCAATTTCTTTTATCCAATCTTTACTTAGTTCCAGCACTATATATATACAATAACTTACTTTATTTCCGCATGTATGTGTTGTTGGCGTGAATTCATATATATATGTATATGTGTCTGAAGTACTACCAAGAGATATAATATTCTTATGGTCTTATTTCCCTAAACTTGTTTCGTTTGTTATTATATTTTCAATATTTTACCATTTGATGCTGTCGTTCGTTAAAAAAATCATTTGACACATTTATAAGTTTAATTTTATATATTCTTTTATCATTCCTGCGTTTAATTTTTTTCCTTATATCTACAATGAAGTTTTTTACAACCCAGGTCCATCTTTACCGGCCGTGTGAAGACGGGTGCATATTGAAACGTTTTGACATTTCAAAAATTAAAAAAATCTTGCATTATAATAAAAAAAACACTCTGTTTTCTCGATTATTTACCAAAGCTTTACAAGTTCTTAAGCAGCAAGGAAAGCAGTATTCAGATTTGCACTTAGGCCATACTTCTGGATCGATTTAGACGCTGCAAATTAGGTAAATAAAATGTAAACATATTTCGTTTTACTTCTTTACGCAAAACTTTCTTTATTCGTGCAGCTTCTGTATAGTAACATGAACGAACCGAACATTTCCGCGCGGTATCGGCCGCTCCCAAGGTGGCTATCTGCGGTTGTCATCTACCCGCCAAAATAGGGCCCACGTGCATGCGGTACTCCTGTTGTTGTTTCTAAATAGTTGAATTCGGAAGATTCATCCATGATTGGTCTTCGATTGTTTTTCGGCTTGTGTTCTCGGATGGAAAAGCTTCAGGTGTGAGTGCGTGTGAATGTGTATCAAGTAGATCGTAAATGATATCAAATGAAAGTAACTCTATAGCTTTCTGTGTATGATTCAAGTAAACTAGCTTTTATCAGTCCTGTGGCTGGAAGTGGGAAACCGCAAAAACCTTAACAACTGAGCTACAACGTTTATCCAGTGAGTATTCCTGACATAATACTGCCATGCAGAGAATCAGAATGGACTGGCGAGCCTTTCTTCAAGTTAGTGCCTTTACGAATATTTCAGAGTGCAAATAATTCCGGCCCTCATTTTCCAGGATGGATATTCCTATATAATGGATGCACAAAATAACGCAGCTACTAAACGCCAGTCGAGTGCCGCATCCATGAATAAGTGCCCACGCTGCTTTTGTTGTTTTGACAGTGCTTAATGTGAATGACCATTTCATAATGTAGTCACATCTACCAACAAACGTCAACAAGCTCTGTGACGTAAAATTCAGCAACTTCGTTAGGTAGAAAAAAATAGTTAGCAATACTAATGCAACTGCCGTACGAACATCAGATTTTGGGATCAATCAATTATCCACTTGTTCAAGTTGACCATTACTGTTCAACATTATACATATATGTTTGTTCAGTGCACGAATTAAGATATATAGGGACAACTGGGTTATCTAGAATAATGTTGTCCGAATTAAGTCGCAGGTGTCATAATACGATGTTATTGTGTAATAATCGTGGGTACATGTATGTTGTAAGGCATACGTTTTTTTTGTCAAGGATACCCGTTTATATAAGGTTTGATAAGCTACAGAATTTGGAATATGTTCTGTGGATCAATGTACTTAGAAGGCCGTCCAGCGGCCAAACAGAAGATCTAAACCTTACGTTTCTGTTGATACTCAAGATGAGCATTATGAGAAGTTAATTTGATAGGAGATGGGCAATACGCAGATATCACCGCACTCGTAAGGGCCTTGTTAAGGTACGTCATATAAACACTGAAATCAATAAATGAACTAGCGAGCCACCCGGTTAAAGGCTTCCATAGTTAAAGATATATTTTTCGTTTGAATGCACTACCCGAATTTCTGCGCAATATTTTTATTTTCCTTATATGCAACTTAGACTTGCAGCAACCCGTATCAGCACGGTCTTTGAATTAGTTTGTAATCGTATTTTGATTCCCAAATAATAACGAAGCTCCTCCGAGCTGCAAGCTTCACCTCATCATGTGTGGTGTTCTAGAAGATTCGCACGTTTTCCACCAGGAAGATTCATGGGGCCGTATCCTTGCTGAGGTGCGGTTTCTTCAGGAGGTTCTGGATTTCAATGAAGCTCCACAAGCTAATCTGCTTGATGGCAAGTGCCCGGAGTTAACTAATATTCGCATGATGCTTACGAGCCTTGAACGAATAGTGCTGGAGTCAACGAAGGAGGCAATTTTACCCCAAAAGTGTGGTAACAATATGCAGGATATTGACTATGAAGATCGTGATGAACTATCACTTGAGGAGATGTACGACTTGTTGTATGTACTCACGGAAAGGATAAAGGCCAAGATTGCTATCCGAGTGTCCGCATGTAGAGGTTTCCTTTTGAGTCGTGGGTTTAGAAGACCCCCCGGAAAGAGTCCATTGGTTGACATGCAGCAAAAGAGCCCTCGTGAGAAAGATACGACCGATCAGCGAATGTACTGCTTGAAGACTGGCAGGGCCAACGTAAAAGATGAGCGTCCTCTCCGCAAACAACAAGATTTGATTGCATTACGTGATAAGAACTCACGTATTCGTGCTGTGTCAGTCCATAGAGAAAATGAAAATTTATTTCCTGCTTGTGCTCAATTTTAGCGCCTTTAATGCGTATTATGTGGGTTGTACATGCTTTGGGAAGGCTCAGTTAATTAATCTGTTGACACGATCTTGTAGCGTGCTCAGTACCTTACAGTTGAGATGTACACTGTGCAATTCCTCGTAGGTCGAGCGTGACGTTTTCGTATTTTATGAAAGAGATTATTTAACGATATACGGTGACGGTTGGTTTGATAATAAGTAGATAAGTTCTTCGTTTGAACTTGTTCTCTGAACAGGCAAACTAATGAAATGATGATGGAACACTAGGTGAACGAGAAATATTTGAGGCGTTCGTGCTGCATACACTTGAAAATTATAGTAATATATAGAAAGTACTTTTGTATAATAGTGTATATTTGGTATAAAATCGAATTTAGGTGTATGTATGTACATATTTTTTTGATCATTGTGACAACTCGGCGAGTAGTGTCATGTGATGCAAATGAAAGGCTTAGATGAATCTGTGTTTTTACGTAGAGGTCAACGAGATAGCATTTGAAATATATCTGGCTGTGGCTCAATTATGTGGCCTACACCTATAATTTCTGTAAGTGAATAAATTAAAATAAAATTCGTATGTAAATCGCTTGTCGAAAGAGATTTTCAGTTTACGTGTAGTTCAACACTAATTTGACTGACTTTGACCTGTTTGTAGGTTAGGTTTGATGTGTTGCCTTGAAAGTTCGTACACGCTGTGAAATATTAAAAGCGGGACTCGGATCTCCTTATAGTGCTACGAACGAGATAAAGCTTGTTCTTTTGATCAATTCTTCTGTTCTCTCGCTGCATGACATACAACTCTTCTAACAAAACGTACGCCAGTATAACCCTGCTATTTGTACGTCTACAGAAAAAACGTCTTAAACGTCTTGTGTGGGTGCATGGAACTGAGACAAAGAGACACGTCGGTACGTGTTATAAAATGTAAGAAACAACTCACATCGCTGAACACTCAGCGAAAATCTGAAATGTGTGCAAAATCGAAAAAGCGCCGAGGTTATATAAAACAAATATGTATATCATTATATATCGTTTTATTTTATGGCTGTGGATGCATTAAGGTGCTACGAAATCAGACGCAAAGGAGTCGTTTTTTTTTCCGTATTTTCACTCATTTCTAAGTGTTTTCATTCTGAGAAATATTATTGAGACGGAGGACGCTTTATATCTCAAAAGCTCTTTATTCCGTTGACTAATATGAATTTAAGGACGCTTAAAGGCTTGGCGATACGCGTCGAAAGTAGCAGCTAATTACGATTGATGTAAAAGCTTGTGCAAACATAATATTTTCCAGTTTCTTGTTCTTTTGAACTCAGATATTATATATAGGTTTTTATTTCTGATTTTTTATTCAGAGAACTACTCCACATTAACAATGGGCATATCCTACAAGCGAAAGCGTATTGACGATGAAGAAGAGGTAGACCTTGGTGTATCGTCCGCAGAGGAGGATGGCGTTGAAAACTTCGAAAGGACTCGTCACACCTTTCGCCGGCAAAATGAAAATCTGGCCAAGAAGAAAGCATTACTCCCCACTAAACACAAAGGCAAACTCGTATACAAGGTTTGAGTATGATTTTTACTGAAAGCGATCTTCCTCTAGTGTTAATGTTTAATTATTCTGTTCTTGATAGCATGATTATGCTTCATTTATTTCATCTATACCGATGTTCAGGAGGTTGATATTCTTCCTGTTATTGAAGCGGCTATTACCGAAGCTGAGGGACCTGAAGACGTTGATTCTGACGAGGAGGAGCCTTCAATGACGAAAGTATTTGATGAGCTTATCTCATCCACCGACGAAGAAGATCAACTCCAAGGGGACGAAGAAGTTGAAGATGAATGTAAAAGTGAGGCGGAACGGCTTGCCGAGCAAAGTGTCAAGGTTAATGAATACATGTTACAGATAGGTTAGTTTTCACAACTATAATGATTTACTGATTTTTATTAATGAAACAATACACAGTATTAGCGCACATCATTTCAAATTGCTGCCATTGATCTATCCAAAATGCATTTAAAATGTGTCAGCATGAATCCAACAAATGCACTAGGGCGAATCAATTAAAAATCGATTATAGTAAAACGAGAAAAATCGTCTGCATAGAATAAAACTAGCTTTGTTCAAGTAGACCCTTTTTTAGCGCCAGTCCTGTATTATCAGAATTAACCGTCAATTGCCTTATATTTGTTATATTTTTTTAGACTGAGATCCTTTGAACAAAAGGATAGACATCATCTGAAGACTTTAAGCAGTTTTCTTTCATTGCAGGTAATGTATGCTCAGATATCGTTGAAAACCCTGAGCAACACTATCGTAAAATAAACGATTTACTTCAAATGACAAAAATGACGGGGACAGCAGGATACGCCATAAAAAAAGTAGCGTTGTTGTCACTCGGTGAGGTTTTTGCAGACATTTTGCCAGAATATCGTGTCAAGGAGGATGCCAAACCTACAGCTAATGGTCCCAAACTCAAAAAGGAAACAAGAGAACTCATGGCGTACGAAAGGACCCTTTTAAAGTTGTGAGTACCTTTTTGGTCGTTTCCTAGGTGCCCGCGGAACACGCGTGTACTTCAGACACGCGGAAAATAGTTTAGTTTTTCTCACTTATATGTTGTTTACCCCAAATTAACCCAAACCGATGCAGCTGTAATATTCTGTTACTAGCGAAGCAAGCCAATAGTGTGCTGACGTATATCAGAGCAACTATTTCTTGTTTACTCTGTCCAGGTACAAACGGTTTCTGGTAGTCTGCGAAGATTTTGTTCAGCTTCAGTACCGCGCGATGCGTACACAGAGGCAGCGAAAACGGGTGAAGCGCCGAAAGTCCAAACAATTTCATGACCAATACAGTGATTCCAAAGGAAATGGCGAACCTGATTTCGAGGTCCCGCCGCATTTGCTACAGCTCTCCCGTGCAGCGATTCAAGCGTTCTCTCGAGTGTTCACAGCGCGGCCCTACTTCAATTATCGCGATAAAATTGCCGCAATCATGGTAAACAGTCTTGTCAATCGGGATAGCGTGATTTCCGATGCGTCATACAATTGTCTGAAGACCATCTACAGGGAGGACCAGCTCGGTGAAACCGTGTTCGAGTGCGTCAAGCATACCAAATTATTGGTTAAGTCATATACAGCCAAGTTGCCACCAAAGGTGCTGTATTCCCTGTTAAATCTACGTATTGCCAAAGCGAAGTCATCGGAGCAGGAGGCAATCGACCTAAAGGAAATCCGTAGTAAGCTGAGCAAGATGTCTCGTGCTGAACATCGCCGGCACAAAGATTTGCAGAAACTTGACAGACAGTTGGCAGAAGCTCGTGCCGAGGACAGCGAAGACCGCAAAAGTCGAGTGCACACGGAAATATTGAAACAGCTAATGAATATCTATTTTTGGATTCTCAAGAAAGATGATAGGCCATCGCAGCTGCTTACGCCACTTCTCGAAGGTCTCTCTAAGTATGCTCATCTGCTAAACATTGAATTCTTTGATGATCTGCTTGACGTGCTCCATCGTCTCATGGAGAGCGAAGAGCTTACGGAAGGTCAGACGTGCCATTGTCTGCTAACCATCTTTAAAATACTCAGCGGACAGGGCCAAGTATTAAACGTGGATCCGACCCGATTCTATACGCAACTCTACGCTACCTTCCTGAACTTAAATGCCTGTTCTCCATATGACTTCACGCCAACGATACTCCAGTGTCTTGACATGACGCTGCTTAAAAAAAAAGATGCCAGTTATCAAAGACTACTAGGGTTTACTAAGCGTTTATTGACCGTTTCATTGCAGGTTAGTTAGACGTTTACGCTCCGTCGTTTACATTTTTTCTTGTGTTGCATTAGCTGAAGTATGTCTCTTTCATGGGCACCATTGCGGTAGTCAGGTTCAACAGAGAAATTTTAATCAACTCCCAACACAAATAAACGAAACAATACCAAAAAAAACATTGCAAAGGTACACGAAAAAGCTTTACTAATCCTCGATATTTTGTACCATTTAAAAGGATTGTCAGCCTCTTCGCTACTGATATGGCGTACTGCACTCTTTATAACTGCACGTTATTAGTAAGCGGATGAGGATGGCAAGAGAATAAATTCGAACCTCCCCCTGACGATCTTTTTTAACATATAAGTACAGAAGACCAATTCCGTTTAACGATGTCACTGCAAATGTTACATTTTATTCAATATTTCCCAGGCAGGTGACGCCAGCACGTTATCACTTCTATCAATGGCTCGTGCTCTTATGACTTCTCACCACCAGCTAGACGTGTTGTTAGACCACGAGGTCGGATCAGGCGTGTTTCGACCTGAACTCACCGATCCAGAGCATGCGAATGCTTCTAGTGCTGTGCTATGGGAATGCGCTCTGTTGACGAAACATTATGTTCCGATGGTTCGACGGTTTGCCGCGTTAGTTTCTGAGGGCAGTCGAGGAGTACCCGGTAAGCTTTGTCTTCGTTATATTATTCTATATTTGATGGGTGTTTAAATACAGCGTAACTTGAAAGATGATCTGAATCAGAGATAAATTCCTATATATTTGGCCTTACGTTGCAAAAAAAGTTGGAATTTCTATCAACGTTGCATTCTACCAAGAGCATGGTACCCCTGATTTGTAGGTGCGCTGAAAGATAGCCAAGAACAATCAAAACTGATGATTGTTGTAGAATAAGACGGCTAAAATTGTGTATGTGGATGCGTTTTTATGACGAAAGATCTTGATCAGGCTTGAATCAATACTCAATACGTATTTATTCTTGTTTTACTGATATGGTATTACAGATAAATTCGTGCAGAACATTAGTAAAGCGACACCGTCACAAGTTTACGGCGCATTTCGTAAGCGGGACGCTGTTGAGATCGCTGATGAAGTTGACAAATCAAAACGTTCTATTTCCACGAAACCAATTCTCTGGACCCAAGAGAGTTCAGTTAGCAAAGGCGAGGCCATCATTGCCTTGCTCGAAGATGACATCGCGCTTTGGACACACGGCGAACATCTAGCGCCTAGGTATCATAATAGTTTATAAATAGACAACAGATCGTTCAGCTACAAGTATACATATGAATTCGAAAGTAGTTTGCATAACAATAGCAAGAACTTTTTATTGCATGCCCACGAAGGAGTTTGCATTCATGTATGTAGTGATGTTTAAGTGCACTTAAGCAAAAATCTGATTACGTGGTATATGGCAAAAGACCAATATTATTTGGTACAATAAATATATGATTGTTTTTATTTTATATTTAGTTTTCATTATTTTTGCTAGTTTTGTATTGAAATTAAATGTTTAGGCGAGTGTTTTTATGGAAAAATCATAGCCAAAGTGCGATATGCTTCAACATATGTACAGGCACGGCTGTCTACTGGCTTTGTTTAGAACCAGATAATACACTCCACTGAATCGTATTGCCTTTCCGTAATATAAAACTCTTGTAAATAAAAGTCTCACATTTAGTTGTTTTGCGACAGAGAATCATGGTTAGTCGAAAAATTCTACCTATGGCAAGTGAGTGATAGGTGATTTGTTCTCTAGAAGTATCTACGACTCCCATTATAATGTTGGTGTTTTTTCGTTCATTGTACATTGTTTTCCATAAAATTTTGTGCTACATGACGTCAGTGTCATGCATTTTCTGGGAGTAACTGTGTTCACTTTAGTCGTCTTCAAAGAGTTCAGGTGCTACGCCGGTGTTCTTCACCTAAATGCGGTCACAGAACTGAGAACGCGTTTCTTGGAGCTGAAGAAAAACAACAGAAACTGATTCTCTAAATCCTTTTTCTACCTTCCCACAAGATAACATTTGTATCAAGCCCGCAAGCGCTGTCCAGGGAAATACATGGAGTGAAGTCCGAACGTCATTGTCAGTATTTCAATGCACTGCTTACCATGCAGAACTTGATCGTAGTTTAGAAAAATGAAAGTTCAGATCAAGACGGTTTTGCGACCAGGAAGGTAACTTAACTGTTTTTCGCCGCGATCAATTTCTTTTTTATGGATGGATTCCCTGGCTAGAGGTTTTTAGTGTTAATCTCCGGCCCACAAAGGCTTCAAGTCAGCGTCCAATTAACACTGCGGCTACTAACCTAATCATTTCCATTCGGATTATGATCAACTATAGATCAAACATTCAGAGAGCTTTAAACCCAGCCCCTAAAGAATAGGAAGTCACTTGACTGCTATGCCATCTTTTCAGATCTAACGAGTTAAACGTCTGCAAAAGTTGTATTGTATTTTCAGCAGTTACCTTTATCCTTTTTGAGCATGGGCACATCTGAGTAATTAAAATAAGCCTTCAAAAGGCGTAAAAAGGAAGTGTAGGCTTCGTTAATCCGCGGGGCAAGTCATTTGGATGCAAATATTGGAAGAAAACAGATCTGCGGGTGTTTACTGTGGCGGCTTTCCTTAATGATCTTGATCTGAATGAAAAATAAAAAAAAATCGTGCAACAAAAGTAAAAGCATATTCTATTACAGTCCGAACTGTAGTATTCACTCGTATGTGCCTTATTTTTCTCCTACAGATCTAGTACACATCTAGAACAAACTTTGCGCTCAGGGACAAGCTCGAGCGAAATTTTACAAAGTAATCAATACTAAATAAATCAAGTATACGGAGGTGTAGAAGCTAACATAACTGTTCTGGTTGAAAGACTGACGCACGAAACAACTTTGAAATACGTAGGGATATCAGATGTAAAATTTTTAACATACACATATAAGTAATCAAAAATTGACACAAGAAAGTCAAAAGTTGATGGCATATGATAATTACCTCGACTGTTCTAAGACTCACAAGGTAAAGCGGACTCTCGTCTTTCTTTATTACAATGCTGCCTCCAACATACACCTAGGCTAAATGAGCGATGCAACAAAGAAATCTCATACCAATGATAGATCTCATGTTCCTATCTGTCTGTCTGCAGTATTCCTATAATAAGCAAATCGCAAACCAAATATCCCTGTGTCTATGCGGTAATATTTAAGGTGCGTATTCATTAAAAAAGATTTACAAAGAACACAATATATTCCCTCGTTCTCAAAAATACGTATACATACTCTTTTCTAAAATTTGAGCCTTGAAAAAATATACTCTTTCTACTTTAAATGCATATCGGACTATCACAAAATTTTACGTTCATGATAAATATTTTATCCCTTATTATACACGATTATTTTAAAGTGTGTGTTCGACGATAGTTATCATAAAATTTCTACTTTATTACCGCAATTAGGTTATTATTAACGATTACAACTTATTTACGCATTTTCTCCCATGGAATACAGTACGCACAATCCAACAACTATCGTGAAATATTAGAAGCTATTTGCGCTACAATTCATTCATTACGGCCGGGCCTTACCAACTAGTTTTCATGTAACTGCCATTCTGCCGGGTTCAAGTCAAATTCATGAGTACCAAAAACTTAAAAAAAAATATATGGTCACTTCGAAACCGTATTTCCTCACTTTCCCCCAGCGTCGCTTTCGTGCAGTTGTTCATCATATCTGATATAATTTGTATCTAGAACTCACCCAGTTACAAACTGCCCGAGTGTCTGTACTTGACTTATACCTAGTTTACTATCTGCTTATCTATTCACGTGTGCGCACTAGAGCGGTCAATAACGAAAGTCAAATTGTTTCAATGCATTTGAGTAGATGAATAAACACACCTTACAGTGATTAGAAAGAAAAAAAATGGTTTGAAACATGACTGGTTACATCATGAATCTAGGAAGTAATATATTATTAGGCTATGTGAGAATATTTGATATGGGTCGGTGTCGTGGGCAGTCCTCGCTATAGCTTAGTGTATAACTTATTTGCCTAATAATCTTAAAAATACGTTGCAGTCTAGGCTCGAATCCGTAAATGGCCACATTTCGTTTCATTCTGGAAGCGAGCGTCTGATGCTGAATGCTCAACAGCAATGCCTATCCACAATGGCTATTGTTAATTTGCTCAATGATATATGCAATGCACGGTTCGAATATATTTGCTCTTTATATATTTGCTTTTACGTCACTAAAATATCTATAAAATATAAAATAATATAAAACACAGGTACGTTACTAAATATCAATAAACTATTTTAAAAGCTAGTTTTACAATATGATCACTTGACCTCATTGATGGCGTACACTACACTCTGCAAAACCATGTTACTTGCGTTGTGATGGCTAACTTTACTTCTTAATGGGGAAAAATATTTGCGTGGCCCAAGTTGATGAATCTGATAAACTAGATCTTCGTCATTTGATGTAGATACTTGATCTTATTTACCAGGTCAAACTTTTACCTCCTTAACTCTTCTCTTAAACTTTCCGAATTTCTCTAGCTATTTACAGAAACATTAAGCATTTAACCTGCAACTCGTATTGTAGTTCTTACTTTTTTCGTACGCACAGTTCGCGCCATCGATGCCGATCACAAATCATAACTTGTCCTATCGCCAAGCAAATTTAGGAAAGTTTCTATGTTACATACGGTCCCGAGCGGACGATTTCGATGTTTACTGTACTATGTATGTGTAGTACTGTTGTATGGCTCGTCCTCTGCAGCGTACTTGTGGCCTGTTTTCCATAAATAAGAAGTGTGCAGGTCGGGAGTTGCGTTTCTCGCTTCGTTAGGTTCGACCCTGGGGAGCGTGTCTCTCCAATAACTTAGAATTCTAAATCTTGTGGCCACCATGCCGGGATTCTTTCGAAGGTACAAGGCTGAAGAAGAGGGTGAACTGGTTGATCCCCAGGTGATGCTTCGCGCAAAGTGTGGGGAAAAACCGAAGTGTGCGGCATACAAAGAAAAATTCGATGCGTGCGAAGCTCGGGTCCACTCTCGCAAACAGGTAAGGAGATGCTGTGCGGTAACCTTGTAGATAAAGTCTCATATTTTATTTAAGTGAGTACTCTGGCAATACTTTTATATCAAAGCGTGGCTTCTTACTTTTACACGTTAAGCAGTAGGCGGAAGTAGACAAAATGACTAAGTTCTTATTTACAGCTTTGAGCAAAAATCTCACTACATTAGGAAATTTAGAAATCTGTTTATTCGACTAATATTAAATGTAGTTCGCAAAGTCGGATTAAGATGAAATGCTCAAAAGCCTTCAGTTGGCGAAAGGCTTTGTACGTGCATTGGTTAGTGACAAAGCGGTAAGAATTATACGAAGGTACAAGCGGTGTTCTTAATGCCATGGGTATTTCATTTCTATGTAGTCATCTTTACTTTGACATTGAATATGATATGATGTTATATTAAACTCATCATAAGATAATGGTGTTGTTGTGTAACATTTCCTATTTAATATTTAGAAATCCACTATTATTCTCTGACGATACTTTTTAGTAGGTTGCAAATACAAGAGCAAAGACCGTTACTGATCAGAGAACAAACAACGGTGCTGTTAGTATCAACGTCATAGAAAATACCAACCGAGATATTCAACATTTCGCCCTGAAAAACCTCTCTTGCAGACGACGGAGACCTGTGCGGAGGAGCTATTCGATTTTATACACTGCGTCGATCATTGTGTTGCACCTGACCTCTTCAAGCACTTGAAGTAAATAAACAAACAAAATGAATGCGCCAACTTCACGAAGACCATTAAAAACAGCTACTCGTTTTTTAGATTCTCCTTTGAAATATAATGTTTTTGAATGAAATGTAAGAAATAGAATAAAAAAGAGAGTCAAGTAACACTTCCTTTGCAGTGACTTGTTATCTTAAAGTAGTTAGGGGCATTATTGGAAATAATGTTTTTACAACAGAAAATCTGTTGAGATAAACATATCTGTGGGCCGAGCTGAGCCAAGCTTAGTAATTTCAGCAGAAACTATGCAAACTTTTTATTTAGAAAAACGCCGGTATTCTTTAAAGATTATGGACTTCATTATGGCGATAGCAGCTTCACCAAGCTAAGTTGGTAGGGATCGTGAATCTTGCATTATCTTATTTTTTTTTATTATATTCCATAATTCATATAAAAAATGCTAAGCATTAAATTTATAAGGTACTTAACGTCAAATGCAATTTGTCAACTGAGGAAACCAAGATTTATATCAACGCGAAATCCAAGTAACCCGGTTTGATAACAAGGATCCACGTTCTTTTAATCGTAAAGGTGTCGACTGTACGTTGTTCGAATCTAATAACGATTTATAATCTGCCTTTTTAGCAGGCAGCAGCATCCACTGTGTTTTTTGTTACTAAACTCTCGAATGCTTGTATCTGATTCCTTAAAGACAAAAGCAACCAACAACGTGCCGTTTCCAATAATGACGTCAGACATGGTTACAGAACTCACGTTTTTTTTAGCTGACACCCAGTAGTTTTCCTTTTCGAATAAGGTAGGTGGAACAGTGAATGTAAATTAGCGTAGTGAGTTGCGTTTTAGGCAAACTTTGATGAATTTCGCTAAATTAAATTTTCATAATTTTCCCTTATCCTCTGTTCCCACCTTTTTATATCTTTAATCAATCTTTGGAGTGTTTATTTTACTTTTCTGAGGTATGTTGTTAGAGGTATTAAAGAAGTTAAAAGAATAACATAGCTCGCAAAAGAAACTAACTCAAGCTCTTTCACATGAAAACATTTCACCTTCAGTACATTATGCTAGTAAATAAGCATGCAACAATGAAGCAATCATGGTTTCTGTTTGTTGTTTTTCTTGAGTTGAGCAAGTAGTGTTACATGCTTGTCTCGATACCACAGTTCGAATTGTAAGCTGTTTACATATTATTATACGCTTTCGTCAATACATACATTTCTATACGTAATGCATACCCTTATATTATATTAAGTACTTAGAATTAACACTAAAAGCGCACGTAAGGTTCGCAATTTATTGAATCTACTTTTATAGTTTCATTTACAGCATAGACAACTCCTGATTGCTACTGGCATTTGCCTCCTTGAAAAATCAAATGAATTAGTCACGGTAGCTCTACTGCTACAAGTGGCGTAACATTGTGACCAAAATCGCTTCACACATGAAACTATCAATAGATTTACGGCTAAGAGCTGTTGCCTCCTTGTTTAGTTTGTATGCACCCACCAATATTTTTTCCTAAATCAAACATTACGTTCCTTATCTTTTATCCTCGCTGACCAAAGCCGTACGCTTTAAATCTTGTCATTATCAGTATACACACTCAATTTTGAATAATTCAATTCAGTGAGTATTAAAAATACATACATATAATAGAACAAAACTTTTTCCTTTAAAAATCGATTTTCCTCTTATGATTCGCTGCTTTCCTTCAAATTTGTGCTTTACAGGTAATCGTTGGTTATGCGTAATCAATTTCACTTATCAAAACGATGTATAACCTCTGATTTGGTTGTCGTTGGCATCTTCATACAATTGACATCTGCTTACGTTATACGAATAGTACTATCACCCAACAACTTCTTAAGTTTAACCACGACTATTAATATAGTTACGATTTTGCATAGTAATCAAGCCACGCGTATTTTTACATAAGCACTCTCAAATTTGAATAACTATTATTTGACTGTACTGTGCAATCTTTAATTGATCATTAGCCAGTCGGTTAAGTAACAAACGAGAAAAAAATCTGCTCTGACAATACAAATTATCGCAGTCTGCTTACGGCATACAATATTTGTGTACTGTACGTTTCTTCGGCTGCCGTTAGCGACTAATTTGTAACTTACATCTATAAAATATCAATCGAAATCGAAATCGTAATCGTGATCGCGATCTATGGCCGCGGTGGGGAAGGACACCGAGTAACGATGATCTGGGCCGAGTGCAGCAACCTTCTTGCAGTCAACCTCCGACAATGAGTCAACGTTGGTGAGTCGGTAAACGTGGGTGTACGAAACAGGAGCGTTTTGCGCGCGAGCAATTACAACTAGGACGTCCAGGTCCAGTATTAGCGTATAGTCGACATGCTGGCGAAGTGGTAAAGTAGCCGCACATCACGGAGAAAAACAGTGAAATATAAGCAGCAGTAGCAACAAGCATATATATCAGATAAATTAATAAGCACATAACTGACTTCTGTGTGAATTCAACAGCAGTACTCAAAACTAATTTTAGATCATGGTTATTCCGGCTTGTTCAGCCCAAACAGGGGAAAAGTAGTTACTTGACGCGGAACCAGAGTACTATTTAAAAAAATTGCCTCTGCGACGTTTTTCTTGTTTCTGCTCTGGACACCGCGACTGAAGCCGCCATATCTTAGGCTTAAGCCGAACTGATACTGAAAATATTTGAAGGTCGGTATTATAACGGGATTTAATGATCGATGACGATACTACTACTCGAAGCAGAAACAGACCTCTCCTAAATTACACGACAGAAACAGGAGAAGATCTAATTATACTTACGGTCTCGAGCGGTTTGTTGAAACGCATCGTACGGACCAGCCGCCCTGAACGGTCGTCAAACATTTGTAGAATCCCACGTTTATTGCGATCACCTGGCTCTCGACCCAACAGCAACAACATATTTAGCTCATTTTCGTAGTCATCACCAAATAGTAGACGCTTCTCGTCCGGGTCCTCGTCATAGTAGACAGGCACTCCGAAAATGCTCGCTAGATGGTGTATTCTACAAGGCAGAAATATGCGAATCATACAAGTTTGACACGACTTATTAACAAAGGGGCAACTTGGCAACTGAAATAAGATCGATTAGGTAGACTGCTCTGTTTTTGAGGATACTAGTGATACTCGAATTACGCTCAAACGAGCATAAATTAGCTTACAGGTATTGTATAGCGTATATGTTACTTTACGAGAACGGATTACTCAAATAAACGAAAGAATCCTACAGAGACGAACGCATAAATACAATGCGGGGACAAACTACCTTTGTGACCTACGTAAGGGATAAGTGCCTGCAGGTACTCCATTATCACGATCTGGCAAAGCTAAACCTCGACCAACATTTCGAGCTCGTCGGGGAGTAATGGGTGGCTGCTGACGATTCATTGGAACTTGTCCAAGTGAACTTTGAGGAGGTGCCTCATAATGTTCAGCTGCGTGATAAGGAGCCAGCACGTACGCGACAACTTCGATTGAACCTATCTCGTTCTGATGCTGTATTAGTTGGCCTTGTTCCTGAAGCTCAACAAATGACATTTGACGCCGCATTTCCCGTTCGTGGTCTTCACGCTCATCTCGCACTGTGGAACGTTGACTGCTAGTTCGGCCTTGGCTTGTACTTTCGCCTGATTCTGTAGGTGCAGCGCAGTCAAAGGGGGCGCTAGTTGGCACCTGACCGTCAAAGCAAATGTCTCTCACAGGCCTCAAAATGTATGCTGGCTTATCTTCAGGCAGTACTGTGCTGACAGAAGAAGAAGTATCTGATTTGCTTGTATCTCGATCGGCCACCTCGACTTTATAGTACCTAAAACAAAGTGCGCAAAAACATGATGATCAAATAATGATTCAAAGAAATACTGGAAAGGGTACCTGCCAATTCACACAAAAAAGCACATAATGAGTTTGTTTTTCTGTACGGTTAACTTTGAACAGTGAATATGTACTACACCTATACGTACTGCTTTTTTAGTTTTGATTAATATTTATTCATTTCATAGAGTCCATAGGCTGAAAACTCGAAGAAGAGGCATATATATTCTGAAACGAGTTCATGTTTAAAAACTTCTCTGTCTTTCGCAAAGAAAAAAAAAGGACCCATATTTTAGTATATATTCTTTATCATGTTGTTATCAAGTGTAATACGATGATTAACGGTTTCAAAGGTATTCTCTCTGTTATGAATACCTGACATGTAGAATATTGCACGACCCTAACCTGATCATATCTTGTCGGGCGTGGGCAATGTGTCCATTACCATCGATGTGAAATCGCACGGAGTCCATGCGCAGACGATCCGACTGCTCGAATCGTCCCAGCTCTCGGTGGTCGAGAGTTCGTACAGAGTATGTCTCACTTCCCGGCAAATTAGTGACATACATACAAGGAAAACCTCCTATCTCAACTTGCTGATCGGCATTCGGTACAACTAGAACTGGTTTCGGAAGTGCTACACGCGCAAGGGTAATAAGAAGACCATATCAAATGCATATAATAGACACATAAAGCCGTATAGAACGCGTAATTTATGTCGTGCAGGGAACAGAACCTGTTATCAACATGTACAAAACTACACTATGCTATGCGGCCTTTTTGTCATACGTGTAATATGACGAAAAGGTCGCATAGCTCAAGCCTTGAAATACAATGGTATTTTCTATTACTAGTCTTATATACGTAATATAAGAATCTTTCACTATTACCTAGAGATTCGTCGTTAACTTAAAACGCTACAGCCTTATTGTACATTCAGGCGTATAAAAGCCAGCACGACCTTGGGGAATGACAGCCACACCTTTTTTCAGACGCTCTACTGTACTATCGGACCTAAAACAAAGCAACCTGCCAGTCATGCACACACGTATTTTTTGTCGCTTCAGAAATAAAGTTTGCATGAAGGATGTTTCACTTTTTAGTATGAACGGTCGCAGCTGCCTTTCATAGGTAAAAACCGTCACTTAAAGAGTTCTCGAGAAGAAAGCGAATTCGCGCCCTTTATCGCGTACATTTTAAGCCTACCTGTAATTTCTAATATCGGCTCTGAATCCGGAGAGTTTCGAATTTGACCCATTCGAACAATCTCGTCAAAGTCGTAGAGACGCATTTCCTTTTTTTTGCGGTATAGCATGTACAGAATGCCATCTTGAAGATAGACTTTTTCCAGAGCTCGTCCAAATACACGACGCGGGAACGGCACACGCAAAGCCTGCATTACAATCCGACATTTGGATAATGTCACTCTGTTCTGGGTTGTCTCATTTGAAGAACGAACACGGTCATTTTACAAATGAAGCCCGATATTCTAATGCTGAAAATATGTCCAGCTTCCATAAATGCGCATGCTGTAACAAAGTGCGGATTTAATTGAGATGATTACTATGGAACTCAATTGTAAAAAACGCTAGAGATATGATTTCTATGTCAACGGGCCAAGTATTAAATAAATCCCAGGTAGATAGAACATTTGCATAACGTGTAGGTTCTATGCAGAAATGAATAGTCACTTAAGATGCTCGAAACGAGATGTAGGCATTACTTCTCGTTGTTATATTTTACTTGCCTTGGTGATTTCGGAACCAATGTTTAAAATAACCATATAACATAAAACTAGGTGAGAGCTACTTTTCGTCGAGTAAACGACAATCTGATTTTTTGCCTCTTCATGCTGCATCGCGCGATAGTGAAACTGAAACGAAAAAGCAACAAAAGAATTTCGTTCTTGATTTTCCATTCAGGTGCAAGATTAACTACTATGAAGATTTTTACTCAATAAATAATGGTAGTAATTATTATTACTGTGATTGGTAAATTACCGTAGAATCCCCTGGAAGTGCAAGATTAATTGTGTTAAGATGATCTCCAGTATGCAAATTTCGGACTTCCAGAGTGTCCACTGTTGTTAGTATTAACAACAGCTCGTAGGGGGGCGGGTTAGGATTTACCTGTAATAGTCAGAATAACAAATATCAATAAGCACGCATGACCTAATTTGTCCACTTTTACCAAAAACGAGCTTTGTTTTAATAACAGCCGAGGAAAACTCAGTAATCGAAATCTAGGCCATAAATAAAAGTTTGCTCTCGCAGGGAGCAACAATAGTGTTTTTGAATCTTGAATTAGGCTTCTTTTGAATAGGCAAGCGCCCAGTATTTGTTGGGTAAAACGTGAACTATTTATTCCTTAACATAGAAGAATACCAAAAATTTTGAGCCAATCGTGCTGGTATTTGAATAAACGGTACAGTGATTATTTGCTTCTTTTATATATATATATATATATATATATATATATTTAATGCGTAAGTTTGAACCTCTAAACATTTACAGTGTACGGAAAACGCTAAGAAAAGTCATGCAAAGTTCTTGCTAAGCCGTGACATTGACTGTCACATTTATAATTTTATTTATAGTGTTATAAAATTCGTTCGCTTCTCAAATTATAAGGTTCATACCATTCCAGGAAGCGTAATGCTCAACACGCATTCACTTGTTCCGCCGACGCGTCTTCGTTTTGGAAGTACGTAAGTCTGGACTGGTTTACACTTAGGACCGCGGAGCGAATAACAGCGTCGGTTATTGTCGAGGAAAAGCTTATCATGACTGTAAAATATATTTAAAAAAATATATATATATTTATTTCCAGTTCGACGTAACCACGTTCTGTCCACCGTCAATATAAAAAATAAATGAGAAAATACTAATTAATCTGCTAATGTAAACGCTTGGAAAACATTTCTATGCTTTTAATAATAGCGAATTAAACAGGTTAGTGCGTCAGAACGAAATGCTTCAGTGTGAAAATAATTATAAGTTAAATACCTGGTTGCACTTAATCTTGCATTACCTAGTAACGTGTCGCATCGATTATGTTTAAAAGAACTACGAAAATAAGAAATTATCTTAACAATGATATCCTTCATAGCTTACTGAAGAAATTGAGGAGTTCCACTGCTGCAGTCCTTCATGACAGGTAAAAATATCCAGTTTGGTGACGCATTTAAATTGGCCATCAGCCGATTCTGGTACCTGTACATGTTTTGCATTCGACGACTGTACGGACCCAGTCTGCGTGCCTCCACTGCCTGCAAACTATTCATAGGAATTATGGGCCGCATTTTCGCAATCTTTCGTGACCCAGTAGATTCTGTGTGATGATCGACCGATTCGTTGGGTCGAACGTTACGACATATGGTAGGGTTTCGCTATATGCAAGCCTTGGAACCGCTTGTTGCAAACATGCCTGCCTCCGAAGATTACCAAAAGCTGATCCCGTCTTTCGAGACGCTACCAATAGAGATCCATAAAAGATTCATCAAATATTGTAGTATGGCTAATGGAACTAATAGAATCAAGGAAACGTGGTTGACAAATAATATTAAGATAAAATATAGCACCTAGCCTTGTCGCTACAGATATTCGCACACAAAAGGATGCTTTATAAATTAGTAAGCATCTAAACGGTTTGTAACAACTGTGACATTTAGAAAAGATTATGTTTGCAAACCCAAAAAGGTATAAAAGCCAACAATATGTGTATATATATATATATATATATATATATATATATATATATATATATATATATATGTATATATGTATATTGTATTAAAGTAAAGCTGTATAAAATTAATGAAGAATAGGCACAGACACGTAAATATTTCTGGCTGGTTTTTCAGTAAACAATATACACGCAGTAGAAGTACTAAAAAAAATATGAGTACACATATCGTCGATTTTTACACATGTTGTACATTACACGTTGAATTTTTAAATTAATGCATTTTTAAACGCTTCTCTATAAGAAAATCATGCGCGCAATGTTCGATGCGTATCTCCTTCTCGGAAATCGGCGCGCCATGTCAAAGTCCCAAATGACACTCTCTGATTATTTGCTAAAGCCTTGCGTCCATCAATAAATACATGTACGACACAGTTGTTTCATGTGTGCGGATATGGTGTATTTTTTAAACAGATCTATTTCTCGATATTACATTGCGTCTATTCTAGACGATCGAGTGTACCATAGCAGAGAGAACAGCACTGCAGTTCAGTATATACTGTATACAAAACACAGATCATAAATGGCCGCCTATACCAAAACAATAAGCAACCAGATGATGCTCAAGTAATGTTACTTCGGTGAAAAGCTTTAGCGCGTTAGGCTTCGACGGAAATCAATAAGCAGCAATAAAACTTCGTAGAAGTAACCAAATCATCGAAAAAATGTTTTATTCGATAAGATGTGTGGAGCTTCTCGTGAGACAGGTTACTTGTCTAGAAACAGCTTTGGTAACGTTAGTGCATCTAGTCATGTGTCTCCAATCCACGTGTTTGGTTTCATTTGCAAACGACGAAATTTTGTGAAATATCTCTACAAAACAAGTATTTTCATTAATTTTGGTAAGTGCACCTAATAGAGTAGTGGCAGCTGCTAGTATTTCCATGATGTTGACACCCTACCCGTTTTCTCATTTCCAAGAAACAAATCAAGTCAGTCAATAAGCACGTGCTAAAAATTTAGCTCGATTTCGGTGCCCCTCTATGGGAAGCGCTCACCCGTTGATTCACTTGGGCCTCTCATTATTTTTACTCCGAAGCTAGTTTGACATATTAATCATGCCATTTATCATAGCTTCTATATGCGACATATATAGCTTTATTGGATACAACGCCATCATTTGCAGTATAAATTAATAAAAAAGGGACCCAGTGCGCGAATTCGGTGTTTTATTTTTAACATTTTTGGCGACTAATATTGACAAATTCACGATAAAATACGTTAAAATATATGAGTAACTTTTAGATAGGCTCCTGAACATCCTTATTACAGAGATCAAATGCAGAATATCTTACAGCCGTCGTGATAAATGATAATCACCGTTCTGTCATGCATATAAATGGATTCAGGTGAAAATATTGGGAAATCATCTTTACTCGACATTCATATTACTACAGTACCACTTCTGTCAACTGTGAAAGTTGTTCCTTATCAAAATGAGCATTTTTTAACCATTTTTTTCAACCTATACCTCCCATTTAATTTATATTTTTACCTGAACGCATTTGTACTCATTAAGTGACGATGATCAATCCTAAGAAGAAGGCAGATGGAAAGGACGATGAGGATTTGTCATCATGCGTCTCCGAAAGCGAGCAGATGGAGCAGGGCCAGTCTGAAGACGCTCAAATGCAAAGTGACGAGAACACCGAAGACAACGACGACGATGATGGTCATGCTGATGATGATGATGAAGACAGTGAGAACGATGAAAATAATAAAAGTCAGTAACATGGAAACCAATATTAACAGAACATAAGAAAATTTAATGTTGTGCAGCCTACTATAGTTCGTTCTCGTGTTTATGATAACCATGTCTGTTAAGCAGCAATAGCAAAATTAATAATAATAATCATAGTTCTATTTATTCCAAAAAATTCTAACTATACTTAACTAATGTTTTCAACCATCTTTAAGCTGTATATTGTGTATTATGTTTGTTTTTATCCAGAAAGCGGAAAAGAAGACGGAGAAGGTGGTGGCGTGTTCATACCGGGCAAACGAATCTTAGCCGAAGATGAAGAGTTAATCATGGATCATAACGCATACGTCCTTTACCACCAGGCAACCACATTCGCGCCTTGCCTTAGCTTCGATATCCTTCGTGACCAACTAGGAGACAATCGTGCCGACGTGTTCCCTTTGACGGTGTACATCGTCGCTGGTATGTAACCACACTGATGCATTTTCAGCGTAGATTAGATGCTCCTTTAGAGATATTCGCCGTGTTTGAGACAGCTCACAAAGCTATCCTAGTGCTTCATATAATAAACAACAAAGTTGAAGCCAAATAAGCAAAGTCATTATTTAATATATTAGGAAAATAATTCACAGCCAGTTATAGTCTTTTTTGCATTACTCTGCAGGTACGCAAGCTGAAACACATGAACAGAACAATCTATTATGCATGAAATTGTGGAACATGCATCGAATTGACCAAACCCACGGCAACGACGATGACGACGACGACGACGACAGCGCCGAAGACGATAATGACGCCTATGATGACTATAACACACAGGATACAGCAAATCGAAAGCCCAAGCTCAACGTTGCCAGTGTCCCACATTCAGGTGCTATTAATAGGTTGGTATATAAGCTCATACTCTATTTAAACAGAATGCGTCTATTAGACAGGGTTACCGATCTCTGAGGGTTCTAAAGGCACTAATGTGAATCAGGAAAGAATTAGAAACTCAAAACGTCCAAAAACAATTCAATTAGTATATTATTCGCAAATTAGCAAGTGAACGGATAACAATTAAATTGTAATAATAATGACGTATTTCAGAGTTCGAGTTCAGGAGTTTGCGAACGGGAGAAAAATATGCGCTAGCTGGTCAGATAATGGGTCTGTTTATGTAACAGATATTACTGAAGCAGTTGCCGCAACACAGAAAAGTGAACTGTTAACAAGTTATATCAAAAAGAAGCTGGCTCCACAACCGTTTTTCAAGTTTTCTGGTAGGCGTTTTCGAAAAGACAGCATTTCCATTTAGTGCAAAAGAAGTTACATATAAGTGCAAATGCCTATACCTGTTACATACAAATGCCCATTCTAAGTGTGTTTTTTTCCCTAAAAATTAAAAGCACTCAATAATTCCAAAGAATATCTACTAATTGAAGCTGTTATATAGAACCTTCATAAATTCTTCTTTTCTAGAAAGCGGCGTTTTAGCGTGACATCGTCCTTATACCTTGCATCCTTATTCCTGCTTGGTTTTTCGGATAACTTACCTATTAAAGTATCTATACAGGTGTATATACTTTAATATATATAAAAAAGTAACCCTATAGTCTTTCCTAGTAATTTTGTTTATCTAAAATGTTTTTGTCCAGGTAATTTACTTTTGACAATATTTCTATTTGAACAGGCCACAAAAAAGAGGGGTTTGGTCTTGACTGGTCACCAATGGTCCCTGGACAACTCGCGTCGGGAGATTGCTACCGCAGTATTCATGTATGGCGTCCCTTGGATAATGGCGCTCGATTCAAAGTCGATGAACGACCTTTAATGGGCCACACTGATAGTGTCGAGGACATACAGTGGTCGCCAAACGAAAGCAGCGTATTGGCCAGTTGTTCTGTGGACAAATCCGTGCGAATATTCGATATTCGTGCTAATCCAGCCAAAGCATGCATGCTATCAGTAGCAGACGCACATACAAGCGACGTCAACGTGATCGGGTGGAACCGAGTTGACAAAACATTCCTACTATCTGGCGGGGACGATGGCATAATTAAAGTCTGGGACCTCCGACAATTCAAGACAGGCAAGCCGGTTACACTCTTTGATTACCACAAAGCGCCTATCACTTCAATTGAATGGCATCCTACGGATAGCACCGTTTTTGCGGTAAGTTTGATGCACTCAACGTGACTACACTGTCGAATCACTGACTATTGAATGGACAAGTAAAGTTGTCGGCGGCACCTAGCATGCATTTAAGTGTCTTTAGTTATTCATGACGTTAAAAGCTATGATGAATAACACATGGCTTATTGTGGCAAGTATAGAAATTACTTTTAACCACAGTTGTTATCGCTTACTCGATATAGTTGACAGTAACTCTTGATGAATATTGAACCGATAAATAAATGCATATTTTCTTACTTCTTTGAAGGCCTCGTCGGAGGATGACTGTGTCACGTTATGGGATCTTGCTATTGAGCATGACGCGGAAACCGTGGCAGCCCAGGGAGCTGAGGGAGATGGTGTTGATGACCTCCCACCACAATTGCTCTTTATTCACCAGGTATGGTAAAAGATGATAAGGATTTAAGAAATAAGGCATTTAATCGCAGTGCTAGACTATTTAACGCTTAAGAAAACAGGAAGACAAACTAAAATCAGCTGAAATTTCCATGCGATGCCCTGGAAACTGGTAATCACTGCCTGCATTTATAATCTACTTTGCAACTACTATTTATAAACTGTAACACAGGCCTAAGCTGCCTGTATTTCCTTATATCTTAAAACTTTATAAGGGTACATAATGTTTCAACATATATGCCTGTCGGCGAAACACAAAGAGCAAGTAAAATTAAATACTTGTACTGTATGTGGTAGCTAATGTGCTTTATCGCTTGCTAATTTACAGGGTCAACAGGAGGTGAAAGAATGTCATTGGCATCCACAAATGCCTGGAGTCCTTCTCAGTACGGCGCACAGTGGATTCAACGTTTTCCGAACCATCAGCGTATGAAACCACATTTGAACTTGTCACTGGTAAAAATAGTAACAGGTTTTAATGATTTTCTCAATTTAGCCTTGTTTAAAAAAATGTTCTTTAATAATTATAATAAACACACTATATAATAACAGCGTTGTAGGATACACACGTGTAAAGTATATTCATGTAGATCAATAATAAATGGTTGTGTTCGATGAAAAATCCATATATTTTGAACGGCTGGTTTTATTCATGCTTCTCTTTCAATTCTACTTAGTATTTTTAATGCATTATACGTATAAGAGCACCGCAAACAATGCATAATTTCGTTGTAATACCGATGCCGGTTGACGTTTCATCATAATAATAATAATAAGATAAAGATAATTCCTATATTGCTTTATGCTATAAATTATACTTTCGTTGAATCCAAGTCGTTTCCATATAAAAATAGACAACCTAAAAGAAAATGCTTAGCAGCCAGTTATTTTCAGTAAAAAATAACGCCAATGGAGTTTATTGCAAATAATTTCTTGCAATGATACGAACTTCTGAGTGACTGCAACAGTAATGTTCAATGTTTCTTTTGTCCAAACAATGTTCCACGGATTCGACAAATGTCGGGCAAAACGGTTACGTGTTTTTCTGTTGTCAATTCTATATTTCCTTTAGCAATTCACCAGCTATCCAAAGCGTCCATGAAATAACCAAACGGTTGCTACACATTTTGAAAATAACGAGTCTACAGTTAGAAATGTATTTACAAAAATGCAAATAAAGTTGACTTATGCCTGACCCCACAATTCTTGATAAACCCACGCATCATATATTTTATGCGTTACAGACATCAACAGTCTCCAAAAATTTACGGGCAGGTTTTCCAATTGCAGCTGTGCTAATGCTTGTGTAGTCGAAAGAATGGAACTTTTGTATATATCATTGTTTTTCTATTTTTCATCTAACTTAACGAATCGAATTTGCCTGGCATTTTACGGCTCCAGCGAAGTTTGCTTAGCCGAGGCTAATTTTCGCTTGTTTACAACAATCTGGTTTAACTAGTTGGTTAACAGACATTGTGCAATAATTTTTCTTCTCTAATTATAACACGTCCAGCCTTTTCACTCCATTTGTTTCTTTTGGGTAAAAAAGACCTCGGGTTCAGATGATCTCCAATGAAATGAATATATAATATTCACCTCATGATATATATATATATATATATATATATATATATATATATATATATATATATATATATATATATATACTTTAAGCTTCACTCGTTCTCCATATGTTCACTTCTTCCTTGGTTTTATCAATAATAGACTTTCATCAATCAATAGTTTTAACGATAAGCGTTCGCCGAAAAATGTCTGCGATGAATAAACGTAGACAGTCTAACCACTAAAGACTACGCGTCCGCTGTAACCAGCCTCGAAGCCTCTTCGTGGCATCATTTATCTTTTCTCTATAGTATTCTACCCTTCTTATAAGTCACAGACAATAGTAATTCTTTATATAACTATTATTACACGAAATATATTCACTTCTATATTATGGGGTATATATATATGTATATATATACTTGGCTCATTGCGTGAACTCAGGTTTTTTAGTTTTCTCTTCTTCGTCGTCTTGTTTATTTATGTAAAACGTGTTTGCTTTAAACTTCCATAATCGCTTATTAATTACTAGTTTAATTCCATACTGGTCTCTGCTACCAAAAAACTTAAAATTTTGTTGACTCATCCTTTTGCTTTTTGCATTTTTTTTTTTCAAGTGCCTATTTTTCCTGTATTTCCAACTTTCTGTTCAAATATCGCGCTGCCCAGCCTAACATTGTTATCATTTATTATTTCTTAAGCTATTAGCTTGTAACAAAAATATAATACAGATAGATTTTTCCCTACATGCTAGAGTCACCTGCGTTGTGTCTTTCTTGTAATCAATCAGCATCAATCTTCACAAGCCTACCTCATTCTCGTTGTATTTCGTCTTCCAAACGTGCTACGGAAAAGAGTTAAATACTCTTTCCAAGAATTCTTTTGACAGTGCTGCGCTAAAAAGAGCATTCAACATTTGCGTAATTTCATCGTTAGATGTTGACCTTGCCACTATATCCGTATCTCACACGCGCTTTACAGATAAACCGTTCTCGTTGAATATTTCGACGACACAGTTTCACCTTATATACCTATATTTTTTCACTTTTTTAGAATGCATGCATATCTTCATGCGTCTTTCATTGCGACTTCCCGCTGGGATTTCACTCATAGGTACATTATTGAAAAGAATTAACCGCAAGAAAACAATTTTGATTGTTTTTTGCAACGGCGCACGCCGTAGCCGTTCTTTAATAAAGAAACCTGTTCTTTGCCGCCATCATCATCAATTTGTTCTACAACGGAGTTTCGGGTCTCTATGAGCAATTGAGGTAGACTATAATAGATTTGTCTCTATATATCATTGCCAACCTGATATTTATCAAGTTGATCGTTGGTCAGTACCCGCTTAGCTTCCAGACGTTAATAACACTGCAAACCATGTTCAAACTAATGTTTTCTTGATCTGCTAGTCGCTATGTCTTCGCTACATGATCGCCGGTAACATATTCTTGTCCATACGTTCAACCGTATGCTATGTGTTACGTCCACCCCTTTTATATACAACAGTCAAAATCAACGAGCGTTCACAGGTAATAACACGCAAACGCTGACCTCATCTTCTCACTTCAGCATATCGTGTCCGCTTTCTATCGTATTCTTTTATCTAGCTTTGCATTTCATTGACATTATATTCAGCCGTTGGCCATAGAACTGCTACTGCTTACAGTAGTACGTACTTTATGTAAATCCGATAATGTTTTTATATATATCGCGACACAGTTATTTTATTACACTGTTATATGTTTTGCTTCTTTACCATAATTTGAGTGAGCTCTTTCGCCTTTAGGCAACAGGGCCCTCCATAAAATGACGTAACTCCACAAATTGACGCGCTCACTTTAGTACGACCAAATCATAAACAGACCAGGCATACGCGCGCCTATAGCAACGACTGCCATCACCCCTGGTTCATGCCGCCCCACACCTCACATAGCTACTAACACAGACAAAAAAACACAGGAGATGAAATCGCTATTTAGAAAATAGCATGTTCAAATACCTTTCTCGTATTCGGTCAGCTAAAAATGACCTGCTTCTGCTTAGTGAACTACCAACAAGGTTGTCATGCCGAAATTAAATTGAGAAATTTATAGAGTTCACTTTTTTTTTTGACAATATACTCCTCTAATGCGAGTTTATGAGAAAAAGTAAGCCATAATTCAAATTCCCATTGAGATACGCCTCTATTCGTGTATCTTATGCACATCTATGCCTTTTACGATTACCTACTCTTTCACGGTTCTATGTTCAGTAAAGAACCACGACAAACACAAGTGTCACATATATATTACGGATATCTATTTATAAACAAATGATAAACAAGGCAGAAACAAAAAAAAATAATGTACATACATTAGCTCACAGCTGTTGCTGCAGCTGCCGTTGCCATCGCGTTGTCGACCGCGAAAATAATTTCATTTTGAGGCATGGACGTGCGAAAAGTCCTATAGCCTTACTGTGGACATCGTTTTTTTGTTGAGCAGTGGTCGGAATTTATCTAGTATCTACAGCACTCATTTACCGGTTACATTGTTTTCAGTAGCGTGAAGAAATGTAGAATTTTTCCCCCTTTTTTACTCTTACCACATATAAGAGTAGCTGTGACAAAAGCGAGCGGGAGTTTTCTCCAATCAACACTAGAGTCCGAATCAATATAATGTATCTCTTTACGGACATCTTGTTAGCTGAATCGACTCGGTGAGTGGAAACATAAGCGACGACCTCCTGACCATCTTGTTCCCTCTTTATGCCCGTCCAACTCCACTTCGGTCGACAACTCAGTAGATTGAAGCGTCCGCTAGATCCGCTAGCGTCCGCCGATAGATTAGCGTCCGCTAGCTCGGTGCAGAAGTAAGTTTTCTTAATTTATAGGAGTAATATCATAGCTAGCCTTATTGTAGCCACCGTGTAGTTATTCTCATGCACAATTCTTACGTCGTCGGTCATCATCACCACCATCATCGTTTGAATAACAATATTTTTATCTATGATAGGACTAGCGACCAAACGAGGTGTAGGCAGCGCGTACCGCAGCATATTTCTGTGCTTTCAACATTCGTCCGTTGCCGTTAAAGCAGGCAGATTCGTGAAGTGCGAATGAACAACAGAGACGCGCAGTGTAGAAATACTTGAAAACAATGCAAACGGTATGTACTCCGTTTGGCATGGATAAATTAATTAGATTAGCTAGTGGAGTCCATAATACATGGTAAGTGATTTCTGGCGTCCATTCGGCACGGTTCTTTCTGTTCCCGCTGTACGAATTGGTTGCTTGTATATCTTGGCGACAGCGGATTGCTTAGCAAAGTCGACAACTCGTACGAATGGCTTCGAACAGCTATTATAACGATATATAAATGACGCGACTGTCGATATTGCAATCAAATTTACGTGGTTCGCTTTCAAAAGCACCGCCGCCCGTTACGCGATTGTTTGAGGGCGCCGGCTGAATCACTGGGCTATAGACCGGTCCGCTTGCGTAAATGTTCGAATAAACTCTGCGAGAAAGACAACAGGGAAATAGAAAAAAATGAAATCAATTTCAAACAAATATATGATATAGTTTTCGAGCAATTGCTGTGAGAAAAAGACGTTGCAAAATATGTTCTGTTTAAAAAATGGGAATCGACTTAGTTAAAATGTGGCGTCGATCTTTTACAGCTAAGCATTAGTGCTTTATACGCTCTAAAGAGCGAAAGATTAAGGCTCAAGACATATATATTAAAACTAGCTTATGATAATATTACACGTGTGAAGTATAGTAATTGTATTAATGTGGTACAAGATATTAAAGCACACTCGTTACTTTTACTTTTGGTTATATTTTTGTTTTTCACTGCCCTAATTAACTTGCTGGGAAAATGACTTATCCACTTACTTTGAAGTATGGTCGAAAAAATTTAATATCTTGCTGCATATGGTCCCTAAAGTCTTGGATCTGGGCCCCATCTAAACTTAACTTAGGCAGCAGTTCGTTGCTCAGAAACAAAAGAAGCTCTTCTCGCTGGAATATAGTGAAACAAGTGGATTTCAGTTAGAATGCGTGCAGAGTTCTCCTTATTAGGTAGACAAATGATAAAGCATATTACTTCAGACATCCGCATATAACTGCTTTGTCAGATAACACTTTGCCGCATAAATTTAAAATATGTAATATGATATACTATAGGTCTGACTCTATAATGAGTGAACTATTTGTAAGAGAAGCAATCTAACACTTCAGTTCTGAGGAATTGTTTTAGTTTTCTTTTAAGTTTCACGACTTACCCGAGCCTTGAAAATACTCTGGACGCAGTGTGCGCTTTCAGTAAGGACGAGTGCTGTCTGCGCATCTGTTAGGTCAAATGTGTCCTTAAGTGGTGCCTGGAAGCAGGCTGGAAGTATGGCGTCGTACATAAAACGTATGAATGCAACATTGTTTGAGCATTTTCCCCAGGATTCGACCATTTTCCGTAGAATCGAGAAGCATGTTTTTTGCGCTACAGGGTCAGGAAAATCGACGGCACCTTGAATGATCGTGCTGAACACCTTCTCCAACTGCAGGGTTTCTTGGGGCGATATTACTTCGGTTAAAATGTCCGCCGAGACCATAGCTTGGATAAGCCCAAAATACGCCCGCTGCAGAGTTTGACGATCTTTGAGTGACACTTGGTCGCTGGACTCTATCGGTACTTCGAGGCACTTAAAAATTAACTGCACCGTCGGTAAAAAGAGGTCCCGCATCAACGGTACACTGCTTTGCATGATCGGCAGATTCTCCCGTTTGAATTTGGCTAGAATTTGGCTAATCAGCGGGATGGTTTCCTGAAGCGGACGAGTCCGTTCCAACAGATTCACACACGGCTGTGGTATCGGCTGTTGTGCGTTCTGTACACCCAGCATGGTTCCCAGCGTATGAGACATAAATGGGATCAGCTCGCTGCTGTGCAAACAGACAACCATACGATGCAAAAACTGTCGTAACGCCGTATGCACCGAGGCAACGGCCGGATCGTCTGTGGGATTCGCTAGTGTTAAAGCTTTACCAAACACCGATATTGCCTCAATGTAGATCTCTACGCAGCAACATGCCCGCATCGTCTGGATGCTCGTAAACGCTTTGCTCGTCCGGGATGTTAATGCAATGGCATGGCACATCTGCTCAGCCATCTGCTGACGAAGAGGCGACTGGAGCGGTTGAAGCATCAACTGGCTTTCATACATTGTGTAACTCTGCATGAGAGGAGACAATAACTGGCGTAGTAGCTGTTCTTTTTTTTCCGTAGAGTATTGACCAGTAATGATCAGGACTGCCGTCGCCTCGTATAAGTACAGCTGGTCATCAGCAGACAACTTATTCGGATCCATTGCCTGATTGAATTCCGGCAGCAGCAGCAGATCGTGAAGACGACACAGGATCTCTTCAACGTAGCCCTCGAGCTTGCTTTTGTTCGACTTGATCATTTTCGAGAAAAGATAACTGCAACGGGAGCGGACATTAGGGTTTGTCGAACGTAGACCACGCCCGTCAAGAAATGCTGCGATGATTGGTGGTAACATCTCTGCAGTAAACAACTTTTCAAACCGGGCGCATGTTTCGAAAAACTGCAAACGTACAGATGTGTGCGGATGTGATGACACATTACTTGAAATGAGACTGGCAATCATCATCGAAATGACCTCACTGCTTTGTTGTGGGACGGCCTCACCTAGGAGGTAGAGGAAGGCGATAGCTACTTCAACATCCTGGAAAGGTAGAGTTTTCCACGTCGCCAGCGTAGTTCGTACAAGCTCTTGAACCACACTAAGAACCAGTTCTTTATCCAGCTGTGCGATATTATCGAACAGAACCTTAAGGGTCCGACGAAACTCCATAAAGTCTGCTTCGTTCTCGCCAGCCGAGTCGAAATCGTAATCCGGCTCAAACTTGTACTTAGTCACGATCACATAGAGGATGCGCCGCACAATATCCCTTTGCACTCCGCTATACGGTCGTTGCTTCATGAACTGCAGATACTCCCTAATGCCTTCACTAACTGCGCCAGACACATCGTCATCTGGATGGGCGAACAACTTTACCACAAGCGGAAATAGCCGTTGTTCAATAAGGTCCCATCCTGATTGCATAATCGCCATCTGCTCGGGGTCCAGATTACTATTCCTCCTTGGACTAACTCTGCAAACAACGAAAAAGCAAAAAAAAAGCAAACTGTATTAATATCATACAAGGCAGGAGCATACAATTGAATCTCCACTGAATTTGCGGGTACATTTAAACTGCCGCACAGAAACAGGTTGCAGCTTTGAATTGGATTTGAATACAAAAATAAATGGGGTTTACGCCATTTAAGCACTCACTTTTGACAGGACAATAATGCGTGCGTCATCATAAAGTTGAGCATTTTCGAGAGTTTAATGACAAAATCGATTTCGTCATCGGGTGTTGCAGGAGATACAGCTTCGAGTGTCGGCTGAAGAGCACCAAAAAGGCTGAGTACAAGTTGAATTTTAGCGGCAGGCTCCATTCCCTTGTGAACAATCTCCGTGAAGCATTCAACGGCTGCTTCACGTACTTCACCTTCACGAGCAAGAAACGTCAGTAGCAGTGACATCATGCGCTCGTTAAATACGAGGCCAAGGTCTATCCACGACACGTACATACCGACTGTCTGTAAGCACTGAGCGTACACAGACGGCTCACAACCTGGCGACATCTGTAAAATATACACGTGACAATCACATTGTCTGTCATTCGAAACTTGCTTTTATACCCCGATAAGTGATCTGAGTAACACTACATTCGTTTGACAACTTTAAATCTTTATGCCAATTTCAATTTCTAAAGACATCTTCATTCATAATTGGTCTATCAGCATCAATTGATAAATGCATTACGATATTTTAAGGGTCACTAAGTCCCTTAACAACTGACTCAATGCCCGTTTGCCGCTAAAATTACCCTTTATTCAATATTCAGCAGTACTCACCAGAATGTTATACCACGTGTCGACGATCTGGGGTACGCACGTTTCGCGCATAGAATCTTTAATAAAAGTGCCCCGGGCAGCCTCCTTTGGGGTGCGATGCATATCCCTCTCCGCTATGTCCTGATTAATCGCTGTTAGAATGCGCAAGTAAAGGTCCCAGGCTGGCTTCATCGTGATCGACATCAAATCGCAGAAGAATGTCCGCCAGCGCGTCGGGAAATCAACAACCACAATCTGTGTGACAATGTATGCGAATTTGTTTGACACGAAGACTGCATCGCGCGGCCGATCAGCCTGGCCGGCACGAGTCATCCATTGCGTCACCATCATCCGCAGAATATTCTGCTCCTGCTCCCCGGCTGTCGCATACTGGGTCTTCACATAGTGCTCAATCACGTTTAAACAGACAAATCGACTTGCATCGTCCCTAATATAGAGAAAGACGTTATAAACAACTATTACAAAGATTCTTATACACAGGAAGACGTTCGTAGTGCACAGTAAGATACTGGATATATAAAAATTCAGAAGGGTAAGAAATTATCTCCTTCTATGGTAAATATGGCACTCGACCAAGCGTTGCAGATATACCGAAATGGTGTTTCATAAATAATTACATGATCGTATTTCAAGCCCTTTTCGTATAGCTTTGCAAGATTGCACATATCAGGGAAATTTGACTTACATGTCTGTTGTTGTGACTACCGACACGCACTGCTGCCAACCATCAGGCAACCGCTTCAGTTGTTCGAAGTACTCGAGCACACGTTGGTGGCTCGCAGCGTCGCCCATAGTGAGGAACCCGCGCACGACTTCCTCCATCTGCCAAAAGTAAATCAAGCAAACAACAACAAAAAAAAACTAAGTAACTAAGCTAAAACTGTATAAAGTGTCCGTACATATATTTGTTCAGACCAAAACTGAAAAATTAGCTTTCATGAATATTTCAACAAATTACAGTATCACTAGTATACGCTTATTATGCACGGTTATACCCTTAGGTAGAAGTGATATTACTACAAGAGGCATGTCAGCAAACGTATAAGACTGTAGATTAAGGAACACACGTTAAGATGACAATGGCAGGGTCGTAGGACCGTCTTCCCATGCTACTGAGACCCAAAAATGAGCTGATTCATAAGAAAGTCCATAAAATACGCTAATAATAATAATATATATATATATGTATTGATAGAAGTTTTTCATTGTTTAAAACCTTCCCATTCAAAGATTTGTATAAAGAACGTCTTCTAATGAACGAGTATGACTTATAAGTGATTATTATGAGATATGATTATTATGAGTTATGAGACTTATGACTTAATGAGTTCAGCTAGTTATAACCACAAGTTATACTGTAAAACTTTGCCTTTGATCTGACAGCTTTACATTACTTGTACATTATTCGTTCACATCTGTCAGTTGGTAACCATCTTTTGCAAAACTATTTGTGACCAGCTGTTTTCATACCTGTAGTAGCGCAGATGGTAACGAGTTTGCCTACATTATTTAGGGATACTTATATGTTTAGGATTTTATTGACACGCTTCGAAAAAGCTTAATGGCTTGATTGCTGGATGTAAAATACGAAAAACAAATTACTTATAGATCGGAAACAACCACAAGCTCCTCTTTTTTCGCCTTTTTGGGCGATTTGAAGTGTCCTGCAGGTTACTTAGCAGTACCTTGTCTTTATGATTCCGCTTTTCCTATTTGTTCAAAGCAATTTGAACATATCACTCACTTTTCTATTTTGAATGTTCGACGGATTCTTTCATATATCACAATGATCGTACTTGTTAATGCGTGTTAATTTAACGACAATGATGTTAAGCGATGCTCCTAATGCAGAGACAGATCACAACGATAACGACGCATCGTTGTCGTTTAGCGGACAGTGAATACTCTATATATAAAACAGGTTGCTTGCTTCAACTATTTCGAGTTATATTGACATGCTAATATTAAAAATTCCCATCTCTTTGTTGATTTAAAAAGAATCTCGAATTTTCAATATTTTCTAGCATCTTCATCTCCTGGAAATCATTATAACTTGCAAATTGAGCATGCCAATAACGGCCAAATGGAATTACAAAATTTTTGCTTAGTCAATTGTTCGAAGCGGGACCTCGAACATCTTGACATGTACGGCTATTGTTTTTTAGGTTTCAATAGATTTATCTCTTGTGAACGTTTGGTAAACAGGCTTTGCAATAATCATGATCAAACAACAAAGATTATAGACATTAGAAAATATCACTATTATTACCATTAATTTTTGCTTCTATCAAATAGCGTCAATAGAGCTTCAGATTCATATAGGAGGGTAAAAATTGGTTAGATCAAATTATAGAATGCGGTTATGCCCCAACGACGTGAGCCAATATCTTTTCGTCAGTATATTTACTACCAATTATGTTCTACCAGTTTTTCCATTGTTTTATACGCTTCAAGTTAGTCATTGACTAATTATTCTCGATAATATTATTTGACCATGATCAACATTCTCCAAACCTACGGTAGGTTTCTGAAACTTTCGAAACTTGAATATTCGCACCTCGTAAATTTGTCTGCCTTCATCCTCCTTTTTGATTCTTCAGTAATTCCAATAGTATGTTTTATGGTAGTGATTTTCTATAATGCAAAGTTCGACCGAAATGAGTGCTGCAAATCGAAAGGAAGGCGCTAGTGAATAAGGATGATCATATTTGGGAATTACGTTATGCTTGACGATATCAGCTACGAGGGTTTTTGGAGATTCAATGCCCAAGCATTGCGGGCAAGGTGGACGGAAGATGATAACGATAAGAACGATATTCGAACGAGAGAGTGAAAGAAAGCGATAAGGCAGACTTGAGAATATTAAGATAACCGGTCATATAAAGACTTATGTACAATGAAGTGCAGTGAGATACTTAAAAAAAAAAACGAGAGAAATTAAAAGCAAAATTACTTCGCTGAATAAGCACAATGCTATCCTGAATGTTACAACAATACCTGAAAGTAAATCGAAGTGGAACCAAAGAACTACAAGACGAATAATCTTTTCAGAACCCGTATTACATAGCCATCGGACGACATATGCCGAAAAGTGCTACAGGAGCCTTGCGAGCTATGGCGATATCATAGGAATGCACCTATCCTGAGACGACAGTGGATTGCAATGATTATTACAGAGTTGGGATATACATAATATAAATCGCTAGTCAGGCTTGGGGGCGGAGGGAGGGGTGTAATTGCTTATAAAATGCAGTGAAAACACCTCTGCAAAATCTCAAATATTACCCCACACGCTGTCATGAGGGGGGTGATCTCTATTGGTGGGTCTGACCAATTTACGAGAAAATGGAATATAATTTATCAGTTAACAGCTGAGTCCCCTGAGTGAGAGTGACGAACTCGGATCAGTGTCACCTTAACCTTACGATTACCGCGCACCTTCCCAACAAAAGTAATGGCAATTAGACAAGGTATGTCGACATACCAACTTGCTGCTTGTAGCGGCTATTGGGCGCACGTGTACTCTTCATATGTCATACCACCGATGTTAAGTTAAGATGATATGGCCTCACAAAGACTTACTGTAGAACATTATGTTATGTGTTTAGTTTTGATAATGATCACATAAGCCAGCCTGAAGCTGCTACGTAAACATTCTACCACCCACGGAAGCAAAATTTGAAAACAATGTCACATTATATTCCGCAATACTTTCGCAATTACCGATATAGTTTTGTAGCATCTGATTTTCAGTGAATTGCTTTGATTATGCGTTAATAACTTCCTTCTAGACCACTCTTTCTTAGTAATTTAACTGCGAGTAAACTCTTAAGCTCTATAAGAGCAGAACAATACTTGTGTAAAGCTACGACTCCTTGCGCCCGGTCGGTGGTCAACTCCTGAATTAATGTTTCAATCAAAGTCTATGCATTGAATTCATATCTATTTCGGTATAATTCATCATGGGGATGTCTCATTCGACCCAAAACGGACCTAATGCTTTATGCTAATATTTACACCACACAAGCATGACCTGATTAATAATTACCACCAACGATTAGTTCCAACAACGATCTAATCAGCCAATGTTGTAATCACCGTAAATTTGAACGTAGACAGAAGAACTAGGACTCTCGTAGTTCTCGTAGATCTACAAAGCGCAAACATCAGCTGTTTACAACAACAACATTAGCAATACCGTTGACACCACAACCGCAGTCAGCACCTCGAAACATGTATCACCGAACTTTTGCTATGCCCATTAGCGTACAATTAGTAGCAACTATATTCCGTCACTCTTATTTCTCGACATACATAGTAGTGAATATAGGTCCTGTTAGCTAGCTCCTGGGGCCAACCAGCTCACCATTGCATGACACACGGACATTACATTTTTGTGCGGACCCGTCCATTCACAGGTGAACGGCACCAGTAACGGTAGCAGCACTAACTGACGATGTTTCTTGCGGTTGTCTTATTTCGCTAGCGTGTGTATGTATCAAAGTGTTGTTATCGTTGTTGTTTTGATGGTTGTTGTTGTACAACAAGTATTTACATTGGCATCGTTACACTTTGATTAAAAGTTGCAGCACTGTGGCATGGTCCTTAGACAGCACTAGGCAGGACTAGCTGACTATGTACGTCTGCGTATCGTATATATTTGTGTATTTCCTATAAAGCTTCCGGAGCATTGACTGCACGGTTTCCGCTCAGATACCGATAATATTGCTCAGATGATCTCTCGTTATTATTATAGACCATCTGTGGGCGAAATTAAATAGGAAAAATTATATTTGGGCGGATGACTATTCAAACCGGGACAGCGAGCTGGTTTTCGAGACAATAGCGGTTGAGTGACTTTCACTCTAAGCATCCGGGCTGACCACTCGGTTAATATTATATTATCTATACTATTACACAGTTTCGTAAAAAACAACAGTTAGTTAGCACGGGAAATTCGAAGATGTTCTGCGAATATAGCAACAGGTATCAATAAATCGCGGCGATCGTACAGATGATATAGGCATAATACACGTTAAAGTGATGAAATTTTGCCATTCGTACATATACATATATATATAGTCGTCCGTGATGTTACCCGTTATGTGACAGCAACAACAAGCGATAAATAACTGATGAAACGATTATAATTTGTAAGAATCATATTTACACGCTCGCTTCAGGCCAGAAGTTTTACATATCTTTATAATAGTAAAAACAGGTTAAGAATCTTTTGTCGGCTGTACGCTTTCTTGATAGTTCTAACAATTAGTTAACGTCTAGGCATCACAACTACTTCTTCCACAGAAAATTTCCAATGATATATATGAAAGAATCGTCACGATGATATCTATTGAACAGTACGTAACCAATAGTTGCATTATCGCTTTGCAGAAATGAATCAACAGCTATTGAAAATAGGTCAAAGTACGGTCTCGAGTTTCTTCTTTTACGGATTTGGTAGTTGGAACAGAGATGTACGTCAACTTAACTACCCTTTGAAGAAATAGATACATTTATAAACCGAAGCGTGATCATGGCCAATTTTTCTGATAGCTTGCTGTCTATTATTTTAACTTAATTTCTATATCTATGTTCAACGTGAGATAACTGCCATATGGAATGAGACAGAATTCTTCCGTCATCATTAAGGACATGTGGCAGGAAAGCTTTCGTACAAAAACAACACACTGTCATTCCTCTACTCTATATATACGCATATATATAGGCATTAGCATTGACAGTTCAACCGAGAGAAGATCACTCGTTGCTTGATTCCTCTGTTTATGTTGGCTTATATTGAATAATAACTACTGTGAATCGTTACTAATTACACTTGGATGACGGCGGCGACACGATGACATGGTGGTCGCCATTACTATTAGCTTAGGGAGCTATCATTATCATTGTTGCTGCTGCCGACAGCAGTAGCAGCGACAGTGAGCAGCTGCTTGGTTCCCCCGTTACCTATTGACTTTATTGTTTAATCCCGACCAAACAAGTCAGTCACTCTACTTTGATACTTACCTCGGGAGCTGCCGCTGCGCTCGCCAACGAGACACACTCACTCACGCTAGAATCACGTTGCTCTCGTGGTATCACATTAAATTGATGCGGCCATAAAACATTACCACTCCCTGCCAGATAAGACACCACACGAAACATCAACCACTAAGCCATCGCTGCGATTAGCCAGGAACACACGTCAATTCCTGGACCATCCGTCACCACCAAACAGGGATAACACAATAAAAAGGTACTGATAATAATTCGACCACAACGGCAGCGGCGGCAGCTGCTGTTGAGAACACTATCAATACAAGCAGCAGCAGCGGTAGCACGAGTAGGGCCATCAAGAAGCAATAGTAATACGACCACGGCTATAAGCAGCAGCACTGTCGCCATCAAGAGACAGCACCATTCCAAAAGACAAACGTTACTAGAAGCGCCTAAATAGCAGTCGCTGTTCTCACAGGTAACTAGTGCTAGAATATAACATAGCGCTAGAGGGGAGAGAGAGACAGTGAAATAGCGGATCGGAGGGCGGCAGCAGCAGAGAACAGAGAGACGAGACAAAACCGAGCGCATTAATTAGCAAAAAGCCTAGCGTGAATGAACAAACTGGGGCTACTGCCCTGCGAACTAGAACAGCGACCACATATCACCGGATTTTGTCTCGGTAATGAACTGGTGGGTAGCGTATTTGCCTGCTAAACTTGAAGGACGCGTGCTGGGCAGGATTCGAATCCGAGCGTGGATTCACGTCGTTTCGTGCTGAGCCCAGCGATGTGCTGGAATGCCTGATGGCGGTATTCAACGTAAAACTCGAAATATTTAAAGATTCCCGGATCCAACGGTGAAAAACAGGAGCCAGTTCACTAACTATTTGTTCATCCATCCATCCAGCTAACCATCAAATAGCATCAACAAACATTAACAGCAGCGCGCGCCCAGTGTTGAACGGAACGAGGAGTCAGATGACAAACACTTTTAGCAGGGACAATATGATGAAATAAGTGAAGAAAAGGCTTGAAGCTAATAACATGGAATCCAGTAGTTGAGTTGGCGCAGACGGCGGCCACAAGCCGTCATTTGTAGTCATCTAATGTGGTAATGTACAAAAATGTGTAGGAAACGGACAGGCATCCGTAAGCATATCGTCAAACAAGAGTCAATGAAGCGTAACATTTTTCCTGATCATGGTTGATGGCTTTTTACGTTGAAGAAAATACTTGTACAGACGTCGGTTGTTTCCGGAAGCTTGTCGTTTATAGGATACATATGAGAGAAAAGGTAACTGTATGGGATAGTTAAAGCGCAAAATAAAATTAGAAATTGTAGATAGTGAGACCGTAAACGGAACACTGCCACGTTTGCAGGGTGACTCTTCAAAATTAGCTTTTTATTATGGTAACACTAGAATAAAACAGAATTTTTTTTTTTCGATTCTATTGAACGAATCAAAGGAACTTCAGATTTGACATTATGAACACATCGCGTGCTGCAGTAAAGTTCTCCCGAATCTATATTTTAGTCTATGTCGTTCTCATCTTTAAAGTGAGAAATAAATTTTAGACACCAACAGAGCAATTAACTTGACAGATACACGGAAACAAGCCTAAGAGAAAAAGGAGTTGTCAGCACGAATAATAAGCTCTATTAAATGCCGTGAAAGTTCGCACTGTTTTTGTATTATGGTGAGGGAAAGGGACATCGTTGTCTCGCCCAAAGATGCAAACCCTACCGATTCATTCATTGTTACAGGTGATCGTCGAATAACAAAAACAGTAGCCGGGATTCGATTTCGCCAATGTTCGTGAAGGCAGCCTTGACAAGGATCTTCTATTTCTTCAATTAACGACCGAAGCATTTAAGGCTGTTTCAAAATGTCCACAAGTTACTCACGAGCTTGGCGAACCTGTCGCTACCGAACAACTGAGTGACTACCATGTCTATAATAAAATGAAGGCTCTAAATTAATGAATAGATTGACAGTAGTACATGTTTCGTGTACATATTCGCAGTGTAATAATATCACATAATAATAACACCAGGCCGTCTGTCACAATGGTAAATTTGTTAACGGTGCTCGAAGATGCCATCGAGGAGGTGGCCCTTGAAGGCTTGGACGGATCTACACTGCCGACATTGTGGGTGAGTGCACAACATGAAGTTGAGGTTTCGCGCGAGATTCATTCATTTGAGTACTGCATTATATAATGGAAATAATAGAGAGATTAAGCTTTTTCACACAATTAATTAGACATACTACGATATGGGTCTGAAATCTTAGCTATACTAAGCGTTTTATCATAAGACTTGTCATTCTCTACGTTAATATAGTGGTCAGAAATTGCGTAGCAGAAGCATTACATGTATTTAAGTACATTCGGAATTTCTTTTATGAATGAATCTATGATAATGATAGAATTATTTAAAAAAAAATTAGAAAGATTAGCTAATTTCTACATAAATTGTTTGACGTACCCCTTTGGCAACTTTTTATTAGGATTATAACGACGCTATGCTTTATGAACTCTGCAGAGACAGCTTAGTTTCGTAATAAGAAAATACCAGATGCGCTTGCGACATTGCTTTTTGGCCACATTTCTGTACTACTTTACGCGGTCGTGGTGATATAGATTGATATAGCACCGCCATTTAACAAAATTTCAATGTGAAGTATGAAATCACCGTATTTGAATCTGTTTTATTCTTACAGCTTCGCATGGAGGACCGATATCGGCATTCAGGGGAGAAATGTGAGCTAGATGCCCAATTCAAACAATTTATCTGGTCAAAGGTACTTATTGATGCTGTATATTGCTCCGATCGAATCTATAACTTTTGTTACAAAAATTAAATTAAGTTGATTAAGCCTTTGATTACGTGAGTCTCTACTCCACGGATGATTAACAGTGAAAATGTGTAGGAAAAGTAGTCAGTTTCAAGCGAAAATGAAAATGTTGTATCTGCAGCTGCGTGCGCGGTCACTGCCCTAGCAATCACTGAATTACTAGTAGTCGAAATCAGTTCATCGATCGAATGAGATCGAATCAGAAGGTTGAACAACTAGTTTTTATTTTTACCCAATTGACCTACCTATTTAGTTTTAAAGTTCTCATCTTCCTTTCTCTTTAAAATGATTTTATAGATTTTGTTTGATAATCGGCTCCAGCTGTTTCGGTTACCTGAGGATCGTCGCGATGTCTTCATTTTTGATCGGCATAGTCCCGAATATATGGACGACTGTTGCCACCTGACGAAGGCGAACTACAACGTACACACGCATGACGTCTATCCAGTCGAGGTTAGGAGATTCGAAATGTTTTAAAGAAGAACTCATTTCATAAGCCGCTGATAATGTATCTTCCAGATTAGCTGTTGGAAACAAGCCAATGATAATTAAAGCCGAGATCTATAACTGTACAATAAAACATCTATAATTTTTCGAATCTGTTACATTATTTGAATTGATATTTTACGCAAAGCCCCTAGACAATTATAGCAAAAGTGTCGAAATCATAGTACATTCTTCTACAATAGCAAGGATACAATGTCCACCTTGTAGGCAGTATTCTTTGTAGGCTCCTTAGGTTTCGATTATAGTTATAGCACACCACGAGTTTGACCACGTTGAATAAACAAATTATTCGGTTGTTGTCTATATTTAGCGCGTTATGATTCCCAAACTTTTCAAGGGAATTTATTTATCGAAAACAATTTATTTCCTCTTGTTTAAAAACCTGAAAATATATTTTCTCATTTGCAGGTGCTGAAAATAGGTCGATCTGTAATGGGCAGTTGTGCAACATTCTATACCCGAACAGACGTCACAGGTAATATTCGATTCTGTAAACGGGAATTTAATCATACTTCTGCATAATTTGTTACACCTAGCAATATGTATGCAAAATGATGCTGCATGTACAAATGTAATTCTCAATTATCTTTTCATGCGTTCTTTATAAATACGTCGAATTTAGAATTTTTAAGGAATGCATACCTTTATTCGAAATCGATTTCATGTTATTCGAGTTGCCTATATGAATCGCCATGGTATGATATAGTTGATTAACTTTTTAGAAGACATTTAGTCTTCTTAAATAACTTCATAAATCTTACATGTTTTTATCACGCTGTTACTTAGATGAGCTTCGTGAGGTTGAAGGTATGCAAAATTTCGAGTATGCAGAAAGCATTATGGGCAGAAATCACGTTTTGGTCGCCAACCAGCAAACTCGATCAAAGGTGAGTATTTAGTTGTATCTTTATCAAGCGTTATTAGTTATGTAGATTAAATCATCAGAAAAAAATTATAGTACTATTATAATAATGTTTTTAATAATGAAAATAATAAATCTGGTGCGACTTCGACATTAATAATAGATTTCTTGTTAAAATCTTGCAGACGCTGTGCGGCTCCTCCTGTCGTTTGGAAGAGATTCCTTCGATGACCGACGTTATGTATTGCATTCTCGAACGTGTGGGGAGGTCTCGATATAATGGAGAAATTACACCAGGGCCCAGCGGTCTGATCAAGGTGAATGCTACTTTTTTCAATGGAGTCTAATAGTTTTGTAGTTTATGTATCTTTTTTCTTAGGATAAATCGGAAACCTCTAAATCGTCAATGTCAGTTACGGTGAGATGATCTAGGCATTACGTCGCATAATTTAAACAACGTAGCATTCAGTTCCGTCTCCGTAGAACACAAGCGAACCGCAATAGCTCTGTAGTTAATTTACAATTAGTAATACTATTATGCTCGAATTGTTCTGGCTGTAATCTAGGCATTTAACGAGACTGCTGGCGCAATTTTCTACTACAAAAAAAAGCTTGGTACTTCGGGAGTAGTAGTTTGGCAAGGAATTCGCATTTCTCTACCAGGAAAGCAGCAAAGTGGTAACCTGATGCACTTACGGAGGTGCGCAATAATTCACTATAATAAAATTTGAAAATAGATACTTATTTGAATAAATAAACGTATTTATAAATAATATGCTTGGTATGAACTTGTTAACCAAACATAAGGATTGAAATACAAGGTACTCACATACAATATTTAGGGGGCGTTTTTTTTATTTTATTGAATAACTCTGAAACTCCGTACACCAAAACAGAACAGAAACAGAGTTCTTGTGCGGCTACTATTTAAGGTAGGTTGTTTTCCTATGTTCTATAAAAGTCATGGAAATGTTTGTTTGATGAGCGTACATATTGGTATTGTGTATTAAAAGGAGTCTTCGTTGCACCATCGATAGAAGGCTCAAACAACGCTAGAGCTCTGTAGCAATCCTTGAAACCTAATTTTTTTAGATTAAAGACTTATAGATTGCACTGTTGCTTAGGCACGGTGCTGCGAATATATCGTGGCGTATATATATAATAACGTCTGTTCCACAAGCTATATTTTACATAATGGCACCTGACGGAGGTGATAGTAAACAAAGAAAGATCTATTTCAAAACTTTAACTTCTGTTAAAGTTACCTTTGATAATTCTGCGTTATATATTATTATTATTATTAGATATTAAGCTTGGTTTTTGGTATTTCCCTACATATTCGATGTTAAAAGGTTCTTCCGACGAATTGAGTCTCCTCAAGACAGAGCAATCCACGACGCCGCGCAATACCTCCTTCAGAAACCATTACATCGGGAACTATTGTCAATTTTGCGTACTGAGCTTGTGAATATGCAAGGCTATGTGTTCAAAAAAGTTATTCGGGGGACGCATAAGGAGCTATTCGAAATGAAAACCATCACTTGGAAGGAATATCAGCCGGATGCAAGCCCTACTGAATGCCAGACAAAATGTAAGTAATCTTTTCAAAACTTCTCAATCCATGTAAACTCCACCTTATCTTATAGCATTCTAATAGCTTTCCAGTAAACCTTATATTAAAAAGAAAAAGAAGAAAGTTCAGTAATACATCTTTCCTCACTCTCTCTGACCGTTGCCAGCTCAGCAGGTTCGAATGGCCCGAGTCATGCAGCTGAATAAGGCTGCTTATGACGCATATGTTGAACAACAGGAAGCTGGATGCTCAAAGGAGGATGATCTCGACGCAAGCCGGGGCGACGAGGATGCGCATGTGGATGATCTTGAAGGAGATACTGATCTCGAAGGTAGCCAACGGGCGTTGTTCTCGCAAATTTCTCGCATCTACGACGGGTCCAAAGCGCCTTATAACTACACTATTCTTCAGTCAGCATATAGGGTGTGTTTGAAATCTGCTAAACTATTGTTATGCGAATATGTTTGAGCGTGATTACTATAGAGATACAAAGGCAGAACACATAATGATCGGTTTGTGACTTTACGTTGTTCAGCCTTGACATCTTAGTGCATGTCAGAGAGCGGCTGTTCTAACCAATGAAAAACGTTTACGACAAATAGGAAAAAATACAAGAAGCTCCACGTTAGAGGTTATTTCGTTAGGACATTCTAAGTCTATGTCTTTAATTGTGTAAATTTTATGTCTTTAATGTGAAAGCTCGTGACGACGTTATCGCTATTGTGGATGCGTTACAGGCAATCGAAGAGGCTGGAGCGTCGGGACTGACGATGGCTCAGCTCGCGATTCGACTTGCTATGCCTCGTCTATTTATTCGGAATCTCGTTAAGTCACTGACCAAAGAAGGCTCCGTCAGCCATCACTGTATCGCCATAGGTCGCCAACAAGTGACCATCTACGTAAGCAATGTATATGCCGACGAAATAACGCAGGGACCTCGAATGCCGCCTCTCCCACGTCCTGCAACTATGCTCGCATTACCAGCACCTGGCGATGACAAAAAACAAGTAGGGGATTCTGGGTTAAGCCACGCTTCACCTGCAAAGGCGGCAGAAGGAGCAGCAAATATTAACGACCGGTTTGCCACTCAACGGACGCTTGCTCGGGCGGTGCGCATTGTTGAATTGACTCGTGAACTCAAGGTAATTCCGCATCCGCCACGACTGCTTCGACAGTTACGTCGTGAAGAACAGGAAGCCGGTATGAAGGACAGACTTTGCAGACACAGTCTTGATAGAATCCTTCAAAAACTTGATGAGACGGGTTACATCAATACGGTCGTCTGTAATCTCGGTACAAGTAAAGGCTCTAAGGAGCTCATGATGATTTGTGCGGCCGATGTGGACGGAAATCATGAGCAAGTCCGTAAATGTATCGAGCAATGGCAGTTAGCAGAGAGTACAAAACCGACTCACGTGTACAAGCGGCGCGGTCCCGACCTCTTCACTAATCAAGGAGGCAAGGTATACCCACCAATTAATCCTGCAATGGCGAAAAAGTATGGCTACAAGCCAAAATTCCGTCGAGCCAAGATTATGTATCAGTTCCTGCATTATATGCTGTACAACTACGACGGAGAGCGGGTCGACAAAGTAGATTCGAACATTAGCGATAATCCGCCACAGCAACCAGTCCGATATCAAGAGGACGTTTCATGGAAGATGTTTATTCCACCACTGGGCGGTGACCGAGTGCCGGGTTGGTGTGTGTTAGGTGATGCTTGGCTTCTCTGTCCGCTTTCGTTATTTGTACAGTTGTGCAGTGTGGTCTTCGAGGTACCGCAAATCGAAGAGTTTCTTGGTCATCCAGTAAAACAGCACTACTTATTAAGCAACCTGCCTGACGAGATGCGCGACCTACTGCTGTTCAATCGCCGGTGGTTGTACCAACTTCATGATCAAGCAACAACATTGAGTCATATGGGCCTTGGCAAGTTTGGCCCCCAGAAACATAAAGAAAAGGACCAGATTTGGTTCTTTCTTAATCGACGCATAACAATTGTCGACACAAGTGGCTACACCGGATTTATGCGCACCAATCTCGAAGAGACAGATTTCGTTACTGAAAGTTACGATCTTCAGACGGAAGAGGACATCTTCGCGTTTTGGGCACGGATTGAAGACATCTCATTGCGGACGTCGTTAGGCATGTACAGTAAACTCGCGGCGAAGACCTATGTTACGTATTTTGCCGGCATGAAACCTGAGCTGATTCAAGCAGCCCGAAAATACGATTTTGACTATGAGGATGTGGGCAGTTTACCTCCAGGCGATCATCAGGGCGCCTGTGGATTTGACTCAGGCTTATTTGCGCACAGGAGATCTAATTGGTCTGGAGTGCGTCACGGACCATCGAAGATAAAAGAAAATATGGAAACAGTCACTTCACAGCTTAAGGTAATCGAGCAACAATTTCGCAAAATTACCAAAAAGCGAACTGACATGATGATGAACCTTTCCACTAATAATTCGGCAGTGGCAGTCATACCCAGGGTTATGCCAGTTCCAAAGAAGAAACCAGTAGCTCGCAAGAGGGAATTTATCATTCGGAACAAACGCGTTTACAAACGCGATGGCCGTCGAGCTGTGGATTTAGATTTGAAAGATGTTGAGGCGCTAAAGAATATGAAGAATTTACGAAGAGTTCGCTGGCGAGCTGAACACGATTACATCCTCCTACTTGTTAAAACGCTCAGCTCGGTAGTCTATCCGGAGCATGGTCGGCTTGTCATTCCTGCAAGTAAAGTACGCGACCTGCTTCAGACAATGTTTCCTGATACGTGTAGCGACAAAACAAAGTTTGCTGCTTTGCGCAGGGCCAATCTTTTACAGAGGTATCCGGAAAAAATGGCTGCTTCGAGAGCTATGCGATTCAATATCATTAGCGAGCCGCAGATTATGCAGCTCGTTGAGAAGATGCAGGAAACCTCAAAAGCAGAGCTAAAACACCAGTACTTCCTCGAGGCTGTCGAGATCGCGCGGAACCTTCTTTCCCGTGAAGGTATCAAGTGTTCACCTCAACTAAATCTGGAAGAGTCGGAAGATCTCGAAGTTGACGAATTGGAAGAGTCATTGGCGACGTTTCGCTACCGTGAGCCACTCAATAGCGTTGATGTTCATCAGGTGACCGTCGCAACTGTGCTCATAGCTAGCTTCGCTCTAGACGGGAAGACCAATTGGTCATACCTTTTGTATACTATTTACGAGCGGTATCCTGATCCGTTAATCCGCTTCGTTTTTAAGGGTCTGTGCAATAGCCAGATGATTGCTCGAAAGAAGACAAAAAATTACAAAGCAAAAACTGTTTTACACCTACCTGCTCTGCCGTATAGCCTCAGTTGTAAGTGGCATCACCTGGTAAAGCTTCGTTACAATGACGAGGTGGTCAATATCATGGCGCAACAGATGCAAATTGTGCGTCACGTACGCGAAATGTCAACATCTGACGCCAATCCGACCCCTGCAGTAATGATGCTTTTTGCTAACATGGTGCTTGGAGGCCAAGCGGATGCCTATTTTGACTTGGCGAAGGGCAGCCCCATAGAATTTGTTCGTAAGACGGCCAGCGGCAAAGCCAATCCGAAGACTATGCCGAGCAGCAGCCGACTTGCGGCAATTCATGAAAGCATGATGGATCCAAGCGATGATGTACGCTACGATGAAAGTATACGTCTTCATCCATTGCCCCTGCAAGCTAAGCTCAAAGACAGTGCGGATCTTAGTTTTGGTTGTTACGCACACAAGATTAAAGGCGGTGAAATGCTGAAGAACGATCAGCATTCCGAGGCGATTCGTAGGCTGAAGGCGTACTATGACCCACCGGCGAGTACAGAAGAGGCTGAGACAACCATTCAGAAGGAATTTGCTTCAAAAAAACACCAGCAAAGTGACGGCGCGTTTGCCAGTGCTTCGTACCGATTGGTTGTTGCATCGAAAGAAGTCGGACTAAGCCTTCAACAGCTGTGGATTATCCAGGGTGGACGGATAAGCTACCTTGAAGCTATTCTAGCAACGCTATGTAACATCAAAGTTCTGTTACAAGTAGGCGTTAATCAGAAGCGCTTCGTTGCGTTCCAGCACTCGAGTCCATGGCTAATTAAGAGCTATCGGATGAGCAAGGAGATGCGTAAACGAGTCACGGACGCGATGGATGACGTGATGGAGAGGCCACGAAAGCGATCGCGTCCTAATCACAGCTCAGAGTGTGCCGAGGTCACCAGTGTCGCCGATGAATGTGCTCGCACTGCGAACAGCCAAGAAACCATGTCACATCATGTTGATCAGCCAATGACTGCTGGCAATATTGAACGAGATAATAATGAACAGGCACTGAATCAGCCTAACACATCGCAGCAGTCTGCCTCAGCAGCAGTGCGAGAAACGAAACATCGTCAGCGGAGGCGAAAAATGAAGTGTCTTTCGGCTCAACTTGAGAACTGTAAGCCCCTACTATTTATACCGCGTATGTGGAAACGACCTGATGGTACTTTGAATGTTCCAATCTTTGCTAAGATGCTTTTAGCTGTGTTCTCATTTGTGGTCGAGAACCCTGGCTCAACCGAAGAAGCGGTACAGACTAAATTTCGCGCTGTTATGGAACCGAGCGTTCATGTACTCGATCTGCTTGACATTCTCGTTCGACTAGAGTGTATAAAAAGGTTTTTTCTAGGGATGCCTCCTCCGGGCCCAGTTACGCTATTCAGTGCTCCAGTAATCTCGAGCGGTGTAACGGAGGATTCAGAAAGCCCCGACGATATTGTATTTTACGAAACAACGGAAGATGGTGCCCTTCGACTGAATGCCTTCTTTTCTACCAGTTTGCAGCAGAGATCTGACCTGCCAGGATATTGAATGTGATCGAAGATGTTCTACCGGAAACTAACTGCCATAAAATTAATATGTATAATCATATGTAGGATAGACGTAAGGCCAATATCCCAGTAGCTGTAGTTGTTTGTGTTTGTACGGACAAAAGCAACGATGAACATTTTGTTGTTGACAATGTAATAAAATTGTATTTTCCAGTAAAAATCTATACGCCATTCAACCAAAATTTTTATGAGCTGCTAATAAGAGTTTAGATAAGCAGTATGTAAGATGGTATTATATAAATGGAAACCAGCTCCACATAAAGTTACATGCCCGTTTTTATCGGTTTGTTTGTTTATTATGTACGCTTAATAGGAAAATACCCACGCAGATACACATAGAACGGTGCAGTTTCCTATACTACGCCTGGGTTAAACTTTTTTTTTATAGAGAAAGTGATCGTTGGCTTGAATTTTCTTGGTATTGCTTGATAAAATTCGATTTATTATCTCGAAACAATGCAATGACAAAATTCGTAGATTTCTTACAATTACAAGACAAGGTTCGTTGCCTATTTAGGCCTCCAGGCATACTGATTTTTCTTACTTAAATACCAAAAGGCTACTTACAAATGTCATTTTGTACACCGAATTGTGTGTTGTTCTATACTACTGTCACAATAAATTAGAATTTAATTATCTAATCCAATCAGTGCATACTAGTAGCGATTTATTCAAGAATAAACAATGACGACATCGGTACCTTTTGAACATATACCGTTTTCATAATTCATTATTATTATACGATTATTAGCCACAGGTTTTGACGTATGCATTTAAGTGTTTCTTTCCTACGTCCATATTATTTGCTATCTCCGTGACTTTTAACTCACTTTGGGTCATTTTGTACATACATGATGTAATTTAACATATTTTTTTCTTTTTGCATGTGCTTTTTGGTATTGCCAGCAGGATAGAGTATTCTGCTTTTGTTCGAAAAACTACAGAGCTATTGTTTTTCAATATCATATCTGTATTACTTTCTTATTCTGCAATAACAAATTTTACCTCCATTCAGTCTTTATTCGAAAATGACACAGAACCTTGGTTGAAATTAGCTTGGTCAGCACGTGTTTACGCGGCCATACAAACTTGGAATTGCTGTGCCAGGAAAAAGACCCCTAACAGCCAACGGCGGCGACAGATTTCTATACTCTGAGAACGAAAACTTGTTATTCTATTTTGACATGGACGTCTTGTTTTGTTGATTCTTTCGCCTACACCCCAAAAAAAACAAGCATTAGCACGCCATAATCCGCATAGGGAGAATATCTTCAACAAATAAATTGCAGAACCTACATCAATATAATTCTCCAGCGAGGTGACCAGAAAGTATTCGGTTGAGTACAGAATCCATCGCAAATAATGAACTTTACAACATGTTGATATCGTTGTTTCTAGAATGGCTATTGTTAACGAGTCGACTCTTCATATTGTGTTCGATAGTCGACCAACTAGTTCAGACCACTCATCGTATCATCCGTGATGCGCTATTTGAGACTATTTTGCATTATTTTTTGTTTATCACCAAGGGGATGTGACGAGATTGGAAAGCCGATTCAGCGACTCGCGTTCAGAAAGCTAGTCCGAACACGGACACGATGCAGTACATCGTCTTATTCTCCCATCTAACGGTGCAACTACCTGTAATCATGACAGCGAAGAAAGCCGAAAGCATCGAACTTGGTTACGAACATTACGCATGCGAATACGTCGACCACCCGAGGTTGGAGGCAACATGTTAAAAGCATTTAGAAAATTTTAAACCAAATATCTTTGAAACAGTTAACCTATAAAACATGTAAGGAAAACTGATAGTATTAAACTACTTTTATTTAACAGTGTAATCTTATGCTTCTCTTATTGATTTATGTACTCCTGTATGTCTAACAAGAGTTCACTAGTTTCTCCTATATGTAAGCGTAAATTGTCTATTTAGTAATTGAATACTGCACATTATGAAGGGATAAATTTGATATATGTAAACATATAATCTTTTGTGTTCCAGTTTTAATTAGAAAAAGATTTTTGTATGAAACTGCGCTATCAACTTAATTTTCTTCCAGAAATTGCTTAATTTCTGCCGTGAACGCGGCGGTTACATTGAACAATCGAGATACACAACAATTATGCGCCAAAGGCAGTACGCATGCACTATTTTGTACGTATGTACTCTTCTGTCGAGAGGGGATAAAACAAGTTCAGTAGTGTTTTGCGCGCACCGTCTGTGGTGTTATCCCAGTAACAGGAGCTTGCTGTATGAAGGCCTGCCCCATTTTTCTGCATGATCACACAGCTAACTGAAACGATACCAGCAGAATACAATAAACCCCATTAGCGATCACAAATGACTACTAATTTACATAAGCAGGAAATCGACAATCTATTTATTCAGTGACACCGAATATAGGACTGGCTAAAGCTAAGTCAGAATCTCAATAGAATTATTGACGCGTACCTGTCTAAAATCTCTAACAACTGAAACATTACTAGATGATAAATTATTGATTAGATCATTTTAGTGGTACACCTACAGGCTATCATCACAAAGTCATGACTACGCACGTTAATAATACGTCTTTTGTAGTCGACTAATTCCAGAATTCACGTCTATCTGTGAAATGGCCGCAGTAGATGTAATTTTCATGTAACAGTTTACTCAACTAGAGGTGACAATTTATCGCTACATCGATCCAATCATTATGCCGATGCATCCGGTATATACATTGTCTTTTTTTCTAGATGGCCACGACAAGAACAAACTATAACAATTAGCTAATTATAAGACGAATTTCTTTTTTTTTTCTAGTAAGAAGACCACTGTGAAAGTAAGTAGAACTTTTGGTGTGCGAAATTTGTGCACGTTTAAAGCGCCATTCACCAACCGCTGAGTGTAGGAGAGGCTTCACGCTGTCGTCAGCGTTAATGTTTGCAAAGATAAAAGAACAATAACATCCACCATCATCATCATGAGAATGTTTTCATGTCGGACACCAGCGAATGGTTCTGGTGAATTCTTACAGCTAAATATAAGTTCAGCAGAGGATTACGAGGCCCGGTTGGCGATCACTATCAGAAAGTCTACTGATTATTGCGTATCCATATAGAGCACCCCGGTGCAAACCGCCGTTCGGATTAGGGCCGGTCTTTTAGAACAGTAAAAGTTTTCATATACTATTCAAACTGAATGGAATGTACTGCATAAAGATTTCGCGACTAATTTAGTCGTTTATTTATGGTAGCCATCCCCCAGTGGATATAGATGGACGTCGGCGTCTCTTTTGGTGAACATTCTTGGCCGCATACTTTCAATTCTTCTATCATTATTATAGCATATATAATAGAAATAATATAATAATAATAGTAATATTCTAAAGTTGCAGGAACTTAATAATTAAGTATGTTGCGCGAACCTGTCATTAACGTACCATAGTTAGAACGAACTTGCTAAGATAATTAACATAATAACGCCATCGTTACGATTTAGTATTTTGAGCGAAATTTATGATCATATAAAAAATAAACAAGTGAATACATGTAACATACTTACCAACATATTTGAGGTTCTTATTCTGTTTAGTGAGCTGTGAAAGGATGTGCTCAACTGTTGTATTGGTCCACTGGGGAACTTTTGATACCTGGTAAATATTTCCACCAATGATTTTTTCCACAGCCTGAAACGAAGAAATTTTCGAAGTAACTATGCTAAACGTAAAAGGTTAAGCCTAATTTTCAAACATATGCTCATACCTCCGATATACTGATATTAAAATAGATAAACTGAACAGTAATGTCTACGATATAATCTTTAGCCCAGCGTGAAATTATGTTTATAGACCCTTCTGGCTAAGATTTTTATCTCATCAAACCTATCAAATCCAATACTGAGAGCAAATGTATGCCTCATTTCCGTTCCTGCTTGAAAAAAGAATGAACTGTGCCTGTTCACTGGTCATTACAATGCCTTGTTTGACAAAATGTCGTGTCGCATGTCTAGCCGTCGTGGGTCGTTCTTGGTACTAGTAAAGCGTACTATTAGCGCCGGTACGCTAATGCCATAAGAGTCTAAGGCTGGCACAACAACAAGAGCGTCTTTTGATCCGATTTAAGCTAAGATGAGTTCGGCAGGCGGATTCCAATATTCAATGCGCCTAGAGCACTCACGTGGCGATTCGTCTGAGCTATTTGGTTCTGGATGTAGGCGTTTGTTGAGGATGGCCCTTTTGCAAGTTGTCAAGGTTTTCGGACATTGACTAAGTATGGAGCCATAGTAGATGTCACTGGAGATTGGATTAGCACAATCCGAAAATTGGAGTATGCATTAAGACAAGACGTCAATGACCTTAAGGTTTACAAGCCGAAAACAAGATCGTAACTGATGAGAAGTGAAGCCGTCCGACAGGTTTTTGTGACTGCTGTTGTTTCTCATTCATTTTCAATTCCTGATTTGTTCGTTTAATTATTTGCTCCGAACTGAATATAATTATTATATGAATTGATTTATTTGCTTCAATTAAAGTGATATGCTTATTCACTGTTGATAATAGAGATTACCGGAATAGAAGAAGCTGTTCTAGACCGCCGCTGTTCTGTGACGTACCTACGCTCGCATGAGAATTTAACTGAACTAATGTCTAATTCAATTACGTAAAACAAAATGGAGTATACTCAACACATAGATAAAATCCGACGTACATAACAAGCAGTTATAGCATGCATCTTGTAATGGGTGTCGAAGAAGTAGCTTCCTGCTTCATAAATAGAACAATGCAATTGTCTGAGCCGCTGCGTTGGTGTAATCGTTCGTTTCGAAAGTTTTTTCGAATAATAAAATGACCCATTACAACTGACTTGTATACATTTGTGTCACACCCGCATAATCATAGAACGGTACAAGATGTCTACCAACATACTGACCTAAACGCATAACATTTACTACTAACTGGTTTTGTGTTTTATCCAATGTGCTCTATGACTGAACCGCTGCTGACTGAAACACGGCTACTAGTTTGTATACTGACGCTAACTTGTCGAGCCATGATCGTTCTCCCGATTTTTGCAATCATAACACACCTATTTCTGACAGATGTGGTACATGCAAAAGGGCAGAATTAACACTTTAGAAATGCCGTGAGCTTCAACTGCTGGACAATTATCTTGAATATTATGCTGGTAAATTAGTAGATGGCATAAATGCCTACCTATGTAAATATAAATGCATATACTTTTGAAAGATAAACATTTTGGTAACGTGGGGGAAAGAGATCACATCAACTGTAAGTCACACTTAGGTTCTGAAGTCGAAACGTATTTAATGAACACCTCGAGTTTTTAATTGAGAAGCCTGACATTATAAAAATGCTGTATCTTGAAACTGCTTGATTAACTTTGAATGCATTGGTTGCCGAAACATTGATTTCATAGAGACGAATGGCTTCTTCATGACATTTCTGCCTATCGGTTAGAGACTTACCGCATTGGGGAAAAGTGGTGTCGCGAAAAACGTATGTTCGTGTGGAAATAACTTATGATTAAAGTTGAATGAATAAAATAATAAATGAACCAGATTTGTGCAAGAAAAAGTAGCGGGCACACTGATTATTGGAACAATACAAACAGCTTCACTATAACGTTGACGAAATCATACATATCCGTTTCTCACAATGCTCTACAGTTCTCGTTATTGATCCGGCTAAGAAAGTGATTCGATGGGGAAATCATTAATCAAGAGAACTCTACTCAGTGTGGGGGATCACCATTCAAGAGCCCACTACTATCATACTGTCATGACGCATTCGATTTCGCAGTTTGCATGCAATATATATACTGGTGCAATTGCTTCCGTGTCTGTTATTATCCTAGATCGCGACCCAGATTCGTGCATATCAGTGTATCAAGTCATTCAAATAATAGCCCCCCCCCCCCACAAGGCAGTTCGCGCCCAAATCTGTTTCGGGTTTTAGCTGCGGTTGAGGATAGCGAGATGAAACCGAGGCGCGTTTCATTGGCGCACGTACTATTGCGTGTTGACTTGTTTCGCTTGTGTTTAAATAGCACACGACATATACATGGAAGTAACTTGATGTTTGATGTTTATATAAACGGAACAGAAACACGATAAACTTAGCTGCACGAAGACCTATTTATCGGATACCTAAAAGGTGGCTCATAGGAGTCACACGTTCCCATACCCAGCTCTTGCCAGAGACGTGAATGTCATAATATGGGTGGTCTAATAACCGACCCACAGGTATGACAAAAAATTTAGTTCTCTCACTGGCGAAATCTTTGCTTGTGCAACGATATTGCTGTTTGATTACTCTCTTCACTATTATTGCTATTATTATTACAGCTGTTTTTTTTCCGATGACGAAAAATCGATACCCTGTTGAGGAAATGTACAGCTTGATAATATTGGACCAGTCTTGTGTTGAAGCTTCCACAATACTGAAGATTCAATTGTAGTTATACTTAATATGTTGCCAAACGTTTTACCCGAAGAGATAATGTGGTGCAGTTTAGCCCTTAAAGAAACACGTACAAACAGTGTGATATAATAGGTAAATCCAACATTTTGCGAGGGCTCAAATAATTAGAGATCAGAGCGTATATACACAGGCTTAGTAAACATTCCCACCAAGTCTGCTTGACGACCATGCTTTTAGCCTTTTAGGAGTTGTTAACAACTTAGGATGATCCGAAATCTTCTGGGTTATAGCGCGGCGGATTCCAGAAACTCCAGAAGAAATTATCCAACTTACAAATGCTATATCAGCTACAGACATGCATGCTGTCAATTCTTAATCGGAAATTTCACCTAATAAAAAACTAAAAGACCGTGTACAAAAATTTTGGATAAATTAGGGTAACTTATAAGGGCCGCTGACAACCAGATACTTTTTGTTTAACTACCAAGCCTTCACAGTGCTTTCGCATACCTGCCATGCGTATGTGTAGTTCAGTATGCACAATACAACGCTTAGATATTAAGTCGACAAAAAGATGCCTACCTCTCGGATCATCGTGCTGACTTCATCGACCACAAACTGTAATCAAATACAAAAAAATGTGTATTATCGTCTTCTTATTTACTATAGTGTAATGTATACGTTTGCTACGTCTGAAGCATCATTTAATCCTGTCTGTTCGACATAATAGTTCTCGTAAAGCAAGTGAGAATACTGGTGATCATTATGTTGTTGACGAAAATGGTAACCACAGAAATGAGCCGTTCAAGTTAATTACAATTTAATAAGATCATGAGAATGAGCGGATTAGAGCTTTAATATAATGTGACGAACCGGCCCACAGAAAGTCCGGTTGCTGAGCTGCAAATTTGATTTATAGATGTTTAGTGGGATTGAACTTGCACTGGAGACCGAATGTCACTACCAAATTTGCCAAACTAGTACAAAATCTTAACTTTTCTGGACGGAGCAGTTACGCCCGTGCAGGCGCATCACAGTCTGCCGCCACAAAGTCTGAAAGACTGATTGGCGAAGCACCTGGCTTACAAAACTTAACCGATTATGAATCCTGTCAAAGACGTAAAAAAACTATCAAGAGTAAAATTAGCTTACATTTAGCTTCGTGATAGGGCCTTAATGTACTATTTTAAAGACTGCATAACTTCTTTATATGTTAAGAATTATATTTCATCTTTTTGATCCTGTTTGTGGTATAACAATAAAGAGTAATGTTATTTAACTGCGGCTTTCAGTTCAACGAAACACCACTTTATAAATCATAAGCTAACTTTTCGCCACCTGAAATGGTTGCTTCTTGGGGCATTTTTTAAAATTTAACATTAAATGCATATGTTCCTTGAATACCCGTCCCCACCGTGCATGGACAAAATGCCTGATCTCGAAAAAGTTGTTATTCTTACAATTAAATATATATTTTTCATGGCGTAAAGTTCGATGGAGGTGTGATAATGCTTAAAGCAAGAACTTCTAAAAAGAAATTTCAAACGGTCAAATCGACCACTTGTGGTAGGTTGAGTGTCGAACTTGCTTATTTGCTAGCTTGGAACGAACCTACTGAGATAGCTTTAGAATGAGCATACAATCCCCACGACATTTCAATTGGTATTACTGATGAGAAAAATTTGACCCGTACCTAATTCTAAATCTGCAGTTATAGCAGTCCACTATTAAAAAAGCGAACTGCACGGGGTAGAGTAAGGGCTTATGTCAACTCTTCAGTCTGATCTCTCAGAAAGATTGATCGTGTTTAACGTATGCCTTTTAAATGTTTTTTCCAAAAATTGCTCTAGGCTACAGTTATGCGGTATATGCGGTCAATCAATGGATAGCTAGTACCACGCTTAGAAAACCTGAGGTTCGCTAGCTAGGAGTGAAACTAGAGATGCAATGAAATTTCTCGAAAATACTTTTAAAGGCCCCCTAAATAAAGCTAATAGTTTTAATAATCTGTTTTTTTGCAGGCATTTAATAGAAATCAGTGCGCTATTTCGACTAACTGATTTAATCACGATGTGCCAATCCAGTACTAAATAAATTTACAATTTTTAACTTAGGAAGAAATAAAATTACGTTACGATTGTGCTACGAGGTCTAAGCCAACAACTTTCGGCTTTGCAATAGGAATCCAACTTATCCGAGCAACTTATACTACATGAATATTAACTGTTTCTTTCACTATAGAGAGTCACGATTTCAAGTACTGCGAATTATTTTGTTAAAAAGTATGGCTTTATGGAGTACAAATTAAGCCGCCTTTTGGATCCATTCACTCCGCTGTTGTTATATATCTGCTATTCGATTACTTGTGTTATATGATAATATTTAACTTCACATATATTGCGATGAGCTACGGATTCGCCCAGGGCTTGAAAAAAGCAAATCCAGAACAACCCAAAAGGGAGAACAGTTGACTAGTATGGCAGTGCTTATATTGTGCCAAAGAGAAAATCATTGGTGTGTTTGAAAGTCCACATTTGAACTCCTAAATAATGTCTGGCAAGAGTAAATTTTTCCACAAGTGAAATAGTCATAAAATTCGAGAGCATACCTCAGAGGTAGTGAGATCTGCCATCGTTGCTAACTGCTACGATCGCCGCTGGCACTGTAATCATAGAAGATCACAGCTGAAAGAAATGAGTATGTGCACACAAACACTTAGTGTGAAAACTCACTTCCTGACGGCCGGCTATCAAATCACGCACTGTCACATCGATTACATTGAACTCCAGCTCTGCTGTTCGCTGATTGAACTGAGTCACTGCTAAATATACCGCACATATATGTCTCACAGGATGTCCTCGCGTTTGTTTTCACTGTACGATCAGGTGGCGCTAAGAAGTGACCAGTTTAACACATTCATTGGGTGGTTGGCGGAGCGATATTGGCGGGGCAAGAGGCCCGCCGGGGAAAACCGATTGTTGCAAGGATTTGTTTGATCCAGCACATCTTGCTCATTATTACTATTACTCAACTGTAATAATCTTCCCCTTCACTTTGTTTCAATGTATTGCTAAAATAAACAATAAAGACACTCACACAAGTGAAACTCGTCATAATATATTTACTTCATTTAATTATAAATTCAGGGCGATACGTATCATAGAAGAATCAACATTCTTCTTCGGTACAACGAAGGCGCAACTTCGTTCGTATACTTGTTTACACATAAAATATCGACTCGTATGTGTTTCGCTAGGGTTTAAATTCTAGCATTTCATTAAGTTCATCCTGAATCTGGATCATTTTATCCCCCAAGCTGAAAATGCTACCATTGGTCAAATTTTGAGCTAAGAACGCTCCCGAAGTTACTTCATCTCCCTGAAATCAAGAGTAAATCACAATTAGAATAAAGCGACGAGTAACTCACATCGAAGTGGTTGAGTCAGTAAACAATCATGTATGTGAACTATGCTTAAGTATTTCAATGAATTTAGCTTCCTATAATTGGCACAAACCTGCATGTTTCGTAAGATAAGTGTATTATTTTTTGTGAGAAAGAGATAACCATCGTCCTCCCAGGTTTTGTTTTTTTTCGTCTGAGGCTTCGCGTACATTACGGCGAAGCAGCGTGAATCACTCGCTAACGGGGTACGTGCTCGTTTTGGAGGATCGGCCTTCACGCTTGGCGCCACCCTTTTAATTCCACCTAATCGACTGCCTTAACGCAAAAAGAAGAAATGGTTTAATTAACACTACTTTCCAACGGTAATAATCCGCATCTTACCGATCGGATTTTGTTTCACTTTCAAGCCAGAAATAATCAGAATAGTCTTATAATAATGGCTTGTATGGGTGTGAGAATAATGATCACTGTACGCAGCAACTAGGTATAGAAGGCAACCATCAAACGCATGACTTCAAACGAGGTCTGCCATGTTCGGCAGAGCCAATAAGGCCATTTGACAGACCAATATCTTATATTTCCATGTTCTTGCCATCTAAGTTTTATATTTATATTTTAATTCAATCCATCATGAACCTAGCTTTTGTTGATGGTATAGGCTAGGGATGATTACTAAAACTGTTATAACTTTTTTTCGAAACCTCTATTAAAGCTTGGCATACCCGGTTTTCTAAGAGGTTGAGGTTTCAAGTAGTGAGGTATCGATTGGTCATTGTTGACCGACTTCGAAATTCCAACTTCGATAGTCGAGGATGCGATCGGTTTTGAAGTATGATATCCGCCGAGTTTTGATTGGACTTCCGGAGCACTTAACAAGCGAATTACTTCGTGAGTTGTCCGGCGAGCCTTTATCTCGCCAAAGATTTGGAACATAGTGTATGTAGACGGTAATTATGCCACACACCTTGGCGCATCTCTCAAAGGACACAACAAAGTAATGAAAAATCTGATAAACGACAAGCAAAATCGAATGTAGCTGTTTCCTCCTACCCACTGTCGAATCGTGAACCGCTCGATAATCTAGATCTCGCATTAGTACCGTTTTGATTATGCGCGTTTTTTCGAGCAACACAAATAGAATATTTCTCACATACCTTGTGGTCAGTATAAACTTCATAATAGTAAAAAAACCATTAAATAAACAGGAAATTGCTTTAAATATATATAACACCATCTATTAAGTTGGATGCTCACGCTAAGATCTGACCGAGTGTAGAAGTTCTTATATTTAGTAAAAGTTCAATTAAGTCTCAAGGTGTTTTTATTTCAGCAACTGCTTTCACAAGTCTAAGTTTCTATCAGATGGTATTTCTTCAGTTAAGAATTACGACTGCAAATTGTTACCCACACCGCGACATTACGTACCCTCTCCCACAAATTTTCCTCCTCTCCACACGGTGCGAGCCGGACTCCAGTCGTGTTTGAACTTCCGTGGCGGGAGCCTTACCCCAAGTGTTTCCTATGGACGAAACGGCGTGCTTGTGGCAAACACCCAGTGCACCATGTAGGCGCTACCCCGCAGATGCATCTTGTTACATAGGCGACTCCATACCTTAGTTCCTCGGATACTGTGTTGTGCATATACGCATGCGTATATGTAGAGTGATATCGTGCGGCTCTGAAAAAACCATTGTGCTAGCGAACTTCCATTATTATCCTAACCGGGTAAAGTGTGACAAGTTTGAGAAGAAGCTTGACGTGCGGTGCCTTGTGTGTGAAAAGCAGGAGAAAAGTGTCTGAGGTGAGTTAGAAGCGTGTTTACTGTCCAGTGAGTGCTGGTTGACCAGAGAGATTGTTTCTTCGTTGCATGACGGCATAACACAAAGGACTACATACGCCCTTGGATAGGTACAAGAAATTGTGCTCGGTCGGTAACAACGACAGAAAGCGATCTTCAAGAAGTCCTATTCATAAACGGAGCACTAATCGTGTATATAACGGGAGCGCGCGAACTCTTTCGCGCGTTATGACCGCCCTTGTGAAACAGGCGGCGTACACCGCCTTGACAGCGCCGGCTTCTCGATCTCGGCGGCTGCTGTGGTTCGCGATAATTGTCAATTTCGCGCTCGTCGTCGGATGTATAGTTCGACTCTACCAGCAGCATATGGAATTGCACCGACTACGCGACGCCGTTGGCTCTTTCTCACTCGAGCAGAACAAGTTAGATACGTTGGCCGTCACGCTATCGAGACGCGCACGTGAAACCCCGACTGGCTGTACGTGTCCCTCTGGCCGACGAGGTAAGCGAGGCTTGAAGGGAGATAGGGGCGAACTTGGGCCTCCAGGTCCTCCCGGAGAACCTGGCAGACCCGGCTTCCCAGGGGCGATTGGAATCGACGGTCCTAGAGGAGAGCCCGGACCACCAGGTCCCAAAGGCGATAAAGGTGAGTCCCCGAAAATAGCAAATGAAAAATAATAATACAAATGGTTATTTTGTGTCGATATGAAACTTTGATTAGGTTATTCATTAGTTGTCTTTAATTGCCAATGTAAAGCTATTGATAAACATTGCTTGCTGAACGGAGGTACGGTTGTCGATATAGATGAGTATCATAGAAGGATATGTATGCAGTTTTTTAGAAGTAATTTTACAGCTCGTAATGGGTCTTAATGTTTTGACGCAGCCGTGAATGTTTCTTTTCCTAGAGGAGAGTTCCACTCTGTTTTTTACCGCCGTATTTGTACATATACAGCTGAAAGTATAGCGTTCTCTCTACGCTCAAAGCATAAGCCTTATTTACCCCAGCTATGACATACGGGCAATTTCAACGCCTTCAATCTTCAATATAAAGAAAAGGAATCTCAGTGACTGGTTGTGTGGTGCGATTAAATAAAGCACACGTGTTGTGATGTGGACTTCGCGATGAATACACTGCTGCTGAATTCATTCGCTCACTAGTTGTCGAGAAGATCGATGGGTCTGCAATGGCAACTTGCTATAATCTAGCTTCGATAGGCGGCTGTCGGAACACGTGACAACACCTCTATTTAAATCTGAATCAGAGGTAAATACTCATAACGAGTGGTGTTTTTGGTTGAAATTTTTATCCAAGCAAGGCGTACATCACAGGCTTATCCATGGCTCTTTTAGTGGTAGTATGGTCATGCTCATGATATATTTCCTTTCGTTAAACGATGCAAACGAGCGGTATTCACGACAGTTCCACGTTTCCCTTTGAACGGGACATTTCTTCGGCTATATGTCTGGCTAAATTCGCTCGATGCAACCTTTGTTACTATGGCTTTATCGGAAAATTCGGTAAAACAACTTAATTTTTATATGAAAATCACAGATCTGGAACTACAGCATTGCCGGCTTTCAATGGGAAAGTTAAGCACGACCTTAATTTCATGTCGGGGTATAAATTGGTCTCTTCGCTTAACCCAATCCTGTGCGGATTATGGGCTGAAATCGAAAAATGTTAGGTTGCTAATAACATCTAAAGAAAAATGAAGCCGATGTTCGGCCGAGGTACGCCAACTCCTACGCGCATTTCTTGTAATACGCTTCGAAACCTTTTCCATTCCTGCCTGAAGAAGATTTGATCAGTAGTTTCTGAAATGTCACTAATTCTATCTTTACAAGTCAGTCAGCGCCTGCAAACCTCAATAGATTTTACGACAGACTCATGAGAGGGTATTGTGTACCAGCCCACTAATTGCAGATTGATATCTGTATTTTTCGACCTGTTTGATTGCTTCTGTTAAAGGATTTATATTTTGTAGTTCTCAATTTTATAAAAGTTATTTCAATCTAGCTGAGTCGTGGGCTGATGACCGGTTGAATTTGTATTGTCTTCCAATACGGACTGAATCATAAAGTTATATATTATAAATGTAGAATTAAATTCTCTATTAAGTTATCGAACGAATTTAAGAGGCATACGAAGATTCGGTTTAATACAAGATGTTTGCGCGCATTAAAAGATCACTACGGGACTTAGTAGTAATTACATGCACTATACTTATACACCCCTAAGTGGTTTGGTATCGATCGACCTCTGCCCTTTTATTTCAATGGCTTTTTGTGAACCATCATGTCGCAATATTTAACCACAGCCATAGCGTAACGTTATGACACTCGCGCATCGCACGATGCATCGATGATCGCCTTATGGCGTAACCAGTATCAGTAAGCGTTATTCTCGGCGGAGGGCAAATAACACATGAACAAATCGTAAGGGACAAACTACTAAGTGATTAAGTTACGTTGTCCAACGGCTGCCTAAAAATAGAGAAGTAGAATAGAATCGAAACGACCGGCCCATCCCGACTAACAGACCCGCTATATAAGCGATACCAACACATTCGGTGCCACGGTGGCTTCTAAACTAACTGCGTGCTTTGATATTTGCGAGGGACATGCGATAGATCGATGTAGTCATGATCAATTTAAATTGTTAGGCCGTAGCCGGCAAAGAAAACTATACTGAGACTGAGGTAAATTAATTCCACGAGGTCCTTTAGGTGATTAAGCGATAATATGCTCGGCTGATATTATATATATATCTACGAAATCTCTCGGGGTGTCTTCATTTTTATTAAGCAATAGATTGAAGATAATGTAATGCATTATACGTTGAACGAAATGACCATATCTCAGTGGTGATCTTCTTTTTTTGTAACTCAATGTGAAAATGAATGAATGTCGTTCATTCAGTTAGCAAGCCCCTCGTTAGGTGACCTCAACTATCGGTTCGTAAACGCTACGTTGAATGTTCTCTGTATGTAATTGATGCTGTACACAAATTTATGATGGCAGTATTCGACATAGTTACCGATAGAGGCAGCAGTGGCCTGACTCTGTTCGTTCCGCTTGACATATACATGGGTGATTTCAATCATAGACAAAAGGTCGAATGGGTTTACAATCAATCCTCTGCGGATGAAGAACTCACGATCGGTGCAGAAATACGAAGAACAACGGCGGCAACTAGGAAAACGCATCATGGGAATTTTAATGAAAATTTTCCGCCGGAAAAAGACAAATGTCCCGAGGAAGAGATCGACGCCCGCAAAAACGTCTACGATTTCATCCAAGGGGTAGCAAAAACAACGACGGCTACATTCATCGCAGCTATTGTATTAGCACTAGCAACTAAAGGAATCGCAACGAGATTGTGGAACCCTAATGATTGTCGGATCCTGAGATGTACGGTATTTGACTCAGTGTATTTAGCGAGACGCAAACCTAGCCATCTCGCTAATGTCTGTGTGCTTCCCCTCGCTTAAGTCAGTCCGTTTGTCGGACAAGTACATGTTTCTGATAAGCTGCCATGCTTTGAATGGTATGACAGCTAATGACGATTGGGTCAGGTCGGAGGGAGACGAAACAACCAAAATCGGGTGTTATCAATGCTGAACGTAGCCGTAAAAAGCAACGACATAAAGTGGGTACCCCATTAGAGGTGGATGTGTTTAAGTACAAGCAGTGGAAGCTATGTTTGAGGTCTTAATGGGTTGCTACTAATCTGCTAAAATGATAGCAGACAGCAGATTTTGCTGAGAGGCTAGATTGTATTAGTGAGATGCAGGGCTATAATTAGCAAGTAACCGTGTCTCGACAGAATTTTAGTCCGACAATGATAACGCGAAACATCTTTAGGAGCAATGAAAAGTCGAGGAGATAATACAGAATGAGCCGGAAATTCGGGGGGATCGCTATATTGTCCCTCTTCGTTATATGTACGATGACAGTAATAAGTATCTTTCAAGACTGAGCCCAATTAGCAGGTTTTAAGGTGCCTAATGAAGCGGTAGCTATAATTCACGCTGACCTTAAGAAAGGTGTAAGGATATATTCGTAGCTATTTAACGACAGTGACATGGTTTAGCGCAAGTGATTGCATACGATAATTATATACACGGAACGTGACATTCGATCATTCAGCGGAATCAATGGTGCTATTGCAAAAAGGCCTCATCGTAATAATTTGTGCGTAAAGAGAGCTGGTAGAAATTGGTCCTTACTTGGACCAAAGAGTAATTGTGATTTTTGAAAGTTTCTAGGGAAGACAATTTTCTAATGAAGCAAGTATTTATGACAATTAAAAGGCAACTTTGATTTCAAAATCAATCTGAGTTTTTCTCCTGTTTACGAACAAAATGGATTTCTAGTTCTTACAAGACAATAGTAAATCTGCCATGAAGTGTACAAGGAAAGGGAGTCACTGAAGGTATGACTTCTCATCTAGGACGGACTCTATCAAAATATTATTGAACAGAGAAAAAATTTGTTATATATAATATGTTTCATGACAACTTGGCGGAGGTGAAGCTTCGACGAAAAAATAGTTTTCCATTACGCAGTTCCTATGCGCACAATATTATTATTCAATCATGATAGACATTATCATTAAAACGGAGTGAGTAACCATTAAACGGCCGTAATCTACTTACGTACAAAAGTATCATGAAATCACATTATTATCAGTAAAGCTAGTAATTTCGCTCATTGGTGCCGACGTTGCTGGGGCTTCTGATGTCTGACTAAATAGGCGTCGGTTGCAGTTCCTCCGCTTTAATGGCCGCCAACGGTTCGTGGCTATGACGATGTAAAATCCGTCGTGACTTCGTTGATGTCTGCCAGCTGTAAGAGACAAGTTGGCTTCTGACCATCGGGGGGTCAGGTCTCGTCTGCGTACGAACGAGACTTCCCGCATCCTTTGGTCCGTAGTCGGCGTATTCGACATACTATAATAACTTAGCTGAATGATCCTGGTCTTCGTAAAATACCATTTTCGTCTAATGGTCAACCTTAGCAATACACGGGAGGAAAGCCGCAGGAGATAGTATGTATTTATTTACGAGTACCAGCTTGTTTGCGGCAACGTTGAGCTGGTGTTGGCAAATGCCGGAGAGAGTGAAGTTAGTTAGCAGCCAGAACATAACAAGGTAAGGCCATCACCTGACTTTACTAGGGCTAAAGCCAATCAGCTGGTGAGTTGCCTACTGAATTAGCTGTTGGACGGATAATGGTAACGGCTGTGTCTTTCTCGACGGCCTTTTATGCCTATTTCTCAATAGGCCTGTTTGATTTGCTGCTTTTGTTTTTCAACTAGAATACACACGCCCTTTCTTTGTTCCTCTCTCTCTTCCCTTTCTTTTATTGTCGCGTCGGGCAGGAGTACGCAGTTCACACATGAAATTTGTAAGGAGTTTCGATAGTGCAAAAACGTTCTATTTCTATATTGTTTTGTTTGTCGATTAATGCTGTTACTATGATAGATCGTTAAACGTAAATTGCAGTAACAGCAGATAGTAACTTCATTCGACTAATTGGAATAGAGAAGAGGTAGCAACGATGGGTAAAAAAACCTATGCATCCTATTCAAAATGATGTGACCCCGGTTGCATCATGTTAAAGATGTGAGCTTATTGCAAC